TCTTTATGGTTGGATTTGAAATATTTGCTACATCTTCTTTTCCACAGGCTGAACGAGCCTCATGGCAAAATGAAACCTCACCTGGCTGGTAGTGAGAAGGACAACAGTCAGAGCGGAGCATGTGAGAGCTGGGAAGAAGCTAGCAGAAGCCAGAGGCTGAGAGCCATGATAGATTCCTGCTTGAGTCCAAGGCTGCAACTATGGGAGAAGCAAGACCTTCCAGGGTGTTAATGCTGTCAGCCCTGGTTGTATATATGTGTAAGTAAATGATACACCATAAAGATACCAGAGTCTATGCCATGGGTAGGCAAACTAAGGCCCAGAGGCTGGATCCAGCCCAAATGCCTTCTAAATCTGGCCCGCAGACGGTCTGGGAATCAGCATGTTTTTACATGAGTAGAATGTGTGCTTTTATTTAAAATGCATCTCTGGGTTATTTGTGGGGCATAGGAATTTGTTCATCCCCGCCCCCCCAAAAAATAGTCCAGCCTCCCACAAGGTCTGAGGGACCGTGGACCAGCCCCCTGCTAAAAAAGTTTGCTGACCCCTGGTCTATGCTGTCCCTCATTATTCCAAGGAAACCAAAGCTGGGTATTGCACCCTCTAAGGCAAGTATTATGCCCTCTCACTGGGGCCTCCATGCGGCGCGCTGATGTCACAAGCCGGAGCTGCAGGGCAGTGGCAGGACATGTGTGTGCTCTTCCTTGAGCTGGGGAGTGCCACCATGGCCGCAAGTCTCACTGTCCACCCATCTCTTCCACTGGTGCTGCACGCTGTGTGGCCAAGGGATTTAAGGGCTCATCCTCTCCCAGTTCTTGCTCAGCATGCTGCTCAGGTGAGGCAGGCGGGCAGGACAGGGAGCAGCTGCAGAGGTGTGCCTAAATTTTTTTGCGCCTGGGGCAATTGCCCTGGTAGGCCCCTTTTCCCCATGCTATGCCTCTGCCTGGAACCCCTGGAATCTCTCGCCACTTGAAGATTGGGGTAGCATGCAACAGTATATAAAGCATTTTGGCCACAATGCCTGAAGAGAGGGCACAGCCACCCAAAGAATTAAATCAGCGGTATTTGGATGCAATGACCTGCCAAGGAAGCTGCAAGGCGAAGCAAGGGAGGATACTATATCTGTTTAGGTATGTTAAGGAATGCTATTAGAAAATTGGTAAAGAATGTAAATAACAATTATAGCATCCAAAACTTCCCAAAACTTCAGAAATGAGTGCTGAGATAAATTTATGAGGGTGAGATAAATGATTCAGAATTGAGAACAGCCAAAAAAGAAGAAAAAGTGGCCAATTGCAACCATGCACAAATAAAGTATATATAAAAATATAGAATAGATGTAAGTCATTTCTATCTGCACAAATAATTTACAATAGAAATAAGTATTTTCTATTGTAGATTATTTTCCCTGTGAAATAGCTATATCAGTTATTTGCATTTACATTTAACTTGTAATATTGGCCAAAAAAAGTATTATCATTTTGCATTAAATGCATTATTATAGGTTTTATATTTCTGAAATTAAGGGCACAATCTGAACCCTAGAACTGTCAGGGTTAAGAATCCAGTGGATCTCTGAATGAGCCAGGATGTTCCAAGCTCAGCCGGGTTACACCAGCATAACTTCCTCACCTGGCCCAAGTAGAGATATGCCAGCATCTCTTGCCCATCCTGGCTCAGCTGGGACACAGCATGGCCACGTGACCCTGGGAACCCGGCATAAGTTGAGCAATCAAAAAGAGTGGTTTAAAAGGCTTGTTTCTCCTAGGCTTGGCCCTGCTCCTGAACAGAGTCTGGATCTGGCATAACTTTTGCCAGTAACGCTGCAGCTAGGATAATTTACACTGGCTCCCCATAGTTAGGCTTGCTCCCCCAATTCATTACATTGTGGCTTATTGTATATTATTTTTTGCAAAATGGCAATCCGTGTTTGGTTTTCATTGCTTTTGTACACAAAAGAGCTATCTCAGTCCTTGTTGCTGTCCTTGGTGAAGCACACAGCTTCCAGCTGGATACCGCCCCTCCAAAAAAAAACAGATTAGGACTGTGGCACAGAGGAGAGAATTTCACCTTTTAAACCCACCCAATGTCACACCTGAGGCTGCTGTTTGCCTCCTGAAGGCACTGTTTGCTGCATCATTTTCTGCTGGGGATTCCAGTACGCATAGTCCCAGTGGAGAAGACTCCCCACAATGGCCTACCCACGGTCATCCCCTTCCGCTGCCCTGCCCTAGATGAACTTGAGGGGCAGGGGAAGTGGATGCTATGGGCAGTACTCACTGGGCCAAGATGAGCAGAGCCCTCATTTGCCTGTGAAGAGGGATGTTAGCTTTTGCAAGCACTCTGTTGGAAAGCTTGCAATATCCTGATTTCCTCCTTTTTAAAAAAAACAAATGTTATTAAAACAACTAGAAAAGGTTCAAAAAGAGCAATCAGGTTTATAAAAGCCTGGAGCACATCCCCCATGAGAAAATGCTAGAGTGTTCAGGAATTGCTATTTTTTAAAGGGGGGTGGGGAGAGATGACTAAAGGAGAATATGACAGAGGTTTATCAAATTGCGGAAGAATGTGTAGAGAAGTTTTTTCCTCTCTAATTAGAACTCAGGGTCACTAATGACGTTGGTGGAGAGTTAGATCTAGGACACACAAGATGAAGTACTTCTTTACACAATGCATAAATTTAAAGTATTTGCTGCCACAACGTGTGGTGATTATAGCTCTTAGCTTAAATGGTTTTAAAGGAAGATAGGACACATTCATAGATGATAAATCTGTCAGTGGTTGTTAGCCATTGTTCAAAGGGCCCATGCCGCATAACAGGAGTTGCTAGAGGGAGGGTGGTTGTTTTCATGGCCTGCTTAAATATGAAACAAGACGTTGGACGTTGGACAAGTCTACTTATCATCTCATCCAGTAGGTCCCTTCTTATGACAGCCCAATTACTCCTGCTTTCAATTTGTGGCACACTGTGATCCAAATAACATAAATTAATTGGGGATGGTAAGAAGGCATGGAGGGAGCAGGTTTGGGCCAACAGGTTATATTTAAATACCCTTTGGTCCCTCCAGCCTATAAACCTATAATCAGGATTCCCAGATAGAATATTGGTTTATTGTGGACATTACAGTGGAAGGTGTTACTGTAACAGCTACACAGCAGTGGCTGCAAACTGTTTGGGCCAGTGGGCACATTATCCAACTGAGAAAACTGTTGTGGGCAACACACACACACACACACACACAAACCACACCCTATTCTACTGGATACATGCTTCTTTCAAGTTTAATCAGTGGAAGGAGGAGCACCAAAGAAAGCCTCTGTGGGAACACATGCCCCTGCAGAGGATGATGATGATAATTATAATTTATTGCATATTAAAAACATGATAAAACATCAAACATTAAAAACTTCCCTAAACAGGGCTGCCTTCAGATGTCTTCTAAAAGTCAGATAGTTGTTTATTTCCTTGACTTCTGATGGGAGGGCATTCCACAGGGAAGGCGCCACTACCGAGAAGGCCCTCTGCCTGGTTCCCTGTAACCTCACATCTTGCAGTGAGGGGGAACCGCCAGAAGGCCCTCGGATCTGGAACTCAGTGTCCGGGCTGAATGATGGGACTGGAGACACACCTTCAGGCATACTGGGCCGAGGCTAGGTCAGCACCAACACTTTTAATTGTGCTTGGAAATGTACTGGGAGCGAATGTAGGTCTTTCAGGACCAGTGATGTCATGATGTCATGATGGTGACCCCTCCATACAGTGACTCCAAAAGGATTGATGCAGTGCTGCTAAATTATCACCAGGCATGCATGCCTACAAATGGATTTTGGTTGCAGATTGGATGAGCATATGAGCCATACGGCAAACAGCATTATCAACCCAGTACTGTAATTCATACAAGGGAAGTGTCAGGCAAGCAGCTGCATCACTGCACTGTCTCTTTTCTTTTTTTCCTTTCTGGGATGGTTCTCACATTTACAACTTGACTGGCAAGCGTGTGGGGCAAACGACTAAAGACAGAAGGAACCCAAATATCCATCCATTTAACCATGCCAAAGACATGCTGCCCATCACAAGTTACCCTCCCAAATCCACCTGTGCAGTGCAGTGCAGATGCCAAGCAAAAGGCAGGTGCAATTCAGAAAGATACCTCCTGATGGAGGAGCAAGCTTTAAAGAGCAGAAAACCAGAAGGTTCACCAGCCAATCTTGAGAGACAGGAATTGGTCTCAACCATGGGATCAGTCAGATTCTCAGAGTGAGCCAGAACGTTGGGCATGGAACGTCAGCAAGTAATTAATGAAGGCAAGAGTGCCTTTGAGCACACACAGAGTGTGATTTCCCCTTGCCACAGAGTAACCACAACCACCTTCCCATACTTCTGGGTGGTGGGGTGGTGGAAGGTACAGCATGCGCTGAGCTGCTCCCTTTTCCTCCTGTGGCAGAATCCCTAGGCCTTTGGGCTACTTGAAAGATAAGACATTCCACACGTGAAGCCACTTCTACGCAGGACAGAGCTGCACCTGGACAGTTGCCTGTCACGCAACTTCTAAAGGCCACAGAAGCCCTGTAAGAAACGAATAGGAAAGCAGAGCGGGAGGGACGTCAGCCAACCCCGAGGCAGCAGGTTTCAGCGCTGGCCCTCAACTCACCTTTGCAGCCACAGCAATGGGGAGGCGGTCCTCCTGCTGCCCCGGCGAAGCGCTCAGCAGGGCAGCGAAAAACAACAGCCCGAGACACCAGGAGCCGGGGCGCGCGGGCTCCTTCATGCCTCACGGCGCGCTTTCCCCTCAACTCTCTGGCGCGCGCTCTCCCTCTCGGGTCCTCCTCTCTCTCTCGCCTTCTCAGTGCCACAGGTCGCGCGGTCCGCAGCTCCGTCCTTGACAGACCCGCTGTCACCATTCACGGACCGACGGTGCGGCGGCGCGGCGCTGGCGCCTCTCTCTCTCTCTCTCTCTCTCTCTCTCTCGCTGCTTGCTTTGCGCCCCCCGAGAAAGGTCCGCGTATGGGCAGCCCCTCGGGATAGCCCGGGGCGGGGCCGAAGCTGCGGGAAGGCGCGTGGAAGCTGGAGGTGCGAGAAGGGAGGGGGAAGAATCGAGGGCGGGGCGAAGCAACCCGCAAAGAGAGAGAAGCGAAGCGCGAGAGTCGCTTCACGCCTGGCTTGGCGGCGCTTGCTTCGCCGAGGCCGGGAGAGCGCGGCGGGACGCCGAGGCGCGGAGACGCGAGGGGCTCCTCAGGGCTTGGTCCCCTTGAAGTGAGGTACTTCAGAGACTCTCGCGGGAAGGGAATGCGTGGCGCGCGCGGGGAAGCGAAGGTGTCCAGGGAAGTGGGGCGCGTCTCGTCAGGCACCTGTGGCGACGTTCTCTGCGGGAAAGGGCGTCTTTTCCTCTCAGCCTTTTTCTATGGTGGTCCTTCAGCTTCCACCCAGGAACTTCCGAGCCCTAAAAAAAAGTCTCTTGGATAAAATCCCACCGTGATACTCCCCCGCCTCCCCCCCCCCCGCCCCCGGCGGAGCAGGGACGGGAGATAAAGCAACATAACCGTCAGACATTCGCCTAAGCATCCAGTACAGCTGGACGCGCACTGGGATCTTTGCTGGCTCTCCGGGGTTTGTTTTCCTGTCAGGCAAAGGATGAAGTAGGCTGTTGCCTGTGGGCGCTTGGATAAAAAGGTGGCGGGGGGGGGGGCATGTCAGGCAGTTTCTCGGTCCGTCAGCAATAGGCAGTAGCTGTCCCATACGGGGATCAAACCTGCAACCTTGCGTTATCAGCGCCACACTCTAGCCAGCTGAGCTATCTGGAGGTACATAATTCACCTTGCGGGAGCTAAGCCGGTCTGGACCTGGTTAGTGACTTGTTGGGTGACTGGCTGGGATCTACATTGATGCCACATCATGTTCCATGGCAGAAGAGAGGCAGGATATATATGCAGGACAATAAATATCACTAGGAAGCTTGGTATGTATGCTTACAAAGTACCGTAACTCTTGCACTGCAAATTGATATCTGAAGGGAGGCATCTCAAATATTTTTGCTTTACTAACCTGCATAGATATTCAGCTTTCTCCAGTGCTAGGGTGGGGCTGGCAAAGCACAATCTGAGCTCTGCTTCAGGCAGCAAAAACAATTTTGGCCCACCTAGATCCGGGAGGCACAATTTCCACTGACTTTCCAGGTAGAGACTTGAAACATATCAGGCATACTGAGCTAATGCACATGACATTGTAGGCCGACACGGCTCCAATCAGTCCCAGATGGAATGGCCAATGGTCAGGGGTGATGGGGAGTTGTTGTCCAGCAACATCAAGAGAGCACCATGTTGGCTACCCCTGATGTAAGATATACACGCACTAGGCCAATCCTACCAAGGCAAGCAAAAATAATAATGGCATAGAGTGTGATCGCCTAGTATTGCCTATTTGAACTGGAAGCAGCTCTTAACTGGGTCTCAGGCTGGGGCTGAGCTGCTACTTGAAATTCCGAAAGCTGCATTGACCCTGGATAGCTATTGAGTTGAGCGTGGTTGCAGTTGGTTGAGCGTGGTGCAGATATTGCCAAGCTTGCAGAGACTCTGGGGACAGCTGCATATTCCTGCATTGCAAGGGGTTAGACTAGATGATCCTCAGGATCCCTTCCAGCATCTATGAAAATGCCAGTGGTTAAACCTGGAACCTCCCATTAGCAATTCCTGTCTAGCAGCAGCAATCCACGCACATAGCACAGTCCAAAACTGTAGTGCAAGCGTTACCACACCCATTATAGCATCTGTTCCTTTCCTTTGTGCACCATCACTAGAAAGTTGGCCTTGGAGCATGAGCAGTCTGTTCCATCAACCCCATTTTCACCCCATGAACCAAATGGGTAACTTGAAGGGCTGGTGTTCTGGGCTGCATCATCTGTGGGGATTGATCCCTGCATACTCCTGCTTTGAGAAGGGGGTTGGACTAGATGATCCTCAGGGTCCCTTCCAGCGCTTATGATTCCGCGTGCAAATATTGCAGTCTTTCCTAATCTTTTTGAAAATGGCTGTGGACGACGCTTGTGTGTGAGGCACAGAAGTGTGTCCTGAATAAATTTATGTCAGCTTTTCTTCTGATATCTCAGTCGTCAAGGGAGATACTTTACAAGTAAGCAAAGTATGTTGAATAGAGAAGTTAAACCAATAGCCTCACTTTGAAGCAATTTATGTATAAGTACATGCTACATTAAAAGTGACACGGGTGGCGCTGTGGGTTAAACCACAGAGCCTAGGACTTGCCGATCAGAAGGACAGTGGTTCGAACCCCCACAACGGGGTGAGCTCCCGTTGCTCGGTCCCTGCTCCTGCCAACCTAGCAGTTCGAAAGCACATCAAAGTGCAAGTAGATAAATAGGTACCACTCCGGCAGGAAGGTAAATGGCGTTTCCATGCACTGCTCTGGTTCGCCAGAAGTGGCTTAGTCATGCTGGCCACATGACCCGGAAGCTGTACGCCGGCTCCCTCGGCCAATAAAGCGAGATGAGCGCCACAACCCCAGAGTTGGCCACGACTGGACCTAATGGTCAGGGGTCCCTTTAACTTTACCTTTACATGCTACATTCCTAATTTTACTGAGTTGGAATATGTACATTGGCATGATCATGTCTAGGAATTGAAATACCAAGTCAGTTATTGGTGGGGTGGGATGTGCAGTCTATCTGGTCACTTGGGGACCGAAGTACATACAGTGTGCTGTGTGATCACACTGAATGTTAGTTTTAAGCAGGTGCTAAAGGGGTGGGTGGGTAGGGAGTTCTGATCAAGATTAGGCCCATGGCATGTGGGGAATTACCCTTAACTCCTGCATTGCAGTCCCAAGGAAAACATCCTCTCTCCCCAGAGCTGCTATCAGCACAGTGCATTTAACATAACATATAGCTTGGCATTTGGCCTTGCAGACATGACAGCTGCTAGGGAATAGCGTCCATTGTGCGTCTATATTTTTAGTCTGAATCCTTATACAGAACTGCTACTGGTCCTTTTCCCTGGAAAAGAAACAATGTGAATTTGTGTGCATAACCATCCCTTTGTACACCATTGTATCATATAACGGGGTGCATTATATCAGTGAGTTTTATGTACATTCTTAAAAAATGTACAGCTCTTCTCTTCAGCGTGCCATGTAACCTGTTAACTTGCACAGGCTCACATGAATAGTCCCTTACGAACATTAACTTTTCACTGGAATTTACCATGGGGCTTATAGCAGTGGCTGTTCCTTGGCCTTCAGCGCCAATCGATTACTGCCTTTGACCACAATAGCAGAAAGATTTGGCCTTGACTAACACGGCCATTGAGTTACCCTGTCATTTCCCTGCTCACAACAGACTGAGCTGTTGCAGCAGGTGCAGTAAGATGATCCTGCTGTCTTGTCTGTAAGGCTTTTTGCATTAACTGATCCAGGGAAAGAAGGTGTTACTTCCTGAAAACCAGCCTTGAGTACAAATTGGGAACGATGCTTCCATTTAAGAATGACATACTTCCAGTAGTCCCCTCCTCCTCTGTTCTATTTAATATTAAGCTATACTTGCCTGTGTTTTTCATGCTTATATTGACAATGCCAGAGTCCTATGGACATGTTATCCCACTGAAATCTAATAGGCTTAAAACACATTTCAAAAGAAGTATCAATAACCACGGACAGCAGCAATGGTAGCATACTTTCAGCACCAGTGGATATATTTGTATTGGTTTGCTAAGTGCATCCACACAGCATGATTGTGTATCTAGGGGAAAGCTGGGGTAGCCCACAGTTCACAGTGGTTAAGTCTCTCCTTGGGATTTCTGAAGAAAGTGAGCATGGCAATGTCTTATAAGTAGAGTTCCTCTCGAAAATGGTCTGGAAACTGCCAGATGGTCCAAAGGGCAGCATCTCGAATGGGCCGGCCCCACCTTATTACATCAATATTTTGTCATCTGCACTGGCTCCCAGTTTATCTCCAGGCTCAGTTCAAAGTGCTGGTAAAGCCTTAAAGAAGCTTGAAGCCAGGTTGCCTGAGGGCTTGTCTCCTCCCATACATCTATACTTGCCTAGGGTCTAATACAATATTCAGAGGGTCTTCTCAACTTGCTCTCCTGACACCAGTTGTGGTATTTGCTGCACTGAGTGAAGAATTTGTAAATATATTATTCCAGGGGTCAGCAAACTTTTTCAGCAGGGGGCCAGTCCACTGTCCCTCAGACCTTGGGGGGGGGGACGGACTTTATTTTGCGGGGGGATGAATGTATTCCTATGCTCCACAAATAACCCAGAGATGCATTTTAAATAAAAGCACACATTCTACTCATGTAAAAGCATGCTGATTCCCGGACCATCCGCAGGCCGGATTTAGAAGGCGATTGGGCTGGATCCGGCCCCCGGGCCTTAGTTTGCCTACCCATGTATTATTCCTTACTTTTTATTTTTCACAAACACAATAACATTTTAGGTTATTGTTGGTATTATTCTTTTCTTTTTTTCTAAATTTCATCTACTTTTATTGTGTTTTAGCTGTTTTTTGATGTTTAGGTTCTTTAGGTTCTTTATATTTTATGGTTTATGGTAGTATTCCACTATGTTTTACTCAGAGCAGAGCCATTGAAATGAATGAACATGATTAAGTCAAGTCTGTTGATTTCAGTGAGTAAAAATTGTGAACCACCAGGAGAACCTTTTGCTAACTGGTAGTAAAGAGATGATGCAAGTAAGTAACATTAAAGAAATCCTTCCTGAAAGATGTGTTCACCTCCACGACTATGTTTCTAGTGCAATCCAGACAGATGTTGTGAGTAACAATGCCCATCTGCCACTATTTTCTTTTTGGAAGAATTAGACTGCTGTGAATATGTGAAAGAGTAAGTTGCAGCCGCCCTCCTCTTCCTTCTGTGTAGACTCACTGGGACATGATTTTGGGGTGGGGAGCATAATAAATAGAAATATAAGATTATACACTGTGTGGAGAGGCCTGTCTCATAATACCATAACTCATCCTCCGGCAGATGGAACAGACAAGACCAATAGTGGAAAGGCAGCTACAGCACATGCTATAGAGATAAACAAGGGGCAGATGATGCTCATCAAACCAGGAAAGGTAGCCCATCTAGAAGAAGGAAAATTCTGGTCCTAAACCTCCACTGCGTATACTTATTTGTGAGGAAGGCTTTGGGAATAAAATGAGTACCAAAAACTACCCAGGGAGGGCCCAAACAGATATATTAAATCTGTGACAGAATGCATCTAACTTGTCTCTTTTATTTTAGCAGTAGAAGCCTTGGGGTCCACAGAGGAGGGTCAGGAATATAGCACATGGGAATAGGGCTTTAACCTAAGCTTACCAGATTTTTTTCAATTAATCCAGGGACACTTTAAATAAAATGAAATAATTAAATAAATACTATGTTCAGGACGTTGATGCTGCAGCGATGGTGGTGGCGGCAGAGGGGCGGCCACCGCCTTGACCTCAACCGCCACGTTTCCCCTTCCTCTGAGGCGTCTGTCTTCTTTTTCCATGAGCCTGGGAAACCCCTGAGTTGTTGGTTCTTCGGTGGTGGTGGGGAAGCGGTGCGCGGTGGATCAGGCATGGAAGGCGGAGAAGGAGGGCCGAGAGCGGTGGCAGCAGCGAGGCTCGGGCAGCACGATGCCTCCCTTCCCATCGGAGCAGCCCCAATCCCATTCCTACTTGCGTGTAAGCAGGAGGGGGTGGGGATCCCTCAGCTGGGAAGGGAGGCTTCCCGTTGCCTAACTGAGAGATTCCTGCCCCCTCCTGCTTGCACGCAAGCTGTGATAGGCAGCATGAAGCCTCCCTTCACAGCTTAGTTGTTGGGGTCAGGGAAGGTGAAGGCAGCCCGGAAGCTGCATCTTAGAGCCCCTGCACCACCATCATATGGGGACTTCTGAGCAGCTCCTGAAGCCAGCCAGAGCCAGCTGCTCCAGGCTGCTGAGACTGTTTTTCCCGGGGACATTAGATGAAATCCAGGGATGAAATTTGTCTGGGGACTTATTCGCAAATCCGGGTACTGTCCCTGGGAAACAGGGATGTCTGGTAACCCTACTTTAACCTTTCCCCTACATTGCAATTCCCAATGAAAAAGAAACCTCCAAATCTGCTGTGAGGTACCAGTGGAGCTGTGGCACTGTGGTCTCAACCACTGAGCCTCTTGGGCTTGCCAATCAGAAGGTCAGCGGTTCAAATCCCCACAACGGGGTGAGTTCCCGTTGCTCTGTCCCCGCTCCTGCCAACCTAGCATTTCGAAAGCACGCCAGTGCAAGTAAATAAATAGGTATCGTTGCAGCAGAAAGGTAAATGGCATTTCTGTGCACTCTGGTTTCCATCATGGTGTTCTGTTGCACCAGAAGCAGTTTAGTCCTGCTGGCCACATGAACAGGAAAGCTGTCTGTGGACAAATGCTGGTTCCCTTGGCCTGAAAGCGAGATGAGTGACGCAACCTCATAGTTGCCTTTGACTGGACTTAACCATCCAGGGGTCCTTTACCTCTCTTGAAGTTAACAGCATCTTCTCAAGGAGAGGGTTTAATGGAATCATAGTTTGGGGTAAAATATTAACTCCCCCTTGCCACCTACCATTCCTCTATTGTTAAAAGCGGGGAAATAGATGTGTAAAATAAAGTCTTATATTTATTATATCTCTTTGCTTTGAACTCTAGCTCATGGCTGAGGGGAGATTCAAACAGAGAACTTTTTAATTTGAAGCTCGGGCTCTTAACCCCTATATCAAACCAGACATGTGGCCTTAGCTTGATCCACAACTCAGTTCCAGAAACATGCTTGGATTCTGATAAATATTGGCAAGTTCCACAGAAGAAATACTGGCTAGTTTCCACGTGCCAAAGGGGCTTTCAGCTTGAGGTTTTCAAGCAGGAGCATTTGCTGTACGGCTTGATAAACCTCTTTTGGAACTGAGGTTAGTTTCGAAACCAGTTTGTCACATGACAGTGGAGACTGCGGTTTAAAAGAAAGTATGTTAAGAATCCCACTAAGCATGCACAAAGCATAATTAGAGAAGGTTTTAGACACAGGTCATTTTGGAAAAATTAGGAAGCTGCCTTATGCCAGATTTTTTTTTTGTCCTGTCTAGGCTAGTATTTCCTACTCTGGCTGGCAGCAGCACACCACCCAGCAAGCATCCCACGATCCTTTTCTTTTTTAGCTAGAGATGCCAAGGATTGAACCTGGTACTTTCTGCACGCAAAACATGCACTCTGCTACTGAACAATGGTCATCCCTATAAAGATGATGACCTACTGGGCCAGATTTAACTAATGTATCCTACTAGCAGAAGCAAGGACTTCCGCTAGCACAGCAGGGCTCCCCCTAATCTCTCCAGCTGTTGCAGAGGATTGAGAGGACCTCCAAAACAGCATGTGGGGGGAAGGAGACGAGATCATTCAATCAAGTAAGCTGAAATGCTTGTGCTGATGGAACCATTGCCGCAAAACTGTGTTTAATTCCTCCCTTTGTATGAAACCCTTCATAATTGCTTACAAAAATGCATCCCTTTAACCCTCATGAGATTTGTTTCATGGACAAATGTTTTGCAAACATCAAGCAAATCATTCTTATCTATTTGTGTTTGTTGGTCTTTGAAAAACAAATTTATATTAGCCAGATAGTGGGATCAAAATACCTAGAACAGCTCGACTTCATACACAGGAAACCTACAAGGAAAACAAGTGAGCATTTGAGCCATGATAATAGAGAGCGCCATTGATCATTTACATTGGACTTTGTATCTGGGAGGATTTGTTGATATTTTCCAACATACCTCACCTGAAACATAATTTTAAAAATGTGGCATGTGAAGCTGAGTCATCTGTATACTTCTCTTATCATCAGATCATTTTTTTTAAAATGATATTTATTAAAGTTTCACAAGAAAAGAATCACATTAATAAAAAAGAGAAATTTAACAATAAAAAGAAAAATACACAATACAAAATAAAAAAGGAAAAAAGAAAAAACAGTTAAAAACAATTCCGTCTTTTCATCACTTCTTTTATGTTTACTTGTTTCCCGGACCTCCTCATACCTCCCTCTTTCGTATTCCAATTCAGTTTGTTAGTCCAGCAATTTCTTTCCCTCCTTTTTAATCCTAATCTTTAATCTTAATATATTATAACATTAAATTATTACCTATTAAAAGCCAATTTTTCCCTCTTATCATCAGATCAAGAACAGCAGAAGAATGTGGAACACGGTTTTCAGGCCAGTAGGAGCAGCGAGACACAGTCCTGATTATTGAAAATTAAATTGTGATGACTTGAACTCAAATGTCCTGATATGAACTGCATCCACTATGTGTTCTTTAAAACGGATTGCATTTATTTTCACAGCTGCGTGGTAAGCATTATATGCCATCTTTATCAATTCCCTGAAACATTTCTGTTTAGATTTGAAGATGAGGTAACAGTCGTTTAGGGCAGAGGAAAATAGTAGAGAGTACTGATGAGAAGATTGTTGTAAGTACTCCAGTGGTAAGTACAAGGCAGGAAAGTCCCCTTTCATGCGCAGAACTTTGCTTGTGGTTCTCTGGATCCAAGCATACAGTGTTTCGAATAGAGAACAAAAGAGGGCAGAAGCAGTAAATAAATGCTATAGAATGATAGGAGCATACAGTATTCCTACTTGGGGGATAGAGCAAAAGATAAGGAAAGACAAGGTTTCACTGTAAGCTTTTGATTTTGCACATGCAGCTCAGGTAGAGGAAGTTGTTCACAATGGAGTTAATTTGCCCCACCCTTGAGGAGGCAGCAGGGAGGTGGCATTCCCTCCCCCCATTCCAACTCTCTTGGGCCAGCTCTGTGCATGAATGTTATCCAAATCAAATTATGGTATTTATGAAATTATACAGGAGACAGTGAACATCATGGAATAGCCGCCAAATTTTTACCCTGGGGATGCTAAAGAGTTTTAAAAGTGCTTAGTTTTTCTCTCTGCTTTTTAGATTCCTTGGTATTTTAGTCAATTGGGGTTGAATAAATTAACCTCGGTTTTCTTATCCACCAGTTGGCTGATATTTGTTCTTTCACTCCAACCAGTTAAAGGGGTAAGTTATTTGAATCAAAGTTTCCTGCTTCTCTTACTGTTTCCATCTGTTAACAGAATACGTTTCCACAGAGATCTCCCTTCCCAAATGCTTCTTTTCGTATTTGGGAGGTTTATACTATGGGGTAACCAGCCTCGTATAACCAGCATGCATAAAGGCATTAAAACCATAGAGTAAGCTTTCCTGCCAGCCATAGCTACATCACTTCACTTCACCTGAGAGGAACTAATAGGCAATCAAGTCTTTGTTTGTTTCAGTCTACTATTTCAATCTGGTGTGTGAGGAAGTTTGAGCTGGTTGCTCCTGCTCAGCTGCATGACTTTAATCAGCCGTTTTTTGTTTCAGACAAGTGGGAAACTTTGGAAGGAGCTTTTAAAGGGGATATCTTTGGAATTCACTTGGAGGGGCACATTTTTAAGGTTTTACAGCATATATATATATGAATGTTGGACTAGTCAAAACAAACAAACAAAAAGTATTAAATACTTAGATTCATTTCAGGACACCAACAATAGAATAATCATATAAAAAAAAATCAGTTATTGTAGGCATGGATGGATTTGATGTGCCTGCAATTCTATACACACTTACTGGTAAGCTCAGCTAGATTTATTTCTAAGTAGACATTAATAGGATTAATAAGTAGACATTAATAGGATTTTGCTTTAAAGCTATAATTGCAAAATTAAAAAATGCATACTTAAGAATCAGTTAAGAGACTACTCTTGTGTTAGACTGTTTTAATTTATGCATATCTGTATTCTGTGCCCATAGTATTTCTTTTAACAGTATGCATTATAGAAAACACCTGCTGATTGGGAGCATGCATTACTTTATAGTTTCAGATGTTTAAAGATTCTCAGTTAATTTAAAAACTGAAGACTGTCAGTACATTGGCTATTTCACAGTCTGATGGCTGAGGAAAACCTTCACATCTGACATGGAACCACAGCACATCTCAGGAGATCTTGGAATACCTTCTAGGGCAGGCATAGGCAAACTCGGCCCTCCAGATGTTTTGGGACTACAATTCCCGTCATCCCTGACCACTGCTCCTGCTAGCTAGGGATCATGGGAGTTGTAGTCCCAAAACGTCTGGAGGGCCGAGTTTGCTTATGCCTTTTCTTGGGCACATACTTTGTTCATTCAGGCAGATATTGATTGGTCCAGATTGGGTTCCCCACCCCTGCATTTTACCTTTAGAAAGCCATTTTCCCAGTTGCTAATTGCATGAATGGTGTCACATCTGTTTTGGTTCTTAGTAATGGAAGATTGCTTGCCATTATAGACCTTCTTACAGAGGAACCCATGGTGAACTTAGAACTAACCAGATGGTTCCATGGAATGCAGCTTGAAAGCCACAGAGTGGTAGTTTTCATTGAGAATTGTCAGTTATTTTATGAGAAACTATCATGAATAGTTGTTAATCTATGTTTTGACTATTCCAGCATTTTAATCTTCAGTGCAAGGCAGAATACTGAAAAAATAAATACTTTGCCTAGAATGATAAAGAAATAGTTTTGGTTTTTGGGAGGAAAAAAACCAATTTTTAAAAAGCATGATTTTAACAAGGGAGACAAAGGAAATACATTTCCACATTCCTACGTTAATTCTGTCTCAAGATATAAAACAGGCTGGGAGGGTGAATGACCAGAGAATGCAGATTTTTGTGCATGCTGAAGGTCAAGAACACAAAATGTTTTGGAAATATTTTAGATAAGGAAAAAAGTGAGTTAGTTCATTTTACCAGAGAACTCTGCCTTCTCCTTGAAAAATGGAATTTTAAACCTACAGTATGTTTTATTAGGGAGAGAAATAAACTCGCAAAAAAGGTATGTGACTAGTGTCATATCAGGGCTGCATCCAGTTGTCTCTTTCCACTCTGGGAAGCCTCTTTGATCCAGCAGAGTTTTCCATGACAGAAAGGGAAGGTGACTTTCACTGATTGCCTTCTGTGTCCTCCTTCCCACAAATCTCTGATAGGTGGTTGGAGAATCCTTTGGAGTAGCATGAAATATGACATTGGGAACTGCAGGAGAATGAGGGAATTTGCAGAAAGCGCCTCCATTGCCCTTCCACTTGTGGAAGCCTTAGTCTACCATGACCAGGGCAACACACATAGATACAACCTGCATAGTTCAATCCAGTCCAGGTACCAGTGGACTTGGCCGAATCTCTGTGTAGTCAGGAGGTCCCTTGCTGCTGTCAACATAAATTAAATTAAAGTTAAAACACAGTATATCATCTACTTTTCAACACTCAGTTATCCCTGTGGCATAGTGTTCCAGGTATAACAGGGGTATGGAACCCCTTTCTGTTAAACTGACCTTATTTATTTACAAAAATCTTTCTATACTGCAATTCCTTTGAAATTATCAAAGCAGTTTATAACAATTATACTACAATAAAATTCACTCAAAATTTAAACAGACCACCAGCTGGCTATTAATGGCTTTTCCTAATTGTCTGCATAAGACTGGCAGTAAAGAAAAGCTTTCAGCAAATGTTTGAAGGACAATATAGAGGTGGGTGCCTGTTGAATTTCCATTGGAAGAGCACTCCCGAGGAGTGGACCAATAGCATGAAAGGCTCAGTTTCATGTTGATGCCAAATGAATCACACCAACTTGGTGGACATCCAGTGATGCTTCCACAGATGTTCTCATACCGTATTGGCCCCAAAATAAGCCACACTTTTTTTTCCAAATTCCGACTGTGAAAGGTTTAAGTGTGGCTCATATTCGGAACCAAGCACTGCCGGCTTGGGGAGGTAGTGTCAGGAGGTGGGTGCACAGTGTGCTTAGATCTGGGCGCCGGGCGCCCCTTTGCCCTCCATTCGGGACAGTAGTGCCTGGAGCTGGGCCGCACTCACAAATAAGCCTTGAATTTTAAAGGTGCAACTTATTTGCAGGTGCGTCTTATATTCAGGCCAATATGGTATATGTGATTCATTTACTATTTGAACAGGTTACAGATGCCTTTGGAAATCCATTGACTGACATTAAACCTTGTTTTGTCAAATGGAATATTTTAATATTCTTTGTTTGAAACTGGTTCCCCCTGGCCCCGATATGCCTTATTTCTCCCAAATTATATCGAAATGTTAAATAAAATATAACCATCCCAACCCAGATAAGGTTATATATGGTTTGCTCCTATTGAGCCAAATGGCAACAATCCTATCTCTACTTACCTGAGATTATAACCCAATTGCACACAAATGGGACTAATTCCAAGTAATTTTGTATCGGATTATGCTGCACATTTAGCTAGATTGGGGCCAACAGGTTTGAAAATAATAAATTGTTAAACATGAGAAGACTAACTTCCATTTCTTTATAGGGTCAGTATGCATATATTAGTCGTTGTGGTGGACAGGATTGCACAGCTTGTCAATGTTTTCCCGAGAAAGGCTCAAGAGTAAGTGTTAAATTCACTTTATTTGTTTACCCCTCTTTCCTCCATTAACATGTATTCTAAAGTAGTTTACAAGTTTAAAAAATACAATAACACTTTAAAAGAAAGGGGGGGACCACAGAACTACTGTTTTGAAGCAATAGTAAAAGCAGTTGGTCTAAAAGTATACCTTTGAAATTTCAAAGAGATGTAAATATTTTTAGCTTCATATCCATTTGCGAACCTTGATGATTTTTTTCATCCTGATATACATTTGCAATTCACCTAACATCATGTTTTGATATTAAGGAAGATACTACAGATAGGCTGGGGGGGGGGGGAATCTGTGTTTCGAAAATAATATGTAGCCAACATTTCAATTTCACTTCAAACTATTTAGCTTTAAATTTCTCTGCATGATGATAATAGATTTATTCCCACTGAATATTATATGTAAGAACAGAGTTTAACACATTAGTCAATGAACTTTACACACAGTCCTTTACCCTGTGCCCTCTGTTTATTTGGGGGAGAATCAACCATATGGCAATGAGAAATAGAAAATGCCATTTGACCACAGTTGAATGAGCTGGAATTTTAATTGCTGAAAAATGCAGCCATTAAAATGTTAAACCAAGATCAAATAAAATGGAAGCACATGAGTAAACAGTACTTTGAAACTTGGCTTCCACTTGCTGTTAGGAGAATGCATAAAATCACCAACGTGCATAACTGCAGTTGTCTTTGAACAAAAGCCAGTTTGGATTACCTATTCTCTCTGTTTTATGAGGGAATCCAAAATATCTTGTTGTAATAGCACAGGAAAGATTATGGAGACTCTTGGCCATTATCTTGTATATAGTTAGGGCAGCTTAAGTCCCATTATATTCCAAATACTAATTTATTTTATTTGAAAAAATGGCAATTCAAGCTCAAATGACACAGGGCCAGATTACCAAAATTTAGGGAGGAGATTGGGAGCACCCTTCCACCTACTTCCTGTCCTAGTCACATGAATTATACCCTCTCTTTCCCAATTGGCCATTGTTATTGTTTATTGTGATGTTTGAACCAGCATAACCATAATGTTTCAGATATTTCAGAATAAACTGTAACCTATTCTTGTTTTGAGCCAGCCCTTCCAATTCTACAGTTCTGTGATTTCCTTTTTCTTACAAAGATGGTCACCAATCTTTAGCAAACTTTTCCGTAAAGCTTGTTCTTGCTTTCCCTTCTCCAAACATGCAATTTGTTTCCTTAAATGCAGAAGCCAAAGAGTATAAGCAGATTACCTTATTAAAATTGATCTCAATTAATAAGAATATTGTTGTTAATAATAAACACCACAAGATGTTCTGCTCTGACCTCTGAAGTTAGATCCCATTCACTACTTTAAGCTTCCTTGATAGAATTAAGCAGATCATAGAAACAAGGTTGCATTCACGGCATGACCTAATTTGGCGTTTCCTAAGAGATTGTGTCACATGCTCAGAGCAGAGCCAGTTGTAAGTATGGCTTCTCTGATGTTCATTTCTTCTGTAGCGAAAATGAATGACCAACATTTTATCCCCATAAGGTTGTCATTTGTTTCTGAGTTCTGAAAGTAAATTGTGGGCAAAAAATCTACCTAAACAGAATATTTCAGTCCAAATTTTTCAGGGATCTGTCATTGCACATTGTGGCCCAATAAATATGTAATGGTTTCTCATTATGTGCGTGATCCATGTGAGTCTAAGGTTCTCAAATTCCGTCCTTCCCTTTCTCCACACATAAGGGGAAGAAACTGTGTAACAAGTCACAGTTTGCTGTTTCACCCTGGAAACTGGTTTGAACAAACCATAAAGTTAACAAACCAAAGCATCAGACCTTGTTAGCCAAATCAAATCTCCCTACTTCATTCTTCTAATAAGAAAAATAGAGAAAAGGTTATATTTATTATGAATGGAGTTGATACTATTCACTGTTCAGAAACTGGAAAGAGGAAATTGTCTTCTGCATGTGGTGCATCATTCAAAAGACGGTTCTCCAGAAAGATAAAATATGGCACCTAATGAGATTTAGAAAAATCCAAGAGGAAAGGCCCATTGATTGTTGTTACCCATTGATAAGGAGCCATATTTAGAGGCAGTACACTGATATTCAGTTGCTAGGGGACAACAGTTGGGGAGGGCTATTGTCTACATAACCTGCTGGTAGACTTCTTGCAGGCATATGATTGGCCACTCTGGAAAACAGAATACCTGACTGGATGGACACATTGGCCTGATTCAACAGGCTATCATCATCATCATCAATCTTGATGCCATCATACATAGGAAAATAAGCAAGCACCCTCCCTTCAGATGTCAAGGAGATAAAGAACCACATAACTTTTAGAAGACATCTGAAGGCAGCCCTGTAGATGGGGTGGGGTATAAATAATCATCATCATCATCATCATCATCATCTCACTGGTAAGGGGAATGAGGTCACAAATGAACAGAATGTGTGGGAAACTTCATTCACATTCTCTCACAGATGAGGAAATTAAACTTCTAGAAGAACAAATTACTCCCCAGGATATTTCCTGGGGAGTAATTTGATCTCTACCCTAAGAAATTCTCTACCCTAAGAAATTCTGTCGTCCAAATGGCTTCAACGCTCTCTGCTATAAACATTACAAAGATATTTTGATCTCCTATATGTCCAGATTTTTCCATGATATCTGAAAAGGGGATACCTTTTCAAGGACCTGGCTGGAATCCAAAATTGTCACAATACCCAAGCCATTTATGGATCCATTACAAGTAGAGCCCAATTTCATTGACTAATCAGTATTATAAGATATTTGCATTGATCTTAGCTAATTGAATAAACTTACTACCCCCGATCAATTTGGCTCTGTCCCTCAGCATAACATAGCAGACCACATAATAAAGGTATTAAACCTTATCACTCTTTCCAAACAATCAAAGTCGCTGCTTTCAATATGGCTCTAGATATTTGAAAGGTCTTTGACTGCTTGGAATGGAATTTTCTGGTGCTAGTCTTCAAACAATATAAAATCTGGCCCTAACTTCCTTCCACGATTCAACAAATATATTCTATATCCCAAACTATAGTTAGTCAATGGCTTAGATGGTACTCCTTTTAAAATATACAGGGGAACAAATCAGGGGTGTCCCCTCTCCCTTTTTCTCATTATCTTTGTTTGATAGCTAGAGGCTCTAGGGCTAAGATCTGACCCAGAAGTTGCTGGTATACTCTTCAGAGATAAAACATATACTCTGAATGTTTATGCAGATGATATAATGGTTACCACAAGAACCTCTTTGCAACAGTAAGAGCTTTGCAAAAGGAATGGACATATTTTGGCAAATTCTGAGGACTGTATAAATTTTCAGAAATCTGAAACTATGTGCTTTAACGTTCCCCCTAAAATCAAAAAAGAACTAGGTACCCTATAAAAAAAATCAAACTGTCTTACAAAATTGAAATACTTGGGTATCTTTATTACTGGAAGCTTAAATAGAATGCATAAGGATAACTACAAGCCTCTTTGGCAAGGCTTTAACAGAGAGCTGTGCACATGGAAATGGAAAAGCTAAGGAATCTAGAACCTGTGCGGAAGAAATATGCAAGGAAACATGCAGGGGAAAATTCAGAAGCATCCATGAACATTACCATTTCAAAGTAGCCATGTTCTTGTCATGCCTCTGAGGCCCTGCATTTCTCAGCAAGGAGCCTATGAGGTGCAGTCAGAGCCAGGGAGTGTCAAAGGGCTCACAACAAGTTGCCTGCTTCCTTGGCACTGTCCGGGGTACTGAAAGACTTGTTGGCAACCACTCTGATTTTCTAGGATTGTGATCCTGCTAATAATCAATCTCTTCCTGCTTAGCCACACCCTCTGCTCTAGACCTGCATCTTTCCAACACACTGCTAGCTCTGCTTTTACCAGGACTGGACACAACATCACACACACGGAAAAAGTTTTAAATTCTGTTTCTTCATTTAATTGGATGTAGTAGGCTAAATTATCTTTCCTTCTTCTTAGTGTAGTGTGAAGTAATAGTGACACCCACTGGCAAGAAGGATACTCTGGTGAACTTCAATCGAGAACAAATGCAGCTAAGGCATACATTTGTGTAACACATATAATGCTTAGCACAACTGTTAACAATGCAGGACAGTACACTGTCATACTATGAAGCTGGACCTTGTGATAGTAATCACTGTAAATTGGATGCTAGGAGGTACTGCACTTATTCCATTACATCTGGGAAAATGAAAAAGACTATTCTCAAGTGTTGGTGCAAAATATCCTGCTCAGTATTTCCATATGCTGAATTACTTTTTTTTTAAAAAAAACAACTTCACTTTCAATATTGGCTTATAGCATCTCAGTTTTAGTGTGCTTTCAACTGCTCCTCAGGATTTTATTTGTCTGTTATTTGTCTATTATTATTTATTTGTCCAAGTCCTCAGTAATGCAAAGAAATATTTTAAGAAAAACAACAGCACCTCACTCTTCTTTTTAGGGTTCTAATGTATTGTCAAATTCCTGAGCCACTCTCTATTGTGTTAAGAACATGTTGCAGAATACACTCGCAATTAAACATTGATCTAGAGGGTTCTAAATCTTCCCCCAGCATTTGGCTGGTAACAGCTCTGCCCTAAGTGCATCTATAGTCATATAGGCTGGATGAAGACTTATTCAATATATAAAGAAACTCCACCTACACTTCAGCTCATGCAAGTTCAGGTATTGCACACATCTTCCTTCTAAAGCATGAGAGTTTCTCTGAGATAAGCCTTATGGGTTTGGGACTGCACAGTTCCTGGGAGCCTGAAAGGGCAGCCTTTGGGCAATTATGCATAGTTCTGTCTGAATTGTAATTATTTGGCTAGAAAGCAGATAAACTCTTGATTTTCCTTCCATTTACTTAGCTAGTTGACAAATGGCCTCTCCTCATCTAACTTGTGCAAATTTAAACAGGAAAAGGGGGACCCATGGAAATTCAACTCATCTCTTTTTATTGTAGAGCAGGTCACTATAGCAACTTCTCACGCTCCTGGTTCAACTCTTGACTACAAACGAGTAGTTCAGAAAGCAATCCCATTAAAAGGTAATTACGCAAAGCAAGTACCCAACTGTCTCGTGTAAGGTATCAGGATAGGCATGCCCTTAATAAGATAAGATGTCTTACCAGATCCTCAGTATATTCTTATTTAAACTGTCAAAAAAAAAATTCAAAATGATCATTGGTATCTTGCTGACCTTATAATAATCCTCTTGACCAAATACTCCAAAGAGTCTTGGTGTTCCAATGACTCATGTTAATATGCAATACTGTTATGCCTGGCATCTGCTAAAAAGGCAACTGGCCAGACCCACCAAGTTGTGCTCCAGCCTAGCATAACCCTTAACCCATTCTTCCCTCTGCCAGCAAAGAAGATGGATTAAAGATTCTGGAAGTCACCAAGCTGCAGTCATATTTGTAAGGTAGTAAACAGGGCCCACCATAATGTGGATCTAGTCCTGAAGATCTTGAACAAAAAGGAGGCTGTAATATTTAATATTAATTGTTGAAATTTGAGAAACCTCAATTCCAGTAGAAGAACTTTGCTTCATAAAAACTATTGTAGTACAGTGGTACCTCGGGTTACAGACACTTCAGGTTACAGACGCTTCAGGTTACAGACTCGGCTAACCCAGAAATAGTACCTTGGGTTAAGAACTTTGCTTCAGGATGAGAACAGAAATCGTGCTCCGGCAGCGCGGTGGCAGCAGGAGGCCCCATTAGCTAAAGTGGTACCTCAGGTTAAGAACAGTTTCAGGTTAAGAACGGACATCCGGAATGAATTAAGTTCTTAACCCGAGGTACCACTGTATGCATTATGAAAGGTCTTCATTTCTGGTTGAAATACGTCGCAAAACTTCCTATATGGGACAACAGAATCATAGAGTTTTGTCATAATTGCAGTACTAGAAAATAAGCAGTTGACATTTATTTTGCCTACAATGTTGCTTTTTTTTAAAAAAGTTGTTTTTAATGTTTTTTAAAAAATAAAAATAAGAACCCTCACTTTTAAATTGAGATATTTTGTTTGGTTGAGACTCAACCTCCTACAGTCAGTCAGGTTCGGGATGTACTAAAATAACACTGCCTGGCTGTGGCATTGGGAGAATTCCTGACCCAGGACAATTAACAACTTAATGGAATTTATTTGGATCAGCTAGCAGATGCCAGGCACAGCATTCTGTCTGTTTTAACTGAACTAATTTGTCATTTCCCCGTTAAGCATGGCTTCCTTCATCTGCTTTATTTTGACAGCTGTCCTGAAACTCAATGCTGCAGCAGTCGTATTAGATGGGCACAGATAATGGTTGTTATGGGCGGTATCAACTTGGTCTTAACAAAAGCTTCCACTCATAATCGGTCTTTTAGCTGAAAGAAAGACTAGCAATGCCCTGGCTTTGCATGGTGGGCCAAAGTTGAATCACTCAGCTGTCAAACTCATTGTGAATTCTGGATTAGTTGGTGTGTTTCTGGTGACAAGCTAAATTAGGGATAGCCAACTAGCAGCCTGCAGGATGAACCTAACTTCTGAAACGCTCCTAAGCCATATTAATAGTGCTGAAGAGCTGTTCGAAACTCCATTAAAATTGTAATTTAGGTCAGTATGGTAAAAATGTTTGTCCATAGGTAAGACACCTTAAAAAAAATCATCCACCTTTTGAAAGTTTTTATTTCCTTATGAGTGATCATCCCTCCTTTAAAAAGAAACACCTTATATAAGAACTAGGGACGCGGGTGGCACTGTGGGTTAAACCACAGAGCCTAGGGCTTGCTGATCAGAAGGTCGGCGGGTTGAATGCCAACAACGGGGTGAGCTCCCATTGCTTGGTCCCTGCTCCTGCCAACCTAGCAGTTTGAAAGCACATCAAAGTGCAAGTAGATAAATAGGTACCGCTCTGGCGGGAAGGTAAATGGCGTTTCCGTGTGTTGCTCTGGTTCGCCAGAAGAGGCTTAGTCATGCTGGCCACATAACCTGGAAGCTGTATACTGGCTCCCTCGGCCAATAAAGCGAGATTAGTGCCACAGCCCCAGAGTCATCCACGCCTGGACCTAATGGTCAGGGGTACCTTCACCTTTACCTTTATATAAGAACTAAGAAAACAGATCTGAACAAAGGCAAAATAATACAGATTGAACAAAAGCAAAATGCCTTAGCTGTTAAAGGTCAGGGTGAAGAGGTGTCTATTTAGCATATAGCAGAAGCTATACAGTGGGGGTGCTGGGCATTCTTCTGTGTGGAGGGAGTTTCACAATTTGGCAGCTGCCACTGAGAGAGGCTTCACCTGGGCAACCATTCCTGCACTTCTCAGGGTGGTGGGACTATCCTTTGCTAATCCTAAAACCCAAGAAGTTCTGTAGGGATAGAGGTGGTATTTCAGATATTTGGGAACCTAAGTCATTAAACAAAGCAATATGAAAACCTTGAATTGAGCCTGGAAACAAACTGGAACTGGTGCAGCTGTTTTAAAGAAGAGGTTATATAAGCTCTAAATAGATATCTATCCAGTAATCTGGCTGCTGCATTTTGGACTTACAGAAGTTTCTGAAACATTGTCAAGGACAGCCCCATGTAGAGCACATTGCAGTAATGGAATCGGAACATTATAGGAGCACTGAGTACAATGCCCAAGTCCTCTGTCTAAGAGGGGTTGTAGGTGGCAAACCAGACGGAGCTGGGAATAGGCACTTCTAGTCACCTAGTCTTTCTGAGTCTTATCCTTCTTTCCTATGTGTAATATTTCAGATTTACTTGAGCAGATAAGTCCTATGACTGTGAAGCCCTGGCTGCAAGATGGAGTCAACTTTTATTACACCACTTAGAAATTCTGAAATTAAAGGGGCATATAAATAGCTGAAATAAATATACACATTGCTATATAATTTTGTCTTCAGGATTACAGCCCAAAGGAGAGAGCCTTCTGGAAAGTATTATAGTTTATTCAACTCGCACAGGAATGATTTTGATAATTTCAAGTGAAGTTCCACTTGACTAAATACGTAGGCTGGTCCTTGCTGTATACTTCTGTGCAGCATAACTACTAAGCAGATTCATTTGCTCTTGTATTTTTAAAAATGACTAATATGTTGGCCATTCCAAAGGTTGCAGTGGTTTTTATAAAGCATAGTTAAATGATCACTGCTCTAATTCATTTAGATTCTGGAGTTGAGTGGTATTCATCTCACAGCAACATGAAAATCGGCTGAGGCTTACTGAAGACCACACAGAGAGTTTTATTGGTCAATAAGAGATGTGAACCTCCATCCCAAGTTTCAGTGCACCTTCAGACCCAGTGCTTTAGCTGATACACCAAACATATAATAATTAATAATTATAATTAATTAATAATTTATTTATTATTTATACCCCACCCATCTGGCTGGGTTTCCCCAGCCACCCTGGGCAGCTCCCAACAGAATATTAAAAACACGATAAGAACTTCCCTAAACAGGGTTGCCTTCAGATGTCTTCTAAAAGTTGAGTAGTTCTTTATCTCCTTGACATCTGATGGGAGAGTGTTCCACAGGGTGGGCGCCTCTACGAGAAGGCCCTCTGCCTGATTCCCTGTAACCTCACTTCTCACAGCGAGGGAACCGCCAGAAGGCCCTTGGCGCTGGACCTCAGTGTCCGGGCTGAACAATGGGGGTGGAGACACTCCTTCAGGTATACCGGGCCAAGATTTTAGTAATGTTAACCAAAGATGAATCCTTAAAAGCCAGTTTTCCAAAGGTGGCAATTTGTGGCTGCACTCAGCACTGGCCCATCAGTGAAGCAGACTGAGGCAGCCGCCTCAGCTGATGGAATCCAAAGGGCACCTTCATTGGTGTGTTGTTGCTGATGAAGCGAGGAGAAGTGGCAGCTTCTGGGTTATGGCAAGATCTCATGCGAGCAACTGCTAGATCATACTCTCGCAACCTTCCTGGGAGCCTGGTTAGATCACGTGAGGCCTCTGCATGATCGTGTGAGCTCTTGTGAGATCTTGCCAGAAGCTGAAGCCACATGACCCCTCTAAGTGAGTCTTCAGCAGTGGCGGCAAGGAGGATAAAGTTTGCATGCCACCACAGGGCAGCACCTTCCCATTTGGCCTCAGGCAGTGAAACAGGATGGGCTGCCCAACTTACCTGGGAATAAGCCCCACTGCAGTCATTAGGACTTACTTCTGAGTGGACATGTATAGGATTACATAGTGCATTTCCAACTAACATGAAGGTCAAAAAGAATCATGGAATCAAAGTAGAGGCCAGGGGGTTATGGGATTTGCAATTTTCCAAATAAACTGAGAATCAGTAATCCTTTGTGAAATAAGAAGTATTAGCAAAAAGAAGTTTTGGTAAGGAAAGTCATTGAAAAGGCCCATGAGTTTTCTTCTCATTGAAAAGTCCTGGAAGCTCTGCATCTGGACATTTCTGATTCTGTTCATGTTGATTCTGTGAACAAGCCATAGACTGTGCTGCACAGGTTTCACACCTATTTGTGGTCCTGCAATTGTGATTACATCAAGCCTCAAAAGGCGAAGTGGGTATTTATTTCACATCTGTAATATGTTCACATCTTCAATAAGTACGGTATGTTAACATTTGCTATTTGTGAGCATATGCAAATGTTGTTTCTGCAGTGGAGTTTATAAACTGAAATGGTTTGCTGCCCTCAAGTGGTTAAATATTGCATATGCATATTGCATATTGCATATGCATATTGCAATATGTAAGGTGTGCTGGTAATTCAATAAGGGGCAATGCCAAAGGCAGTCTTGTAGGTACCCGCACGAGTGTGAGAGATGTGCAGGGGCTCACCAAGCCACAGTGTGTTACAAAGGGAAGCGGCCCTTTTGGACATGCCGGGCAAGGAAAAGTTTTTTAAGAAAAGGAAAATAGCTGTCCTTTACAGTGAGCCAAAATGAAGTGGAAATATAAACCGTGGGTTAACCTGGACTTTTCAGTAAGGTACTATAAGCCGAAACCGTTTTTGTTGTTGTTGTTTAAAAGTGCTTTTCTTTAGGGAGCCTGTACTGGCAAGTGAAGCCAATGACAAGAACCAGGCAAAGGCACACCTTCAAAGGTTCTAAACATATAAACGTGCAGTGCTGAGGAATGGTTCCCTGATCAAAAACCCTGAATTGTCCACCCCAAGCCCTGCCTTATTTCTTCCCCCAAACATCAAGCGAAGGGGGGGGGTGACTTAGAGAAACCAAGAGGGGTGAGGTTTAAGCACACAGTCTATTCCAAGCCCCGGCAGTCTTTAAAATTTTACAGGGGGCTCCCGATTTAAGTGGTACCAATGGAAGGGATGGCAGGGTAAATTAAACCCACGCTAGAAGAGTAATAAATCAATAAACGGCAGGCACAAACACACGCTGCAAGCACACACACACACACGACTTAAAATTAGAGAGGAACAGGAAAAGGAACCCTGAGGATCATCTAGTCCAACCCAAGCAATGCAGAAATATTCAGCTGTCCCATACAGGGATCGAACTTGCAACCTTGGCATTATCAGCACCATGCTCTAACCAACTGAACTATCCAGGCTCTCAAGGACAATGGAGGGGGAAAACGCAGCAGCACCCTGGCCAACAAATTAAAATGTAAGGCAAACCCACTCAGTCACCCAGACCAGCCATGCAATTGGACAGGCAAGGGTAATAGAGGGGGAAACGTACAGCCACCAAGGCAGAGGTAGGGGAAGGAAAGCGAGGAGACGAGGGAGAAAGAAAGACGGAGCCACACTCACACTCAGACCTCGCTGGGGGCATGTGTTGGGCAAGGGAACAAGCTGCAGCTGAAGAAAGGTAATTCGCACTCAGACCGCACAAACAAATCAAGCACCAGGAGTGGGGGGAAATAGAAGGTTAAATGTAGGTTTTTACATGGAAAAGAGGACACAGCAAGGCAAACCTGGATGCCTGGGTTTTTAAAAGCAGTAAAGCAATGAGCGCACGCAAGCCTCCTAAAGTTAAAAGGCAAGCCAGGAACCAGGCAGCCTCCACACACACAGACACCCCTGGGGAGGGCTCACAACAGATTTAGGGAGTGCACAAGGGAAGAAGAGGGAGGAGAGCATTCTCTTGGAACAATCTGCTTAAGGCTGCTTTGAAAACAATGCTCAGCCTGTGCTTTTGTGTGTGCATGCTACATTCATTACTACATAGTATCTTAGAAGGAGAAGCTGAAATAATACATGAACAAATGTAGAATGAATTTTCTTCCATATCTTCCTTGGGATATATATATATATTTTTAAGACTGATGAATATGAATTCTTTTTTTCCCTTCAGGGACAACCTGGTCAGATGGGGCCCCAGGGCCCAATTGGGGCTTTGGGTTTAATAGGACCCATTGGTTTGCCAGGAGTAAAAGGCCAGAGGGGTGATATTGGTCTGCCTGGGCCAAGTGGACAAAGAGGAAGTCAGGTAGGTAATAATAATGCTCAAAGAAAGTGATTTAATGTTGTGATAACAAAATAAAAACAATTACAGCGTGAGCTTCAATAGTTCTCTTTCTCACATGGTGTAAGAATATGTATTATGCAAATCTTTCCTTCAAGATAAATTAGTTTTAAAATGCGTAATTTAACATTTGTTGCAATTTAATCTCTTCAGGGTCCTACTGGCGTTCCAGGATTTTCAGGTTTAGACGGTATACCTGTAAGTATTCTACAGGTGTTCATGTATTTTATAAGACTGTAGGATGGTGTTATTGCAGAACTAAAGGTTTTATTGGTCCTTTTCTGTCCTTCTTGCTGAATGAAAGTTCGTAAGGGTTCCTTCTATATAAGGACCACAAAATTCTTCAAAATTCTTCCTATCTGTGAGGAGAGCCAATCATGACTTTCATTACAAAGCTAACAGATATAATTTACAAGATGCTCACACCAAGTATGAAAACCCTTATGCAAATCATGACTTGAACATGATTTGAACTGTGTTAGATATATTAACATTATTGATGTTTCTTCCTATTGGGTTTCGCACGGCAACTTCTCAGGGTTGTGGTGCTCCAACTTACATTGCAACAGGTAACTACTGAAATCTCACTGAGGAGTGGTTTTAGCATAAAAACGTTGTCAAAAACAAGGTGCATGTGTCACCATGGTTTGTGTTTTTGTCAAATCATTATCCTTCCCCTGCCCCATTTATATGAATTTGCATTTTAATGTAATCTGTTCTAGGGGTTACCAGGACCTGATGGACCCAGAGGTAAGCCTGGCTTGGATGGGTGCAATGGCTCAAGGGGAGATCCAGGATTTCCCGGAGAGGCTGGTCGTATTGGCCCAAGAGGCTCCTTCGTGAGTGAAAGTTTATTATGACCTTATTCTAACTATTGTATAGAACCTGAGTGGGGAACGGGTGGGCCTTACCTGAACTGGATCACCAGGTCATACCCAGCTTGCTCACTGAGATAATCCAGACGAAAACTGTTAGCTGCATAGTTGGGCATTTGGTGCCACCAGTATTCCAGCAGAGATTGGGCAGGATTATAAATCATTTAATGTGTCAATACGAATGGAAGTCGTTAATGTTGCAGTTGTTGTATAAGGCCTTGTTATTTTGACTGCAGTGTAATTGATATTAAAAAGATTTGGAACAAGAAATAAAGTAAATCATCAAACCATCAATTCTAGCATATGGGGGGCACCTAAATTATATAATCTGGCATCTAAATAATTGGTATTAGTAATTGTGTTATAATTTGGCATTGTTATAATGAGGCTATTATTGGATTACTGTAATTGAATACTAATAAAAATTATTATATATATAAAAAAGAGATTGGACAGGCTTTCCTATTTTTGACTTTCTTTCATCTGTTGAAGACTTTTTTTAATACCGAAAAACCTACGCAGTTGTTTCAACTTTTCTTGGGCAGCCAGTTATTTTAATGTTTGATCTGTATTTCTATTTGTATTTTTAGTATGTGTTTTATGTTTTAACATCATAAACCAACCCAATATTTATGATGTGGCAGTATAGAAATACTTCAGTAAACAAATATAAATAAATAAATAAAATATTTGCATTGTCCAAATCAAAGACTACTGTTAAACATATATCATTGCTTTGTTTTCATAAGCCAAATCATAGAACGACTCTGTAATTCATTTGAGGGTTTTTTATTTATTAAAAATCTGTTTTTATAGGGTATTCCTGGTCAAAAGGGAGAAAAAGGAAATTCTGTGTATGTTTCTCAGTTCATTAAAGGACCTCCGGTAAGTGCAATGAGATATTATTTGGACAAAGTCTTATTGCAATTCTTTTAGAAAAGTACTTACATGTCATATGGCTTGCACATTAAAATTTTCATTGGCATGGATATAAAATTCACAGGGGACATCCTTTGGTGTCATCCTGCTTGTGCAATGGGACTCCTCCCCCATCTTGTAGCCCAATGCCCTCCCCAAACATCTGGTCTGGATGGTTGGAGGACCTCCTGGAGCAGATTGTGGGTTGAAGGGAGGAGGGGATGGGGATGTCATGCTGCATCTACCAGCACAACATTGGGTATAACTCCATGTAATTATAACAGTTCAGAAATTTTGAAAGTAGATAATGCACATAATACAGGTGAATGCTATAATAGAGAAGGAACTATATCCAGGTTGTCTGGGGAACAATGTCTGCATATTCCAGACACTTCTAGCAAGAATGCATTACATAATTATGGAATTTATTATGGGTTTAAAAATGATGAAAATATACACAATCAGAGGCCTTTCGGTTGCCTCACTGAAGGATTGTTCATCGAAACGTGTAATGGACAAAGATAAGAAAGTCCTGCTTTGCCATTTTCTTTTCTGAAACATGTTTTCCCTGTTTACTGATGTGGTTTGTTTTAGGGTGAAATTCCATGTATGCCAATTTGAAAGTGAGGCCCACAGAAATAAGTACAACTTAACTTTTGACTGAACATATGTGGGACTGGATATTCAAACTTGTTTTAATACATGTATTAACATGTATTTATTTAGCAAAATGATTTGTTGTGCATAGTCCATTTATTGTCTATTCCCTGGATAAGTGATATCTTAATGTTCACTATCTTATCTTAGATTGTCTGCATTGCTTCCTTTTTATATTGTACTGTAATTCATGATGCTATGGTAATGTGAATAGCTACTACAAAGAAGTGTGTGATCTAACAAAGTGGTTATGGTTACAGGGAGAAAGAGGGGATCCCGGATCCCGTGGCATGCCTGTAAGTCCCTTCATTAATTTGTTTATGTTTGATTTGGAGCAATACAGTCCATGTCACTGAAATTTTACTGCTATACATTGTGGATAGCTATGAAATCCTTTCCGTCTGCCTTGAAGTCAGTAGCTGCTCTCTGCAGTTGCATTAACATATATAGCAACTCAGAACAAAGATCACTGCCGTTGTGTGTCTGTACCACTGACAGACGCCTTCAGCAGTGTCTAGTGGTGGCATATAGACTCATAGAATTGTAGAGTTGGAATGGACCACCAGGGTCATCTTATTTCCAACCCCCTGCAGTGCAGGAATCTTTTGCCCAACGTGAGATTAAGAGTATCATGCTCTATCATCTGAGCAATCCTTGTGTGATGATCTGCTCTACATGTTCCAGTTGCCATGTAGAACAGTTATTCTGTGAGGAACTACTTCCAACAGCGTCCATACATGAATTGTAACATAAGCCATCCCTGACACAGTGGACTTGACAAGAAGTTGAGAAATCTCGATAACAATAAACAAGTGCGGAGCTGCAACACAATGTTGCTGTGTATTTCCAGCTCAGTATGGCTGCTGTGTGGGTTGAGAGCCTATGATAATTAAGGCCCCTTCTATTTTTAAGATTAATTAAAACTGTTTTTCATTCTTTTGCATCCACCTCAAGATGGATCTGTTGCTTCCGTTGCCTTCATAGCCTTAGACTTATCATTCCTGGTTTATTTTTTTATTTATCTGCATTAATGCATAGTTAGCTTGTACACAGTGTAACCCATGAATCCTTGTAGATCATTACTCTTAATGAAAATCAAGTAGCTGGCTGGTGATGGTGTTTGACTGGAATATTGCCTACGGGCAGTGGGCCAAGTTCAAATGGTGAAGGCTGTTAGTAGCTGGATGAGAATACTGAAGCTGCTAGACGAAACATCAAACAACATTTTCTTTTGATGGAAAACAGAATGCTGCTGTTACGTTTTTAAAAAGAACATTGTGTCATCTCTTCCCAGGGTCCCAGAGGAGAAAGGGGGCCCAGAGGTCCACCTGGATTTCCAGGCCAACCAGGCATACAGGTACAATGCTGACATTTTTATTTCACCCCTTCACTGTAAGTGTGCTAGGATGGGTTAGCCTTCTGTCTGTTTATCTATTAGTTCATCACCAATGTGAATTTTGCGTATTATACACAAAATTCATGCATTATACACAGATATAAATGGGAAATTGTATTGTTAGTCTGCTCAAGTTCATACACATTCATGAATTCACATTTGCAGATAGGTAATGCTCATTATCTAATTTCTTCAACTGAAAAATACTCTTAAAGCCAAACTTGTGAACACTGAGCAACAAAAGTGACCAGCAACTTAACTAAAGATTCACCATAGTGCTATATAAGAAAAATAGGGGTAAGCAATCACTTTCCCCCTATAAGAGAATGTATGCACCAGCTGATTAGGGCATGGCTTGTGCAGTCTACTCATGATGGATACAATCTTAAATGGATAATTATTAGCTCTCTGTTTTCCAAGTTAGCAGCGCAAATAGTAATTCAAAAAGATGTTTTGCGGGTGCCTTCATCCCAGCCACTGTCCCATCATTTTGTATCCTACTTTACAGACATGCTAATCCATTAAAAACATAAATCCAACTATTAAAAAAAAACCCTTTACTAATTCACCAATCCCAGATGTCTCGTTGCTAGTCTTTCACCCCAACTTGAACAAACTCCAGCTGTTTCACAGTCTCTGCTAGTCTTTCACCCCAACTTGAACAAACTTCAGCTGTTTCACAGTTTTGGAGATGTCACAAGTTTTCTCCCTCACACCACTCTCCACCAAAGGGTGAGGAGGAAATGAAAGAAAAACCTCCCCCCCCCCACAAGCTCACATAAAGGTTTACTGGTCACAGTAGGCTGTAGGGTTATATGTACAGAAACTCTGCAAAGCTTTGCGTGGCAGTGAAAATGTTTGGTGGAAAATGTTAAAAAGAACAGAAGACAGTAGGTAAATATGTGGGATCTGTGGCCTTCCATCACAGCTGATAATTGCCCATGCTGGCTTGGGCTGATGGGAGTTGAAATCCAGCAACATCTAGATGGGCCACAGGTTCCCCATCCCTGCCCCTATGGTATTGCTGTTGTATATATTTCTCAGGTTGAATTCCTGTACTTGTACATAACTACTCATTCGCTGTTCCTCCTCCCAAAGGGTACTACAGGTCCTCCTGGTTTGCCAGGTGAGCAGGTAAGAGGCATTTTTTTCTCCCATGTTAAAGTTTATATAGCATTTATCACACTGGTATTTTCTTTTGTTTCACTCTGTTATAGGTTTTTATAAAGAAACTTGCTTTAAGTTCCAAACTTTAGCCACCCAATCTAATGATAAACTGGCATTGATTTCTGCATCTTTTAAAAAGTCTCTCTTTTACCCCCCCCTTCTGTTTAAAAATTAACAATTCATTAGGGAAATCCAGGAACTGGCGTGGAAGGACAGAAAGGGGAGCCGGTAAGCAAATAAGCTGTCTCTGGGAATAGCTGCCTGAAAAGTGTAATCATAGTAAGAGATAGCTGAAGAAAGTGAATAGGCTTCACGTTCATGGGTTTATTAAGTTTCCTGTAAAGGAAAAAAAAAGATCTTTTTTGGTTTCATACATAATTTGAGTTCTGGGAATTTCTAGAGCAGCCTTCACCAATCCTTCAGATGCTTTTGATTGCAATTCCCATCAGCCCTAAGTGGATAAAATAACACTATCAGCTGTATATTCTCATATGTGAAGAAGCATACAGTGGTTTGCGAACTTTGTTCAGAAGCTGAATGGGTTCCATTTTGAATGCCACCCTTTCGTTTTGAGTGTTATGCTGAGGTCTGTCTGTTTTTGCTATTTATGTTTTTGTGACTGTGTGGAACCCAGTTCAGCTACTGATTGATTGATTGATTGATTGATTGTGTGACTGCAGTACATTGTTTATTGCTTTCATTTTATGGATCAGTGGTCTTGTTAGATAGTAAAATTCATGTTAAATTGCTGTTTTAGGGATTGCTTTTAAAAGTCTGGAACAGATTAATCCATTTTGCATTACTTTCTATGGGAAAGTGCACCTTGGTTTTGGAACATTTTGGTTTTGGAATGGACTTCCAGAACAGATTAAGTTTGAGAACCAAGTTACCACTGTAGATAGAGCAGTGGCATGAAACTCAGTTAACACAGATCAGTGCTAGGCTGTTCAAACATAGAATGAGCCCTCTGCAACTAACTCCACAATGTTATTCACCCTGCTTACTATTTCAATGCATTTTTAGGGTGATGTTGGACCTCCTGGATCTGCAGGGCAGCCTTTATTAGTTGGACCTCCTGATTCTCAACTGTTAAAGGGAGAAAAGGTATGCAAATTATACAGTGCTTTTGCAATTGTTATGTATCCATTTCTTCTTATAAAGTACCCAGGAAATTTCAGTGAAATCTATGCTCATTTTTTAATGGTTAGGGTCACAGCTTAAAACCCTAATCCTAGAGGTGGATACATTTGTGTTAGACTATAGAAAGGCAAGCACCACAGCGGTATCCTGAGCAAAAGAAGTACAGTGGTATCTCTGCCGCTCCTGGTTGTGAACTTTGCCCCAGGATGTGAGCAGAAATCGTGCGCCAGAGGCGCACACGCAGCAGGAGGCGCCATTAGCAAAAGTGCGCCTTATGTTACGAGTGGTTTCCGGTTATGAACAGACCTCCGGAACGGATTCTGTTCGTAACCAGAGGTACCACTGTAAAGCAAATTTGTCCTGGTATGCTGCATATCACTTGGCCACACTGCAATGGTGTTCATATACTATGCCCACTTTTATCAAGGCTGTTGCTAGCATCATGCTAATTTGCAATTGTAAAAAAAGCCTGTATGAATTATGGGGCTTCCTTGGCTGATTTAACTCATAGTTAATGAAGTTGCAGAAAGAAGCGGTGTGATCAAGTGGTCCTCCAAGATGTTTCTGAACACTGGCTGTGCAGAACTGGGGCTGATGGGAGCTGGGAGTCCAGCAACACCTGGAGGACCACAGGTTCCCGACCCCTGAGCCACAATAAGCAAATTTAATAAATAATATGTGTTGTGGAAGGGGAATTATTGGGTTGTCTGTTTTTGTTTTTATTATGAATTTCGTGTTTTTTATATTGTGGTTTTATGTTGTGAACCACCCTGAGATCTAGGGGTATAGGGAGGTATACAAATTTAATAAATCATCATAATAAGCAACATATTTTAAATTAAATGTTTTAATACTCAGGGTGTAAAAGGAATGCCTGGAACTATAGGTGCCAAAGGATTGCCTGGCCGCAAAGTAAGTGACATTACTTTTTTAAATTCATGAACTGATTTCATAGATATTTTATCCCAGAACTTATTAAAAATGCTTGGAAGTGTTTGGGGTTTTTTTCCAAGCTAGCAGTGGATTTCCTCTTTATCAGTTTATTGGAACATATTATAACAAGCCAGATCATTGGTCCACCCTAGCTCAGTATTGTATGCACCAGGTGTGGGAAACCTTTGCTCTTCCCAATGTTGCTGAACTACAAATTTCATCATTCCAAGCAAGCATGGCCAAGGAATGATGGGAATTGCATTTCAGCAACATCTGGAGAGCCAAAGGTTCCTGATACCTGGTGTACACTGACTGGCAACAGCTCTCCATGGTTTCAGGCAGGGGAGACTTCCTAGCCCTAGGACTTCCTTTATGCAAAGCAGTTTTTCTACGACTGCACTATGGTATTTCCTGCAGGCCTTTTTCCTGAGCTGGAATGCAGCAACTGACTGCAGGGCCAAACTAGACAAAACACCACTCATGCAATTTCTGATGAATGGCATCTTGTCCAGTTTTGTCCTCCGTCCCTGTCATTCCCAGGCTGTGAAGCTATTGCTGGTTGAACTCTGGATGAGCTGTTCTTTGCACCACTATCTTCACTGGATGTTTATTTGCAGGCCCAGTGGAGCCATGGGCAGGGAGGGCACCATGTAGAACATTAATTGCAATAAGACACAGGACAGCAGCATTGGGGTTTAAACATACCACAGCTTTATTGAGAACAGAGGTCAGTCTGTTTTGGCATCGGTATTGGTTGTGTATCCTGAAATCAACCAGCCCAACATCTGATTGATGATTGGCAGGTTTTACCAAGTTTAAGGGTTGCACTATGATGTGTATCATATCCAGGTAACCTGTAGGTTCACAATTTGAGGTGCTATGGCCCATCAATCCCTGAGCTGGGCATCTGGACAAGAAGCACCTCCCCGAGGCTCCTGTTAAGGGGCTACCCTGAGACCATGGAGTGGTCACTGCTTGCTTAGATTAAGGATCCAACCCAATGCCTTATAATCCAGTAAGTTGTGACTATTGCTATAAGATGGGCAAAAGCTTCAGATAAGCCCAGTTAGCCTGAAGGGCAAATTTGTCCCTCGTCCTGAATACAGCAACTGAAGAACTTCCAAAAAAGAGGTGTCGGAACTCACCATGAACACCTTCCTTGCTCTCTTATAATGGCAATGGCGTCCACCTGAGAGGTGCTAGAACTGAGTTCTGGTGAGTTCCTGCTGGGAAAAAGCCCTGCATAGCATGGTCCACCCCCCCCAGTCCCAGATCTATATAGGTGAACCCCAAACAAGTGAACTGTGTAATAGAATTTGTGTTTCTTATTTGAAGTAATTTGACTGTTTTTTGTTTTGCATAAAAACAGGGTTCACTTGGAATTGGAGAGAAGGGTGAAAGGGGGATTCCTGGCTTTCCTGGATTGCGGGTGAGGAAGTTTCAGAATAAGCCAATATAGTTACCGTTTATACATGGCTTTTAAGTAGTGGTTGCCAGTGTGATGCCTTCCAGAAGTTTACTGGACAGAAGCTCCCATGAGCTCCAACTAGCATAGACAATGGTTGGGGATAATTGAAACTGTAATTCATCAACACCCAGAGGCGCACCATGTTGGCTATTCCTGGCTTATAAATACTAGAAAGGCAATTTAACTATACAAGAACTTTCATACTACCAATGCAATATTTAATTTTTATTATTATAGTCTGTATCAGTTTTGAGAAGATTCTGTTGAAGCTTTCGTTGCTTTTAAAGAATTGTTATTGCAAACCTACTGTAGGTATGCCAGCTGATCTATGTATATCTAGTGGGACTGTTTTCATTGAGCAAGATGGCCCTGATGTTTAAATCAAACCACTAAACATTGTTTGCTATTTGGAGTCTGTGTGTGTGCGCGCGTTGTTCAAGAAGCACACATTTGAACTTCGCTAGGCACATGGAACTAGACTGTGGCTTATGTCTGATTTTGACATCCTAAGACCACATATCCTGGAGTAATTAAATCTGAATATATAAAGGAGACTCTGAACCTCAAAGTCATTTTGTTTGTATTATATTATTAACTGCAGCCTTTTATTTATGGGAGTTTGGCTTTTTGATCTTAGTCTCAAGAGGTTTTGTCACAGGGCTGCACAAGATACAACATTTCATTATATAGCTCAGGATTGTGCGGGTGCTTTCGGAGTACTGTCTTTGGTTTTGAATGATTGAGTTTGGCATGTGAATGTTTAATTTTTGTTTTATTGTAAATGATCTAATGAAGTCTTTAACTGGATGCAGATTGTTCCATTTATCATTAACATGTTTTTCTGCCATTAGACATCTTGGGCAAGATCTATAAAAAGAAGATATTTGAAGTAAAAAAAAGTTTAATTTAGTTTCTCATATTGCTTCTAATTACAGCCCTATCTGGGCATTCCCTCCAGGTGATTACCATTAGCATGGTCTAGAACTGTAATCTTCCACAGTTCTAGATTCCTTGGAAGCCTCCAAAAGTAGAGGGAGCTCCCTGCTACAGAGGTTTCCCTTGCCAGTAGACAATAAAGTCTGTGATGGGGTCATGATCATAGGAGCCAACTCCTAGGGGCCAATGACCCTTCACCCCCCAATAAAAAAATTTATGCCCCCCCCCAAGTTGATGGGCATTGCCATTCAAATGGTGTGCATGCACCACATCATGTGATCAATTATGCAGGATGGGGCTTACCTGGGCCTTCCCAATATTTTATTCAAGTTGGCATCACTGGTCATGATGGACTGGGTAGGGCCTATTAGCTCATCTCGCTCTGAACCTCACAGAGTGGTGTGTGTGTGTGTGTGTGTGTGTGTGTGTACGTGTACTAGAGAGAGAGGGAGGGAGAATGGCCAGATATGGCCTAGGCAACATTGCAAGGTATTTATACAATTAACTTTTGCTGAAGTAGGGCCGATATGTTGAGATACAGCATACTGAGTTCAATAGAATTTATTTCCAATGAGTTGGGTTCTGAGAACTGTTAGTGGAAGAAAACATGTGGAAATGAATTTTCCCATCAACTCTTCCCCACTGCAACCTCCCAAAATGTTGTGGGATGGAGAATGGGGGGATCACTATGGGAGGGGAGAATTGGCCCAAAGTTGGATAAAGGCACCTTATGCAAATATAGCAGGGATTTATGTAACTCTGGGGTAACCAACATGGTGCCCTCCAGCTGTTGTGGGCCACAACTCCCATCAGCCTCAGTCAAGGTGGCTAATGGTCAGGGATGATGGGAGTTGTAGTTCATAATATCTGGAGGGCACCACATTGGCTACCCTTGGTCTAACCCAATGTGTTCATCATAATCAGGGTGTTAAAAATACCTAATATTATAACTTTTTGTCTCTGTCCTTTTCCATAGGGGAGTCCAGGTTCTTATGGATCATCAGGAATTCCAGGAAGCAAGGTAGCATATATTTATAAATAAAACATAAACAATGTCTATAATTTACTAATAAAATAAACCTAATTATAGCATCCATATCCATAGCACACACACCTTCCCTTTAATTTTGTAACATAAATCAGTGCTGGTGTATTTTAAAAACATTTTTTAAATGTTTGGAATTTCTTTTACCTGCTAAACCCCCACAATTTCAGACCTGTTTTTGAGAGACTGCGTAATGGTGGTCGTTTGGCTCTGAGCTAGCAAACCTTGTCAACGAAACTTAACTTGAAGTGCATGAATTGTCACAGATTAACCAATTTGGGATAATGTCTTACACAGTTATCCCCATTAAGTCCCATTAATTACAGTGTAACCTATTTGCACGATAAGCGTTCTTAAGGGACAAACAAATATTGTTTATTTCAGGGTGAAACTGGAATGGCTGGATTTCCTGGAGAGGATGGGCTTCCAGGAATTAAGGTCAGGTCTCAAATGCAGAAGGTTCTTTATATATCTGTGTTTATACTGTATCAAGCTTACATGGAATTTATACCGTTCTGTAGCAGAGCAGAGGGGTTATTTTAATTCATTCCATTACCTTTCACTATCACAGTTAATTGTTTCCCTTGGGCTTCTATAGGTACAATGTTGTTACATTGCAATAAACCTGAAAATTCTTACAGGGGGACCCAGGAGACAGTGGGCTGCCAGGTCCACCAGGACCTCGAGGAATACCACACCCTGGAATAAAAGGTTTACCTAATATTAAACAATTCAATGCACATTTAATACAATTCATGGTAACATACAATTATGTTAACAACAACCACCACCTTTTCCAATGATCTCCTACAGGTCTTCAAGGAGACCCTGGAGACCCTGGACCTCCTGGAAATGTGGGGGCAGATGGGTTGATGGGCCCTCCTGGTGCTTTTGGCAGGCAAGGGGAAGATGGAACCAGTAAGGAACCTTTTTTATGTTTAGGGTAAAAGAAAGTTCTATCACCAGCTTTCACTTCTTTCCATAAAGGTTATGCTGACCCAGGATAAAAATCATCTGTAGCAGCCTTTTCATAGTTATGTCTGTGCATTTCTAAGCATTATCGTAAGAGTTTATACAGAATTTTTTGTGATTTTTTTTTAGATGTAGTGAGTTGGCAGGTTTTAAATAATCATATGAGCAGCAAATGTGTTAAAGCTTCTTGATTGTTCAAGGTATTCGCTCAGGTTGAACATTTAGCCTTTATAAGGATTTCATTGCCTTAATAAGATTGTTGAAAAAAGGAGGGGTGGGCTAGGAATTGAACAAAGGTGTGGCAAATTGCTGCCCACTGTGCTTCCTCAGGTTTGTGTAGTTATTCCAGGTGGTAACACCCCCAAGTGGTCCATGCTGGACAACACCAGTGCTGCTCAGATATTCTAAGAAACCAAAACATAATAAGATCTTTAAATTGATTTTCTTTTTTTAGTTTCTTAATCATTCTAACACTGTTGGGTAAACTATAATATGCAATCCTGCCAAAATTTGGTTAAAAACAGTTCCCTTTTGAAAGGCCCAATCCTGGCACCCAATCTTAGACAAAAACCTGCTCCTTGATCTTAGGAGCCATCCTGCAAAAATCTGTGATGACGTCTTCAGAGGTGTCCTGATCAGTGCAATTTGGAATGGCCATTTTGATTCAAAACAGTTTCCAAATATAGACAAAAATCCATTCCTCAATTTCAGGAACAATCATGCCAGATTTGGTGATGGCATCTTAAGAGGTGCCTGGATGCCAAGTAAACAAACAAACAACTTTCCAAAATATGTAGTGTAATTTATAATGCTGTAGATGTAGTAGTAGATGTAGGTATGTTGATCAAAAGAATCACCTCAACAATTTGGAGCATGATCTTTCAAACAAAAGGCTTTCCTCAGTCCATTGGGGGGGGCAGTGTTTAGAGGCCATCTTTGGACAGATTGAAGCTTCTTCTTTTCTCCACTTTTTCTAAATAAAACAATTACTGAAAGGAGAACTCCATGTGACTGATGAACTGATAGAACTGTTAAAGATTACTCTTCAGCTACATTTATCTTTAAGCTTCCTACTGAATTTATAGTTTGCAGCTAGTTTTGAACATGGGGACATAAAGAATACGAACCTCTCTCTGCATTTATGATAACTATGGATACAAACGCTACTAATAAGAGGACTTAACACTTTGTTCACATATGCTGAACCTGCCAATGCTTTAAGACCATCTGGCAATACTTTTATTTCGGTTCCTTTGCTTGCTGAAGTTAGGCAGGCAGTAAATGGGAAATGAGCCTTTTTTCCGTTCCCAGTGAAATCCTATGCAAATCCAGTCAAAAATACATTCCATTTTGTTCAGTGGGGCTTACTTCCAGGTAAGTGTATGTAGGATTGCATCCTGCACACATTTACCTGGGAGTTCACTGCTTTGAATTAAAATTCAGTGGTAGAACATTTGTCTTTAATTCAGAAAGTCCCAGGTTCAATTCTTGGCGTTTCAAAGTACAGCTGACAGAGGCTTGCTAACTGAAACCCTGGTGAGTTGCATGCTGCCTCTGAATACTAGTTGCTAGAGAACATGAACAGCAGAGTGCAATTGCACTCATATTCTGCTTGTAGTCTTCCAGTAGAAATCTGATAGGCAGCTGTGGGAACAGAACCCAGGACTAGGTGGGCCTTTGGTCTAATGCAGTTTCTTGTTAAATCAGTGGGACAAAACTGCCATGTCTTAACTTGAGGGCCATTGATTTCAATGGGAACTTAAGGTCAACCCAGAATTCCTAGGGCAAGAAATACTCCGAGATGCAGTGCCAACCTATTGTTTCCAGAGCATGTGCCAGTGTTGTAATCCAAACTGGTAAGACTGTTTTGTGCTGTTTTACAACTATTAAGAAAAAGAAAAGAATGAAACGCCAAAACCTGTGATTTGCAGCTCAGTTTTCTTGTGTGCTTTAGAACAAATAGTTTGAAGATAATTGCTACGGTTGCGGAAATCACTTGAACAGGAATTTGGAGATCAATTGAGCTTCCCTTTCAAGCCATGCCAGACTATCAGAAGGAAATATTAGTTTAAAACATAAGGAATCCATTATCCTGGATAACTGGGCCTTCAAATGTTGCTTGGCCACAACTCACATCAACCTTTGCCATTGACCACGCTGGTTGGGGTTGATGCGAGTTGGAATCTAACAATATCTGGAGGCTCCACAGGTTTCCCATCCCTGTTCTAGAATATTCAGTGAGGTGTAGCTCAAATAATTTGAGTTTTAGAATGCCATACCCCAAATGCAGCTTCTCCCATAGATAGCTTCTCTATGACTTTTACAAGACTCCATGACTTGTTCTTTCTCCTCCTCCTCCATAGGTATCCCTGGTCCCAAAGGTCTATTGGGAGTACAAGGGCCTCAGGGCTTTCGAGGTGACCCTGGTCTCCCTGCTATAGCTGACATGGCACTAGGAAGGCCTGGCTCTCCAGGGTTGCCGGGTTTTCCAGGAACGCCAGGAAAGCAGGGCTTGCCTGGACCACCTGGTAAGATGAGCAAAATACTTTGAACATTGAACAAAAATATTTCAACTTGAAGATTACACACACACACACACACACACACACACTGGTACCTCGGTTTAAAGATGGCCTTGTTTACGAACGATTTGGTTCATGAGCTCCGCAAAACCGGAAGTAGTGTCCCAGTTTGCGAACTTTACCTCGGTCTAAGAATGGAATCCAAATGGTGGAAGGGCACAGTGGCGGGAGGCCTCATTAGGGAAAGTGCACCTAGGTTTAAGAACCGTTTCGGTTTAAGAACGGAATTCCGGAACTGATTAAGTTTGTAAACTGAGGTACCACTGTGTGTATGTATGTGTATGTGTATGTGTGTGTGTGTGTGTGTGTATGTGTGTGTGTAATATTATTATTGACTATAATTCCACTCATTTCTTTATAGGAGGGGTGGGCCAACTTTGACAGGTGGGCATGACAGCTCTTGCCAGTTATATAATCCCTTGCACAAGGTTCCCAAGTCCCCAATAACCAGATGATTGTTCGGTGCTCAGAAACTTCAGTGCAAGAGGCTTTGCCAGCCCTATGGTTGGCACTTTGGGAAGCACTGAGCATAGGGTTTGCAGAGCGTTCTTTCTCTTCCTCCCCATCATTTGAAGGGGAGTGGAGGGAGAAAAAACCTTGCATTTATGTTCAGTTCTGCTCAGGCTTGGGAACAAACATGTACAGAATTGAGCCTTGTTCTCCCTCCGATAATCAGCTTAACATCACGAATGACAGGCATGTAATTGGCAGGGGATTGACAAGTGGGTGGGGTTTGGGGAAAATGGCCTTGTGGACCAAACTGGTTTCCTACCCCTAATATTTAGCAATAGTTATTTACCAAGCAGTAATAACAGTAATCATTCCAGATATGGGCAAACCAGGCTTATTGCCTTTACTATTTGTCTTCAAAATCTGGCTTCCATTTATCCAAGGTGGAGTAATACCAGGAAAGCACAATCACCAGCAAGGAAGGAGGCTTATGAGGAGGGGCAGAGGCAATGGTAACAGCGCTGCACTCATCAGGATGGTGGTGTACAGGTGGCAGTAAGATCAGGGTTACTTCAGGTTGGTAGTGGTAGCCCAGCTTATATGTGTGCACCTGCAAGGCCACTGCTGGGCCAGAACTCCCCCAAAGTCCCTCCCTCACACCATCTTGGTGACCACAGTGCTGCTGCCAGGAAGACTTTGCAGCCTCTGACTCACTACCCTCACGAGTCACCTCTGGAAGAAGCTTTAAGAGGAAGGCACTTTACTGCTTTCCCCTTCCAGTATGGGCCTCCCCCCCCCCCATTGGTTGCACTGCAACAGAGCCTCAGCCGAGGAGAAAGCATCTGAGGGGAAGCTGAGGGAGAAAAGAGACAGGTGGAAAGAAGGGCTAAATACCCTCCTCCTTCTCGCTGCTTCTTTATTAGAAATAATAACCTCCTACTTTGAAGAAGTGAACTCTAAAGGTGGATTGTGGGAATAATATTTTTGTATGTTGCCCAATGATCTATCAACTGCATATGGAATGTGTGTGAGAGGGGGGAATATGTCTAAAGGAATCTTTATTTACTCCACTCAGTTCTGTATTGCAGAACTCTAGCTCTGCGTAGCAAGTTAGTTCTACAGTTTCAGCGGGTGGCGCTGTGGGTTAAACCACAGAGCCTAAGACTTGCTGATCAGAAGGTTGGCGGTTTAAATCCCCGCAACAGGGTGAGCTCCCATTGCTCGGTCCCTGCTCCTGCCAACCTAGCAGTTCAAAAGCACCTCAAAGTGCAAGTAGATAAAGTACCGCTCCAGCGGGAAAGTAAACAGCGTTTCCGTGCGCTGCTCTGGTTCGCCAGAAGCGGCTTAGCCATGCTGGCCACATGACCTGGAAGCTGTACGCTGGCTCCCTCAGCCAATAAAGTGAGATGTGCGCCGCAACCCCAGAGTCGGCCACGACTGTACCTAATGGTCAGGGGTCCCTTTACCTTTACCTTTTTAGCTCTGCGTAGCAAGTTAGTTCTACAGTTTCAGCAACAATTGTTTGAAAACAGTAACATGATTATGTACTATATAATGTAGAATTGTGTGAGGAGGAGAATAATAATAATAATAATAATAATAATAATAATAATAGTAATTTAGTGTTCCAAACTTCAGGAGAAATGGAGAAGAGGATGGATGGGTGAACATATATATCCTATTAACTAGGAAGTGGGCATCACATTGGCAGTCAAACAGGCTTCTGCTGATGTAACCATCTGGTCCTGTAGCTGTCTAACATGTCAGCTCTAAGAACGAGACCAGGCTGTTTATTTTTTTAAAAAAGAACAGAGGCAAATATAACCAATTAAAACAATAAAATATATCTTTTGTAAAATTTCAAGGTGTGGCTTGTACTGGGAGAGGGTCTCCTGGGCCACCAGGAGCTAAAGGCCAGAAGGGATCACCTGGAGAAAGAGGTGCAAAAGGAGAGAAAGGCAAGTACCTGCATCCCTCACAGAGCAAATGCCTCATCTCAATCAAATCATGTAATTTAACCATGGCTGTCCTTGAGATAAAAACACAAGTCATAATTGCTTTGTGAACTTGCATTATTTGTCTGGTCCAAAGCCCTGCTTCCTTTGTGCCTATACAGGGAGTGCAAGTAGCTGCTTATGTGGTGCTGGTCCTTGTGGTGCACCTGGAATACGAGGTCCGCCAGGTGTCCCTGGAAGAAAAGGAGAAGTAGGGGTGCCTGGAAAATATGGAAGAATAGGTGATCCAGGCTTACCTGGTGCAGTAGGGCCACCAGGTTACCCAGTGAGTAACTTATAGGCAATATTTTATATTCTGGCATCCACAGAACAGATTGATGTTTCCTTATGTTGTTCATTTCTTTATTTCTGAGGATTCGGCTTTTATTTTGTCACATTTTGATGCTAATGGTCAGGTGGATCACACAACGCATACTTAAACTGTGGAATTTGCTACTTCAAGGTGTGGTGATGACCATCAATGCAGATGGCTTTAAAGGGGGGTTCATGGAGGATAAGACCTTCAAGCACTACTAGTTGTGGTGCCTGTGTATAATAGCGGTCGCTGGGGGGAGGAAACAGCAACAGTGGGCTATTGTGCTCAGGTCCTGCTTGCAAGTTCTCCATAGGCAACTGGTGGTTGGTCAGTGTTGGAAACAGGATACTGGGCGAGATGGGTCTATACTCTGATCCAGCAGGATTCTTCAACTGTTCTTGACAGTGTGCCATGACAGCAAAACATTGGGAAAGATCTTGATGAAAGGCTCCTGTGGGAGCTCATGGTGTAACCTGGACAGTGGCAGAGCAACATGTTCCAGCACCCGGAACGGTGAACAGGTGGGGGCATCCCAGGGGGGGCGGCTGCAATGGCACCCCCCAGGATGGCACCCGGGCCCGGCAAACCACTCCCCCCGCCCCCACCTTCGTCCGCCAGTGCACCCGGATAACCTTTGTTGTCAGTTTGAAAAGAGAGCATCACACTCCCATCTTGCTCATCTTGCTCAATAGAAGTTTACTTGCTGTCAGATCTCAGCTATTATTTCAATTGACTATAACTTTTTTTATTTTAACACTTGTAAGGGAATACCAGGTCCATTTGGGTTGACTGGTGAAAAAGGTGATAAGGGTGACCCAGCTAGAATAAGAATAAAAGGTAACTATACAACATACTAAACCCATGAGATTTTTTTTCTTTAAACTTGGGGACTGTTTCCAATGGTATATCCAAATTTTGTATTGCGTGGTGTTTGTGGTGTAGAAGCTTCACACAAAAGAGCCAACGATTTGCCCTGGGAGTAATAAACACTAGCCATCTGTCTGAAGTTCTTTCTCCAAAGTTATAGTCTGTAAGTGCCATAATTAGAGTATTGTCTTCCACTTCCTCATTTTTATGATCTATCAAATGCAAGGAGCTTAGTGCAGTCTGTTCCTTATTCCATGTCCCTCCACTGATCAGCACTCTGCTTTTTATGTCATTGTGAAAAATGCACTACCTAGTTAAAGTGGTACCAACTGTCCTAAGATTCTTGCTTAAGTTTTGTCAAGCATCTCCATTCGCACCATCTTTCTGTTTTTCTGCTCATCCTAATTCACTATGAACCACTTTTCATTTGAAATGTTCACATTCATCCACTTATTCATCTTATTGCAAGATTTTTAGGGTTGTTCTTAAAAAAAAATAGACTGAATTTGCACACATTCATCATAGACACCTCAGTAATTTCTTTGGCTAATGCATTCCACAGAAGAGGAGGAGAAGGTTTCTGACCTTATATAATTAATGGAGAAGCTAATTTTTTTCTCCTCTCTGATTCCTCCTGCATAAAATCCTGTACAAATACCAAAACTCAGGGTTGGCATTCATTGTTTTAAGACAGAACTTTTAATATTCTGAACACTAATTAGAAAGAAAAATGCATTTTATCCAAACGCAAAATACTGTCCTATAACTTTTTGTAAAGCTGCATTCTTATTGGTTTGCCCAGTTTTCTAGCAGTTTGGGGGCATTTCCTAAAACATTCATGTACCATAGTCTTCAACAGCATGCATACATACATACATACATACATACATATATTGCATACTGACTGTAATATTTCCATAATTTAAAGGGATAAAAGGACAAAGAGGTCTTCAAGGTGAGCCTGGATTTCCCGGAAGAAATGGTATTGCTGGCAGGAATGGAGAACTCGGACTGCCTGGTGAAAAGGGCTTTAAGGTATACCTGATTGTTTTGACAGTTCTTTTCCCCTTCATTGTAACTATGAGGATGTAAACTAACCAGGAGTTGTCTTTCTGTGTGAAAGGGCTAAGAGTTCTGCGCAGTTCTTATAATCAAAGCTGGCTCCTAAGCTCAGAACATGCTCAGTGGCACCCTGTTCTTTAATTCTAACAGTATGCCTTTTGCACCTGGGATCATGGGGTTCTAGTGCAAAACTTCTAACATAGCTACAACACTAATAAAACCAACAATAAGGACATGCCCAGCCCAGAAATAAAACATTGATTTAACAAGTCCATCATTCAGAAGGAAATATTGCTCATGAGTAAGCTGCTGTGAACAAGTGAATCTCAAGGCCCTTTTGGAAAACCTGGTGAATTTAAGGGGATCAGCTGGAAGTGAGTTCAAATATATGAATTGTGCATTTGTATTCATTGTTTACAGGGGCTTGATGGAAGAGCTTTGCCAGGTGATAAGGGATTTCCTGGTTCCCCTGGACTTCCTGGCCCAAAAGGGCCAGTAGGACCAACAGGTTTTGGAATTCAGGGTCTGCAAGGTGTCCGGGGTCTGCCTGGAAGTCCAGGAAGCCCGGGTATTAGAGGACCACCTGGCCCAAAAGGTGAAAAAGGTAATGTATGTATTTTGCATTGAAAAGAGAATACTCTATTGGTTCAGTTGTTTGAGAGGTTGGGTCAAACCAATTGATGGTTGCTTTTCTTCTAGGTGCTACTCTTCCTTACACAGCAGCATACCCTGGGAATCCAGGTGCACCTGGTTTTAAAGGTATATCAGGTATGACCACAAAAGTGAAATAAGGTACTATTCTTTCTACGGAAGCTGTTAATGTCTTCAAGTTATTCAGAATTAAACAGACTTCTGTAATTTAAAACGTACAGTAATGAGGTGTAGGGTAAGAATTCTCAAGATTGGAAAAGAAACACAGATGCGAGGTTATCATAAATGATAGCTAAAAATTAAAAGCAGGGCTAGAACCTCCCTAATACTCTATGCAAAAACCACCTTTTGTTTTTCACTGGTAGTGAACTTGGTGGAAAAATAAAGTTTGGTATGTTCCTCTTATATGGTTATATCATTTAGATACTCTCCGGGTGGGACAGCAAGGGAAATCTCTAATATGAGTCTCAGAAGCATTTTGCCATGGGTTTTGGAGCACAACTATGATTAAAAGAAATAAGGGGTCAAATCTGACTCCGTATTTCATTTGTTTGGTAAAAGCCAAGGAAATGGACTAAGTGGTAGTTCTTTACAGGTATTATTGTCTTTGGCCAGCTCCTGGATAGTCAGAAAACATGGAGAACTTACTGACTTTCCATTGCAATAGCTTTAGGATAACTCTTCATCCTGCCAATTGAATTGCTTGGAACTTCCTATCTCTTAATGTTATCACTTAATATTAATTATTATTTAATATTGAATTAGAGTTGCTCAGACTGGTGTCTTTTTTTAATGGAGACTTGAATGGCAGAAATTACACATTGCCAGACAAGGTATGTGTATGCATGATGAGATAGCGTGGACATGAAACCTATCAGTCATAAGAATGCATTGATCTTGCCTGAAATGTTTTTAAAATTCAACCCCTATATTTATAAAATGGATCTAGCTAGGTTTGTTCCACAGAAGGTTTGGAAGCATTCAACTAAGCTGTGCACAATCTGTCTATTCAGGTCCGAAAGGATTGAGAGGGCAGCCTGGGCGAGCTGGTCCCAGTGGTTTTGATGGCTTCAAAGGCCAACAGGGCAGACCAGGAATACCAGGCAATCCTGGTCCGGAAGGTAAGTGAAAGAAGGGCAGGGTGTATTCATTTGTTGAGTATGGGTATGGAGTGATTTTAATATATATTCTGTTTTCTTCTTCTGAACCTCATGCTTATTGTGTAACTGAAGCACCTGAATGTTGTCAGGTCATTTAAAGAAAGTCAGTTTTAGAAAATAATTGTAGCTCACGTGCTTTTTCTCCAGTGCTTGGCTCCCATTAGATCTTGTTTCCCACAAGATGTAGTGATGGCCACCAACCTGAATGACTTTAAGGAGGAATAAATAAATTCATGGAGAACTATTGGTGGCTACTACCCATGATGGCTATGTTCTACCTCCACTGTTTGAGGCAGTATGTTTCTGAATACCAGCTGCTGATAACAAGCTGAAAAGAGAGATTCAGGTTCCTTATGTGGGGTTCTCGTGGGCATCTGGTTGGACACTGTGAGGACAGGATGCTAAATTAGATGGGTCTCTGGCATAATTCAGCAAGGCTCTTCTTATGTTTGTTGAAACCAGTCAGGAAGCAGATCTTAAACCTCTGCTTGAGGCTCTGAAGAGCTGGTTTGAGACACATTTCCCAGTAGTGATTCAAGTCCCAGACTGCTATAGCCTAAAATATCTCATCAGGTTAGAAACTTGCATTAAATAAAGAAGTAGATTAATCCAGGGTAGCAAATGTAGTACCCACCTCTGCAATATGTTGTTGGACCACAACTCACATCAGCCCCAGCACAGCAAATGGTCTGGGATGGTAAGATCAGCTATCCTTGGATTAATGTGATCCCAAATACTGATGATCTCCACTTGCTCTCAGTTAAATTGCTTTGAGTGTTTGCAATACTTAGAATGAATTCACAGGGATAAGATGAACACACAGAGGACAGATCTAACAGCCATGATGGGTAAATTCAACCCCCAGTTTCACAGGCGGTTGAGTTGGCATCCATCTGTCTTGGTTTAATGTTTAATAGGTTATTGTATTTTAGTGTTCTGTTGGAAGCCGCCCAGAGTGGCTGGGGAGACCCAGCCAGATGGGCAGGGTATAAATAATAAATTATTATTATTATTATTATTATTATTATTATTATTGGTAGACAATGGAGGAGTGTTCCTTTCGTGGTGAAGTTAAACTGTTGGAAGGTTACAGCATCTGCTGTGGCTGTAGATACTGATACGGGAAAGACATGTTTTGTTGCAGCTGGGGCAAATGAAGACCATGCCCCATGGCATTTCTTCGCTCTTCTCTTCACTCTTCCCAGTGGTCATTCCTCCTCTGGGCAGTGCTATGAATGCACAACCTAACTGCCTGACTCCAGATCATACATTCACAGACAGTATGCCACTGATATCAGTTCCTGGGTGCAAACAATGAGGAGGAGCTACTGTCTTCATGCCTCATTATGACCTCCCCATAAGTGTCTGATTGGCCAATGATTGGAAAACAAGCTGCTGCACTATATGGATATAGGAAATCTCTCTTTACATTCTTATTTCACAAATGATATCATTACAAGTTGAAATTAAACAAGTTAAGAAAATGATCCTATGTCATCTAGATTTCATTATTCTCTAGGGTTCAGGGGTGAGACTGGTGATCAAGGTGCACAAGGTGAAAGTGGTCCAAGGCTGGATGGTGCTCCAGGGTTGCCAGGTCCTCCTGGTCTTGAAGGTCCAAAAGGCATTTTAGGTGACAACAGTTATGGTCCTCCAGGAATTCCAGGCAACAGAGGTCTTCCCGGTTTACCAGGCCTGCAAGGTTTAAGAGGTGAACCAGGTTTTGCTGGCCTTCAAGGTATGATGCATATTTGTGCATGATTTATCTTATGTTTTTTGGATTTGTTACTGATTATTGACTGACTATAAGCTACTTCTCCCCAAAAATATGTTTCTGGAGGGGAAAAATAAAAATAGCTCAATAAATAATGTCTGATCCGACTGCCCCGGCTACTGTGCCCAATTTAAAGTGCTGGTTTTGACTTATATAGCCTTAATTGACTCAGGACCGTAATATCTCAAGGACTGCCTCTTTCTATGTGAACCTACCTAAACATCGTATTCTAAGGCCCTTCTTCATGCATCCCCTTCACAAGAGGTTTAGAGGGTGGCAACAGGAGAATGGACCTTTTCTGTGGTGGCTCCCCATTTGTGGAATGCTCTCCTGAGGGAGGTTTGCCAGGCACCTTCATTGTAAGACCTTTAGACGCCAGGCAAAAAATGTTCCTCTTTAACCAGTCCTTTAGCTGATTAACATCCAATGCCTTTTTAAAATGTGTTGGGAGGGGGTTATTGGGTTGCTTTTGTTTTTATTTTGTGTATTTCATGTTTTTTATTGTAATTTTATCTTGTGAACTGCCCTGAGACCTGCGGATATAGGGTGGAATATAAATTTCATAAATAATAATAATAATTCTAATGTAAGAGGTTGAAGGACACACACAATCTGGATATGTTTGGGAAACCCTAGTTGAAAATAAGAATGAGAGTAAGAGGAAAGGAAAGGAAAAGTGAGGGGTTGTATAGTGGGGAGATCTCAGAAGCATAGCAACTCACAAAAAAACAGTCCAGATAGCTTCACATATTTACAGTTTGTTTCTTTTACTTATTCTTGACTCTGGTCAACAGAAATTCTACCATTTCCCATGTGGTAGAAATGATCACTAAATGGGCATTTTCAAATCATGTGAATGAGTTAATCTGATCTCTGGTAAATTCCATCTCCAATTGTGGGTTGATGAAGATTGGGGCAACATCATCACTCTAAAAGGAGCACAGTATGCCCTAAATATCAATTTCTATTGGGCATTGTATGTGTTAAACAGTGCCATCAAGATTTGAGAGAAAAGCGACTTTCACTTACTCAGCTTCAGAAGTTCTATTCAGATTTGCTTTATGCATACCTGCTCTTTTTTTAAATATAATTTTTATTAACAAACCAATCAAATCACATTAATTCCAAATTACAAAGCCAAATTTTTTAAATTTTTGTTGGGGGTACCCATGTTTCGAGCTCAGAAAGGGATCCAAACATCTCTCTTGCTGCTGCTTTAATATTCACAATTCTGTCCAAATAGTATTCACAGTTCTGTCCAATCTTCTCTTTATTGTTTTCCTCATCTTCTTCTTGTTATCACATATTCCTTTCTTTGTGACCTCTGATAGTCTCCACAAGCGGGTTAAAAACAAACATTGTTATATCCTGTGTGGATTTTCCATTCCTCCAAGAGCCATATTCAAACAGACAGACGCCATTTCAACACTTCCGTATAAAACATTCTTAAAGTCTGCCTGTTAGTCCTCGCAGGCCTGTCACTCTCTCCTGAATCTTTTTAGGGGGTTCTGCCAGGTCAAACTCACAGTCTGATCCATGGTCTCCTCCCCCTCGATCATAAATCTTGGAGCCAGGCCTGCTTCTTAACAAGTCTCTTTTCATAACTGCATCATTCCAAAGGCCTTTCATTCCAAAGGCCTTTCATTCCTTTCCAGATATTCCACAAGCCATATCTTTGATTAGTAATTCATTTCCACACAGTTCTTAATCATCCTGCTTATAATCAGTAATTGCAACGATTCTTCTTGGGGGGGGATTGTTAGGTACTCACATAAGATTTTTTAAAAAAAGTCCCCCCCATTCCGTCCCGTTCCAACATACCCACCCTTTGATGTATCTTCTTCTTAATATATTTCCTGTTAAATCCAGCCCGTCGCTCCACTTCACAGAGGTCACTTCAATTAGCAGTCTTAACTCCCGTTCTTCACTCGAAGTATGTGCATTTGCTTCTCTCTAATTGTTTATTTTGAGCTCCTGCAACCAGACTGCGCGATCAGAGACAGCGCCTGGGAGAGCCGTCCCACACGGGGGGGTGCGCCTTGTGCCCTCACCCCCATCTTTCGAACTCGCGGGTGATTTATGGCAACCGCAGGCAAGGCAGTGTTCCCCATTCCCTTGGGGTAACAAGGGAGGCTGCATACTCCCATATCAGCCTCTTAATTACCTCGTGTGAGACAGAGAGATGGTACTGTCGGTTGTCTTCCAATGTGCCCCTAGCGGCCCCCTGCTACCTGCTCTTTTCAAGTCACAGGTTGATTGTTTTGTGGCAAGCCTCATTATGCTGTCAGCATTGCCATCATCTTGTGAGGTTTCTGGGGTTGGGGGTTGCAGTACAAACTGGAAGGACAGGTCATATTGTGAAGCCAGCCTGCCCCAATATTGTTCACTTTGCCTGTGTGTAGCAGAGGGGAGTGAAAATGTCCCTTTTAAGCTCATGAAAGCAAAGGACAACATCCTGTGAATATAAATATATTTCCCCAGGTCCCGTCTTTCCCTGCAGCAACATGAAGTGATTGCTTTGGATAGCAACTCCCAGCAGGGATGTCATTTTACTGTCTTCAGTATTATTTCTGTATGGAATGTGAGGAGCATAAGCTCCAGTCTCGTGCAAAGGGCGTCTTCTCTTTTCTTTCTGTTTCATGCTGCAGAATTGAAAATGTGTAAGGCTAGATCTTCCAAAATGAACATACTGAATGAGCTAAAATGAGCCAAAGACACTGTTCATGATGGCTTAGTGTGAACGCAGGGGCTCTCAGAGAAAAGATGCTAACCACTGTGCTCCTCCCTAGTTATTCTGCTGCTGAACAGCACTTTGCTAAGCCATGCCTTGACTTGGCGTGTTCATCCAAATTTGAGCTTGTGGCTTATCCATGAGCCCTGTTTCAGCTGATATGCCAAGCCAAACTATGGCTTGAGTCAGTGTGGCCCAGCAGTAAAACTGGGGAGGAGTAAAGCAGCTGGGATCTTTTCTCCAGAGGTTTGCCTTAGCATGAAGTGCAAACCAGGCCCAATTGTTTCAGACTAAATTATTTTGATTTTGGGGGGGCTTCATAAATGAATTATCCTTGCAGGGCAGCCTGGCATCCCAGGATTTCCAGGAGCAAAAGGTCTCAGAGGTAGAAAAGGTGACATAGGAGTCACAGGAGGCCCTGGGTCACCTGGTCTGCCATGTGACAAAGGCTTGCAGGGGCTGCCAGGACCTCCAGGCTCTTTTGGACCACCAGGCTTTCCAGGTAAGTGCATCATTATCCTTGTAAATATTCAGGTGGGAGTCTAAAGCATACAGGTTGACCCAGGTATTTGATGGCTGAAATATATTGTGGTTAGCAACCTTGAAATCTTTGGGTGCTTTCCAACAAATTACTTGTTAATGTAATTGTTTCCACTTGTGGACTGGCATGGTATACATGTGTATTGGTTAAAATAGGTGTGGCATCTCACTTTAAAAAATAAATAAATGTGGCACCAGTTATGTACATGGCACTACAAAGATCAGATATGACAGATACCTGCCTCAACTGTCTAACAATGTAAAATTGACACAAATAGGAAATGAGAGAGGCAGGCCAAGGCAGCTGTGGGGGGAATGGATGTGTGCATAGGCAGGGCATATAGAGGGGGAGCAGTGGGGGGGGGGAGAGACCCAGCTTGTACATGCTGAACATCTGACATTTCAATTCTTGCTGTAAACAATTTGATTTCGCCATCTTGTTTGCTCTCCTCCCCATGTACCTTGGCTTTATGAATGTAGCAGAGCAATTTCAAGGAGTCTGTAGAGCTATGGTTTTAACTTTTATCAACATTTTTATTTGGAATATTATTTTGATACTGTTGTTTTGGTTAATTGCATTTTATATGTGCTTTTAGGTTTTGTAAAAAACTTTTGAGACTTTAAAATATATATTATTTATTCTATAGAAACACAGTAGTTGTTAAGGACATATTTTTGCATTTGGTGCATCTCTCCCTCTGTGCCCCTCCTAGGTTTACAAGGCTTCAAGGGTCCTAAAGGTGATATGGGTGCACCAGGGCCAGCTGGAATGAAAGGCATGCCTGGGTTTCCTGGAGTACAAGGGCCACCTGGCCTCCCAGGCTTAAGAGGAAAACCAGGTCTTCCAGGGGAAAATGGATTGCCAGGCCGCCCAGGGCAAAAAGGTACGTGGATTCTAAATGAAATGGTCTTTGTTTCAGATGTAGCACTTCACAGTTCATATATACAAATAGTATTTCTAACCATCACCTCTCCTTTCTTTGGTCTTCAAAAGCTAGGAGATGGGCCATTTGGGATTTGTAGAGTCATGACCAAATAAGGATACACTGTACTGGGCCCCAGAGATCCAGCCCCCAGCCCATACTGCAGTCCCATTACCAAGAAGAGAAAACAGATGCTCCATTGAGAATATTTATGGAAATTTATTTCCCAGTATGTGCCCACTGTCTAGATCTTGTGCGATTTGCTGGAGCCAATCAGAACCAATGTTAAGAGCAGAACAACATTCTGAAGAGTGAATTGCTGACCCATGGGCTTCTCTAGAACAGAAAAAGTGTTTTGTGCCGTTAAAGTAGGGCTCCCACATGTGACATTATTAATCCAGCAATCCAGTCTTTTGTTCAAGTGCACTAGAATCTGCATTTATCTTTCTGAAGGGAGCCAAGGGTCTCAAGGCATGCAGGGTTTCCCAGGACTCCCAGGAAGTGAAGGAGACATGGGAGCACCTGGTATGAAAGGTGAAGAAGGACAAGCAGGTCTGCGTGGCCCTCCAGGAGAATGTGGGTCTATGGGATTAAAGGGTATGTAGAGTGATCTCTGTAACTTGTCTCCTGAATTACTTTGGCATGTAGTGTGTTCCTTTTCTCCTAGCCAGATAAAGATTTTCTTAAGTTGGTAATAGGGCCATAGGAAGTTGTCCTTATACTGAGTTAGGCCACTGAGCCATCTAGCCCAGTAGTGTCCATGACAATGTTGGCATCCATCTATCACGAGAGACAAATGGAGTGTGCCTCTGGGGGTGAAGTTAAACTGCTGCATTAGCAGCACCAAAGTGACCTCGCTGGAGTGCCAAAGTTACTCCCAAAGTTAAATCACAAATCTTTAAAACTGTGAGACCATACTATACCAGTTATTTCAAAGGTCTGGGAGAATAGAAAGGTTTTCACCTGCTGCAAAAAAGACCATAAAAATGGTTCCAGTGAATGCCCCATCAGAACTTGCTCCCCGCCATAGAGTTTTGTTAAAGCTATGGTTTGTCGTCTTGTGATTTCCTAAGCAGAAACAAGGAAGAGGAGTCATCTGAATACTACAGTTCCCGTCCTCTAAGCACCAAGCAAATGTTGAATATGTGGTACCTGCCCAGAGCAGTAAATATTTAGGCCACAATTAGGAATACCAATAGTAGGATAGGTGGGTGGGCGGGCAGCTATGCTGTCCTGAGCAAATTTCTGCCTGCATTCAGTACATTCTACCTCTTTAAGGTGAAAGAGGACCTCCAGGAGAGGATGGCCGTGTTTTCATATTGAAAGAGAAAGGACAAAAAGGGGAGCCAGGCTTTCCTGGTGATAAAGGCATCCCAGGAGCACAGGGTAAGCAAACTGCTTGTTTTCAGGTTACATAGAAACCAATAACTGTAACGTTAAGTCCAGACCCTAGCTGACATCTTCTATATGCTATCTGATTTTTGGAAGGCACTCATACATCTGCAGCTGTTGTAGAAAGTTAATTCACTAGTACATGTCTGCTGAAATTAAAAGGTGAGACAGACTGTTGTTTACTTAGTCAGTTAGCAATGAACTGCTCATGAGCTGTTGCTTTATCATATGAACCCAGCAGTGTGCATTTACTGATAGACAATATGCTGTAGGAGATTAGGCACCGCCTTCATCATTCATGTTCAGTGACTGCATTATCGCAGGATAAACAACACAGGAAGCTGCTTCACACTGAGTCAGACCATTGGTCCATCTAGCTCGGTATTGACTACAAGGATTGGTACCAGCTCCCCAGAGTTCCAGACAGGGAGTCCACCTAGATATGGTGGAGACTGAACCTGAAACCTTTTGCAGGCAAAGCAGATGCTCTACCACTGAGCTTACAGCCCTATTCAGTGATTACAATATAAAATGAGACTAATCAATATAAACTCGCATTACAAGTTTCTAAACCCTCAATTGGTCTTAGGTACTTACTACACAGGGACATGGGTGGTGCTGTGGTCTAAACCACAGAGCCTAGGGTTGGCAGTTCGAATCCCCTCAACAGGGTGAGCTCCCATTGCTCGGTCCTAGCTCCTGCCCACCTAGCAGTTTGAAAGCATGTCACGTGCAAGTAGACAAATAGGTACCGCTCTGGCGGGAAGGTAAACGACGTTTCCCTACATTGCTCTGGTTTGCCAGAAACAGCTTAGTCATGCTGGCCACATGACCTGGAAGCTGTCTGCGGACAAACGCTGGCTCCCATGGTCAGTAAAGTGTGATGAGTGCCACAACCCCAGAGTCATCTGCGACTGGACCTAACGGCCAGTTACTTACTACACATCCCTTTCATATGACCTCAGTATGAGACCACTTCAACAAAAAGCGAAACCTCTCCTCCTAAGGGTCTTTTAGTTTTTTAAGTTATTGTCTAGATCTTACCAGTGTTTTTTTTCTGGGGGGAAAAGATACTGGTACTACGTACCTTTGAGTACCCCCAGAGAAAAAGAAAAAAACACTGGCTCTTACTACTGTGTTGTATCTACATATCACACAGCAAAATTGTTCTGATGAACAATATGCTAGATTCCTTTTTTAATTTCAGGTTCTGTAGTTTTTCTGATTTGTTTTGTTTGGGGGGGGCGGGTTGCATTCTCTTCTGTGACTAGAAAGCATAACAACTTTACAACAAGCTCTTGAAATAATTTCAGGTGATAAAGGCAACACTGGATTCAGAGGAATCCCAGGATCACCAGGCAGAAGTGCACTTCCAGGTACTCGAAAAGGCGAACCTGGCGATGCTGGACAGGCTGGTTTTCAAGGGCCTCCCGGTCTCCCAGGACCCACAGGACTGAGAGGAATCACTGGCTTTCAAGGACCACAAGGTGACCAGGTAGGGTGAGAATATTGTCACAGTGTTTGAAATTCTAATGCTGTATTTAGCCATTTATCTGAGGGACTCTTGAGGAAAGCGTAGGAGGGGGTCAGTATGCAACATAGTACTGGCACCCAGTTGTGGCACACATTCTCCTGGTGTCAATGTCTCCAGTTTTAAGTGGGAACTGAATACTTGTATTTTCTGTCAAGCTGTATTGTGTGTTTTGCTGTTCGCCATTTTATTGTTGTAGTCTGCCCTTGGGTCGTAGGATTAAGGGTAGGACATAAGTTTTTATCAGTAGTGGATGGCATGATGGAGTGGAGGTGCTTACCTGACCTCCTGGCAGGTGAGTTGCTGGGAGGGGCAGAAGGGAGGGAGGCAAGGCTGCTGTGGTGCAAACCCACTAGCAGAGCCAATCTACTGCTTCTGCTGGTACAACCGTACCACCTGCCCACTCTTATCTCCTCCTTCTCTTTTCTGGTAAGCAGTAGCTAGCAGGTCAAATATGAATGAATAAATCTGCCTTTTACTTGCTTTTCCATCTCAGAGCTAATGATCACCATATTTATTGTTTTGTACAATTATCATTATGATCAGTGTCTTGAAGCAAGTTGAACAAGAAACCAATAGGTCTGTACTACAGAGCAGTTTACACTGACCAGTTAGAAATCTTCAAGCAGCATAAAGCCTTCTGTGGGAAGAGTAGAGATCAGAAAGGAGAAGGCTGAAGCAGTTTCTGTTTTAGATACATTCTTGCTAATTACACACAAACTCTTTCAGTTCTTCGTATTATAAAAGATCAGAATTTGACACAGAAAACAAGACCCTCGTTTATTTTTAATTTGCAGGGACAAGTGCTGTAAATTTTACATATAATTGATGGGCATTCTTCTTTTGATAAAATAATTAGGGTGCACAGGGATTGCCAGGGATTCCAGGAAGTTCAGGACTTGATGGTGCAAAAGGATCTAAAGGTAATGCTGCAATGGTAATACATCTGTGCCTGACAGTTACTGTTCAGGTTTCTGTCAATGCATTAGGAAAAAAATTAATACAGTGGAACCTCAGTTTTCGAGCGTCTCGGAAGCCGAACGATTCGGAACCCGAATGCCAAAAACCCAGAAGTGAATGCCTTGGAAATCGAAAGGGGCGCGTTTCTCCATTTTCTCAATGGAATTTGCTGACCGCCCATTGCACCTTCAGATGTCAAACGTTTCGGAAGTCCAGCGGTCTTTTGGATTACGTTTGACAGCCGAGGTACCACTGTATACAAACAGAAATAATTTCTGGTAACAAAATACTATCATGCTGGCTATAGACATTGATTAAAGATTTGATAGATCATGCTGAAGGGGAAAGGCAGGCACCATACTAGTTTTTATATCACGTTACATGATTTGGAGAGCACAACAAAATGAGTATTATAAAATGTCATTGCAAACTTTAGGGATGATAAAACAGAACTGAATTAGTTGAACATCACAAAGTGATTGATTCAGAAATAGGAAGATTCATTTTGTGAACCAGTGCCCCTGCCTAATAAATAAGCAGGTAAAGCACCTTTCTCTGTTTATATTGACATTGTCAAGACCAATAGCCACATTTGTTCTGCTGCTGTAGTTGCACGTTTTAGGCTCTTTTTTGTAAGAGTATCATTGACCGTAATCCTGAAACCATTTGACATATATTAAGATCCCTTGAAAGATTCTCTACTGGCAAACAACGGGAATTAAATTTTTAAAAGAAATAACTACAGGTTGTTTAAAGATTTCAGAAGCTACTTATACATGAGATGCTACTTTTGCAGGTAACAGAGGTGACCCAGCTGTCTCTTATGGCCAGCCTGGTAAGAAAGGTTCTGCAGGAGATCGAGGATTGCCAGGTGATGATTCCTTTGGTCATTTGGTTATCAATGGGCAAGTTATCTAACTAGTGTATATCTTCTTGTGTATTTATATCTTTTCACTAATTTGAGCCAGACATTTATGGCTTCATGATTTGAAGCGATGATTTAATTCAAATCCATACTTTATGCTACAGACACATTTTTCATGTGCTCTCTGCATGTCTCCAGATGATCACCATGAAGTGAAGGGGCAATATGTCCCTGTAAATACACAGGAGTGTATGCTGGGCACATGTACTCACATTTATACCACGTGTATGAATCTGCATTTCCCATCACACTTCAGTGTTCACCATGGCAAATATGAGCATGCATATGAAACTGGGGCTATGCTAGTAGCAAGAACAAATATTTGCTATCCTCCAACCTTTTTTTAGATAGATCTCCTCCTTTGTTCATAGAGTGGGGATTGAAAGAAATACTTTAAACAGCTTTAAATGTGACAGGAGAAACTGAAAAACAATTCTAGTTTTTTTGAGATGTTTTGGGTCACAACTAGCATCAGCAAATGCTGGGGCCTCACTACTGATACTCTGGGCCAACACTGAGAGAAACCACCATCTTCATTGCCTATGGCCCCAGTCCATTGCAGTGTCTGTCTGCAATGGTATGCTAGAATCCTTAGACATTGTGGAGGAATGAAGATGGCTATGGCTGCAGTCACCCAGTTGAGTACCCTGAGGCAGGAGCTGCAGTTCTTTTCGACACAGCCACTTGTCCTTGTTTCCACTGCCTGCCTATGCCACATGGTAAGCTCATCAGGGGATGGCAATAAGATGGCCAGAGCCATTTCAAACCTCATGCTAGCCTTGGATATTCAGTTATGCTGCTGTTAAAATTTGGGACTCTTGTTGCCTACCTTCGTGTCAGTCATTGCCTTCATCTGCTCAATCTTTATATTATTTTTTTTTATAAGATATTTATTGAAATTTTCAAAGTGTTACCAGATAAAATAAAAGCAGTAGAATAAAAATAATTAACAAAGTAGAGAAAGAAAAAAACCAAACCCCTTCCAACCATATGAATACCAATTCAAAAGTAAGAAAAGGTGGCAAAAAGAAAAAAAAAGAAAAAAATACATCACACACAATTAAAAAACATTTAAAAACAAATTCATTATTCTCATATCCTCAACTGTCATTACCTTCTTTCTTTGACCTCCTCCTCCTCCCTTTCTTTGTATCCTAGTTATTAATTATCCCAGCAAATCCTTTCCATATTTCATAATATTCTGTCATTACATTACCCTAAACTGTTTTAATCTTATCTTTCTATAATAAAATAAACCTTAAAGCTTAAAACTTAAATCTTATCCTTACCAACTTCTCATAACCATAATATTCTTTCATAATTCTTTAAACATCTTTACTAAAGCCAAGTAGTTTCATTCCAACATTTTTCTAACATTCATCAATTTTATAAAACAGTTCTAATGGTAGAAAAAAGAAATACAAACAAATCCAATCTTCATCCAACGTCCCTTCCTCCTGGTTCCGGGTTTTGTCAGTCCTTATTATCCCGTCGATCTAGCCCATTAACCTGGCAGCCTTATATCCGAGGCCCTCAAGTCTCTTCCATGTCCCTTCCGCAGCTCTTCTTCATATTTGTAACTGTATTTTCCCTTGTCTCCTGCTCGTGGTAACTCCAGCTTGGCAATATTTTTAACCCTTCTCGACAGATCAGCCCCTTTTCCAGATTCAACACTGAGTTCCATATGGTATTTAAAAGCATGTTTCAAAGACCCTCCGAAATTAAGAGCCCCCACAATCCCAAACATCTCACGGCCCATTGTCAGATTTGAAAAGTCCAAACATCCCAGCATAGGGGGGTCAATCCAGCCCCCCATTTCCAAGCCAAACCAAACTTTTTCTTTCCAAATCTGGCTTTTTCCAAGTTCATTTGTCAAATCCGAAAACTCATATTCCTGTTGGGCCTGTTCTGTCAGGACACACTCCTGATTTAATTCCTGGGTGGGCTCCACATATTTTCCCACTGTCTGTTCAAAATTTCCCACTGCCTGTTCAAAATTTCTAGTCGAAGTCGCCATCCAATTCACCTTTTCATGTAATTGTTCCAGTAGGGCATTTGTTTTATAGAAAGCACACAACAAAGCTTCTGAATACATTGTCCTGCAAGGTCGAATGCCTGTTCCCACGATTGTTATCTGTAACAGCTGCCGGCTCTCTGGAGTTGGTAACAGTTACACAGTCTCCCTCTAGGGGGAAAACTTCTATTTGTTCTTGCAACAAAGTTTCCCTTTTTGAGATACTTTGTCAATATTTGTTGCTTAAAGATGCGAAGGGAAGCAGTGGAATCGCTATGTTTCTCTTCTTTTAGCTATCTGTCAAAATGCTTGTCTCTGGTCAATGAACTTCAAACGTCAGTCCTGACACCCCGCTCCAGGATCAGGACGGAGGAAAGTTACTTTACTTTAAACTCACTTTAAACAGTCCGGAAAAGATCCCCCTCCTTCTCCTGCTGTCGAAGGGGGGTTCCACAATTTTAAATGATGAAATCCAATCCTTTAAAGGCGATTTTCTAAGCTCTAGTTTACGTTGTCTTTGCTTTATTCTGTCTACCGAAGAACGGAAGGCTGACTTCCTGTTTAGACCTTCCCGTTCCGTACCAAATTAACAGGTTTTTAAAATCCAATTCCTTTCTGCTCGCAAGTCCTTATCTAATGTCCAGTTGTTCAAAGTCTAAGTACTCACGGGTGCTTATTTTAGAGTCCAAATTGTCCCAGGAAAAGGCAGCGCTCTCCGGCAACGGCTGTGCGGCTTCGCTCCACGGAAATAGCAATTGACTCACAGCACCGCGCCACTTCCCACTCTTCACTTCGGAGCCCGTTAGTGGGTTCCTTAGCGAGTTGGGGGGGCGCTAAAGGTGCCCGCCGAGTCCCATGGTCACAGGCTTCATCCGCCTGTGATTTTTAAAAGGGTCCCCGCTTCGCCGTAGCGGAAAAGACCCGTTTCCCGCGGAGCTAGTCCCTCCTGTTCAGAGGGAGTCCGCCATTGCCGATGGCGCCACCCCGGAAGTTCTGCTCAATCTTTATAAATGCAAACTAGTAGATGTTGTGAGATACTGTAGGTTTTCAGTACAGTTTCATCCACATCAAATGGTGGATGAATGGTTGAGTGAGATGCCTTCACTCCATTACATTCTGCTCTATTCCGCTCATGGAAGGAAGCTGCAGAAGACAATATACTAATGTGTTTCCAAAAAGCTAATACAGTACACTATGCTTGAGCAGTGAAGCATGCCTATGTATGCATGGAATTTGCCATTTAAAAAGTTTCGCTAAAAATATATTACAGTAAGAGTTGCTTTGTTTGTATGCTTTGGTTTAAGGACTTGATGGATTACCAGGGGACCAAGGAATCACAGGTGTTCAAGGGAGACCAGGAAGACAGGGACCCAAAGGACTAACTGGATACTCAGGAACACCTGGCTTCCCAGGTGAGGTGGAAGTGAAAGAAAAATTAACTGGACTTTAAACATAATAAGCTTTTATGGGCCATGATGACATCAGTAGAAAAGGAAACATCAACATGCAATCAAACCAGAAAATATATGAAAGTCAAGATGGGATTATAAGCAAGATCACCCTAATCCCTGTGGGGAAAAGTCCAATAAACTTTCCTAGCTGAATGGAAAGGTCCATACTGTATTTCTTTTAAACAAATCTTGCTGTTTTGTAATTATTTATTTGTTATTTTTACTATATTTTTTACATCAACTCGGGACATACATGAGAGGCAATTAACAATAATGTCATTTCTAGCAACCAGCATAATCATAAAATATATACTGAATATTATGGAGAAATAGTAAGTATTGTTTAATTATGAGGATTGTGTCTTCAACCCGCAGGTATCCAAGGAGCTGCAGGCATTCCAGGAGCACCAGGTGAACAAGGTAATCCTGGTCTTTTGGGAGCTCCAGGTTTTCAAGGATTACCTGGCAGTCCTGGGAGAAAAGGTAACTATTGTGAAAAACATGTGGCAGTGAATGTAATGATGTGGACTAAAGGTGATAACATGAATTGTATATTACTCTGTTCTTTGAAGGAATACAGGAGTGGAGAAGCGCAAGCCAGGGACCACATACTATCAGCCCCTAAAATGACTTTCAGTGGCCTTAAAAAACTGTTGAGTCAGCTTCTCCTCTACTCTCCTTGGGGCTGTTTAAATTTTCCAAGTGTGCCCTGAGGAAAGGCGGAAACATAGAAGCCTAAGCCAGGGAACTCATGCCAACAGCTCCTGAAGGGACCATTAAGTCTGCCTCAGAGAACTCTGTTTTATATTTTGTACCCTCTTCTTTCTTCCCCAGCATAGATCCTAACAAAGATAACCCCTTGCACTGCCATTAACCTAAAGGGGATGAAGCTCCCACTGCTGCTTTTCTTCTCAGGCTAATTGCAGAGCAGGGGGTGTACTCAGTCTTGTCGGAACTGCATCACATTGTCCCCTCCATTCTTTTTCTCCATCTTGCAATATTTCAAAGGCCTTTCGGGACCGCCTGGATTAAATGGCCTGAATGGACTACAGGGTCAAAAGGGCTTGCCAGGATCTCCAGGTAAATAATGAAACTACCATTATAAAATTATAATTTGAAAAAAATAAATACGAATGGAATTACTAGTAGAGGCTCAATCAAATGTTAAGCCGCCAACTGGCATTAATTTTAACAATAAACGATAGATTTTAAATTTTATGTGAGGTTTGGCTTCAGCTGACACTAGTTAATGCTAGCATAGTGAAAATCAGCCCGAGAGTGTCGTGGAATTTCTATTGAGGGCAACAGCTATGGAGAATTATCCTTTTGCAAACCAAGTTGCAAACAGAAATATGCCTGATAGGACCATACTCAGATATTGGAACCCAAAGCCTAAAAGTATGTGCGAAAGCACACATGCTGTGGTTGCAGATCTTATCCTCCAGCAACAGCCCCCATGCTTCATGGGGTATTGCTCTGAAGTGCTTATTGATATTGAGCAGTGTTTTGGGAGTATAAAGGGGGCTAAGGCTGAAGGGGGAAGCTGAATATCCTGGGCAAGGCACTCCTATACAGTGCTACCTCTGGTTACAGACACTTCAGGTTACAGACGCTTCAGGTTACAGACTCCGCTAACCCAGAAATAGTACCTCGGGTTAAGAACTTTGCTTCAGGATGAGAACAGAAATCGTGCAGCAGCAGTGCGGCAGCAGCACGAGGCCCCATTAGCTAAAGTGGTACCTCAGGTTAAGAAGTTTCAGGTTAAGAACGGACCTCCAGAACGAATTAAGTTCTTAACCCAAGGTACCACTGTATAGTGACTTAGGGGCCATAGGGGCCACAATTTCTTGAATCATTTTTATCGCATGTGTCTTCCAAAGGGCCATTCTCTCTTCCCACTCCCCACCCCACAAATTTATTCTCATTGCAACTCTCTGAGGCAGGTTAGGCTATGAGAGAGCAACTGACTTGCCTCAGATCCACATGAACAAGCATGGACATTGAGAGTTGGCCAACCTTGGATGGCGTCACCTGGAAAGGAAGTGCTTGGGTGTCTGCTTTTATGCATATGTCTTTTATTCATTATGAAGCTTCATTCTGTGTGCATTTATTATTCCCTTTGTAAGGTTTAAGTGAAATGGGGCCTGCAGGATGCATAGGAGAACCTGGGCCAAAAGGCAACAGAGGAGAACCTGGACTACCAGGAATTTCCCGTCCGGGTCCCCCTGGAGATGCAGGACTACTAGGTCCCCCTGGTAAGGAGCAGTTTTCTCCATGGGAGGAAAACAGCTAATCTATTACTACTGTCAGCATCGCCCTTGAGCCAGTGCCACCAACTGGACTCATCCACTTCAGCCCCGACTGGGCTAGGCGAGCTGGGTAGCACTTCCAGAGACCACCTTCTGCACAGGAACAGGTCAAAGTGCTGTGGACTCACAGCTTAGAGTTGTGAGCACCGGATTCACTCCAACAAGAAGACAGTCGTCGCACAGCAGAGTACAGCAGAGTCTAGCAGAGTATATAAACAACTTGGAGAGCAGCTCTGTAGAATATCTTCTTTATTCTATCTACAACTATTATACAAACTATATACAGAGCTAAATAGGTCTAAGCATAAATGAATGCTGCACTGCACTGAGTGTCTGCAGCTGCTCTTAGCAGCAACCTTATCTCTACACACGATCTCTAACACTCAGTCTCTCTCTCTCTCTCCGACACTGACTGACTGACTGACTCGGTGCTGGAGCAGAATAAGTAGAGAGCAGAACACGCCTCCTCCTCTCTGGAGAATCAGCAGACTCCTCAGGAGATTCTTGGATATGGGAGGGGTGAAATCTCCTCATCCTCCCCCATTTCATCCGACCATTTCAAGAATCTTTAACATAACTGCAATTTACACACACACTCCAAAAGTTGTTCTCTGCTTACAACCTTGGTTAACACATTTGCAGGTATCTCTCTCCCCCTTTATCTAAGACACTTTAACACATCATTAAACAGTTACTACAATCACTCTGTGTCTATCAGGAAAGAGTTAAATCATAAACCTCAATCTGTAGTACACACAAAATGCACATTGTGAATACTCAAATGAATAAGCAGCTTCTAGAAAAATCTTCATACACGTTTCACTCTCTCAGATGCAAATTTACATTACATTACTAAATTAGGCAGATTTAAACAAACCACATTCAGTACTCAAACACACATTGCTCCTTCAATCCTAATCCTTTAAACATATTATACATGAACCACTTTAGGTCAGGTAAGGAAATAAATAAAGCTTTTGTACTATTACTCTCAGCACACTTCATGCCTGGTTTAAAAACCCCACCAGAGTTGCATGTGACCGCAGCCTTTGCAAACTCTTCAGAAAACCTTTTCGGTGGTACACCCTTGGTTGTTCTTTCGGATCTGCGCAAAACTCTCTGATCCTCTTGTTCTGGTGCTTCCTCCTCTTTGGGAGAGTGGGGAGCTAAAGTATATGAAGCTGCTAAGTCTGAATCAGCATCAGACTCTCCTGAGGCTTTTGGGCTCTGATAATCTGTGCCACCATCCGAATCTACATCGGCATCAGGATTATCATCATCTACATCAGAACTTGCCTCCCTCTTAAATGTCTTTGCCCCTTTTGCACCATCATCACAAATGGGATGGCACTGAAAAACGCCAACTCTGTCCCATTGTGGATTGTCCTCAATACTCCTGGTCAACCTGATGGTTTTCGTGTCTGTGATCAGAACACGATAAGACCCTTTCTCATATCCTAGGAAAACACCATGTTCTCCATGCTTACTCAGTTTGTCACCCTGCGAGGTGTGCACCCAAACCTCCGACCCAAAAAATTTAAAATGCTTTACACATGGCTTCCTTCCGTGAAGCATCTCGTATGGGGTGCAATTTACAGCGGACTGGTACCTCCTGTTATACACGTGACAGAAAAACGAAAGAGCTTCGGCCCAAAAGGGATTGGGCAGTCCCGAATCATGTAACAGTGTTCTGATTCCTTGCTGCAGGGTCTGGTTTATTCTCTCACATAAACCATTCTGCCAGGGTGATCTGGGCGTGGCAGTCCTATGCTCAATGCCCTGTTCAGAAAGAAAAGCCTCAAACTCCTCTGAACAACTCACCTCCCCTGTCAGTGAAAATACAACGTACATTCTCATTATGTACATTTCTGAGCCATTTACAAAACTGGCGAAACTTGGTAAAAGCTTCAGACTTTTTCTGCAGCATATAGACCCATACATATCTAGAATAGGCATCTATCAAAACCATGAAAAACCTTGAATTGCCTCTAGAGAGCGCTAGAGGCCCCACTAAGTCTGCATGAATGACTTTGTATGGTTTCTTGGCCTCTCTCCCAGACTCTGTACCTTTGGGAGCTTGCCTTGCCTTACTCTCAGCACAAGAAACACATTTCATGTGGTAGGGACATTCTTTCAACTTCATACCCTGAACCATATCAGGCATTTTTGCCACAGCCTGGAAATTCAAATGACCATAAACACGGTGGTAATAATGAATACATTGGTCATGCAACTTCTCATTCTTATCAACAGATAAATTGCAACACTCTTTCTCAGTTGCTTCTGCAGTACCTGTACCTGAAACAAAAGGCAATTGGTACAGACCATTTACACATTTTGCATACAGAATGAGCTTGCCATCTCGACGAATTTCACAGCGAGATTTAGCAAACACCACCTTAAACCCTTGACGATCAAGCTGGGAAACACTCAACAAATTGTCCTGAATATCAGGCGCATACAGGACATTCTTAATTGTTGCATTCAGGCTCTTTAAAAACACAGTTCCCTGAGCCAAACTCGTGAGGACAGTCCCATCTGCTTGATGAATTTCTTTCTCTTGCTTCTCAAGATGAACAAAGAGATCCTTATCTTTGGCCACGTGGTTTGAACAGCCAGAGTCGACCACGAAGAAACTCCACCCACGTTGATTGGAGCAGCGAGAGATCAAAGCCTTTGAAGTAGCAGGTGCTTGGGGATTTCGTCCTCCTCCCCCTCGGCCTCTGAAGTTTCCCTTCTTCTTTGAAGATTTCTTGCACTGGAAACTCAAATGGCCTTGTGCTCCACACGAAAAGCACCGCTTCAACTTTAGTGCTTTAACAGCAGCAGTTTCACTTTCACTTTCCCCTGCTGGAGACTTAGGCACATTTTCAAGCACATTTTTAACAGCACCATTTCCCCGGCTTTCTCTAACAGCCTGTCTGCGATCCCACTCATTCAGGAGCACGCTAGACACATAATCTTCCGTTAGCCGGTCAGAAGGCATGGTAGAAATCTGGGCAGCTCCTCCATCGTAAGAATCGTCTAGGCTATTTATCATCAGCATTGCAAACACAGCCTCTGAAATAGCCAGGTCTCGCTGAACAAGGTCCTGTCTGAGACGCTTTAACTGAGATAGATGGCTAGGCAAATCACCACCTTTCTCCAACTGCAGCCTGCACAGCTTCTTGAAGAAAATCACACTGGAACCAGCATTCTGCCTCAAATGCATATCTCTCAACTTATGCCAAACAGCTCGTGCAGTCTCTTGACCCTCTAAGTTTACCAGCAAGTTGTCTGCAACACTCAAAACAATTGTCCCACGGGCTTTCATGTCTGCAGCATGCCATTCAGGCCATTCTTCTGCATCCTTATCGGGAGGGTCATCTTCTATAGTGTGAAATAGCTTTTCCCTCTGTAAAAGCGCTTTCATCTTGACCTGCCAAACTGCATAGGTCTCAGGCGTGAGGAGAGGAAAGGACAGAGCCATCTGGCCAGAATGTGCACAGGCCATGTCTGCTATTACTTAGAGCAAGACACTTCCCTCGTGCAACACAGATAAAGCCTTGGATCCTTCAGCCACTCTCTCTCCCACTCAGAGCGCAATTAACAGGCAAACAGGGATGCTATCTTCTTTCTTTTGCAGTCAGCAACATACCTCCATAAATCAAGCAGCAGCAACAGCAACAGCGGCAGCTTGAACACTCTGCTCCAAAACAGCTCTGCTTCTGGGCACCGCAAATCAGTCCAGCATGCAGCCTCCGTTCCGCCGTCCGGCAATCAGCAACAGAAACCTCTGGCGACTGGGACGACTGAAATGACTGGAACAACGACTGGTCAGACGACTGGGCCCATAACCGATGTCAGCATCGCCCTTGAGCCAGTGCCACCAACTGGACTCATCCACTTCAGCCCCGACTGGGCTAGGCGAGCTGGGTAGCACTTCCAGAGACCACCTTCTGCACAGGAACAGGTCAAAGTGCTGTGGACTCACAGCTTAGAGTTGTGAGCACCGGATTCACTCCAACAAGAAGACAGTCGTCGCACAGCAGAGTACAGCAGAGTCTAGCAGAGTATATAAACAACTCGGAGAGCAGCTCTGTAGAATATCTTCTTTATTCTATCTACAACTATTATACAAACTATATACAGAGCTTAATAGGTCTAAGCATAAATAAATGCTGCACTGCACTGAGTGTCTGCAGCTGCTCTTAGCAGCAACCTTATCTCTACACACGATCTCTAACACTCAGTCTCTCTCTCTCTCTCCGACACTGACTGACTGACTGACTCGGTGCTGGAGCAGAATAAGTAGAGAGCAGAACACGCCTCCTCCTCTCTGGAGAATCAGCAGACTCCTCAGGAGATTCTTGGATATGGGAGGGGTGAAATCTCCTCAACTACCCCATTGAAGAGCAGGATGATGATGTTTGTTTCTTACTTAATGTCATGAACAACAGCCAATAGGTTTCTGGGGACACTCATGTAAGCAGATTTCACAAATAATTAAAGCAAGGGAAATGCACTATGGCAAACATTTGTGGTATCTTAGATATATATTGTGCTGGAAAGAATGGTTCTGCCACACAAACAAACTATAGAGTCCACACAACATAGAGTAAAATGCCTTTGCAATGAGGTTCCTATTGGTCAATATTCAACATTTTGGTATCTCCTAAAATATAAAATAGCACAATAAACTCTCTTCTTCTTACAGGCAAGCCAGGTGCTTCTGGGTCTGCCGGTCCTATGGGACAGCCTTCTGTAAATATAATTCCTGGGCCTCCAGGTGACCAAGGCCCTGCTGGATTAGATGGTGTTAGAGGTATGACTGGCATAATAAAGCAGTTAAAGTAGAACAAACCCTCCTATGTGCTGGACATGTAGCAGAAATGTTATTTTCCAATTGAGTTTGAGAGCAGGAGGGGGTCCTCCTTTTGGAGAAACTAATCAAATAATTAACTTTGCTATGCCTTTATTCTGTAAACCACTTTGAAGGCCTTTGGCATTGAAGTAGACTTTTTTTTTTAAACAACAACAACAGCACACAAAGATTATATGTAAACTGTTGGCTGCTCCTAAACCAGATACGAGAAATTGAAGAATCAGGTTGAAGGGCTATAGCTACTGTAAGTGGTAAATAATGTTGATTGAAGCTCCCAGGTTCACTCCTCAGGATCTCCCAAGTAGGACTGGGGTGAAGGACTTTGGAGGGCTATTCTCAGTCAATATAGCCAGTGTGGTGCCGTCCAGATGTGTCCCACAACTCTCATCTTCCTTGATCATTGGCATGCTTTCTGGATCTGATAGGAGCTGTAGTCCAACAACATTTGGAGGTCACCACATGACCCACCCTACGTGGAGATATTACCGAACTACAAGGACCAGTAGTCATATTCTGTATGGCAACTTCCTGTGTTCTTATGATCCAACCAAAGGATACTGAATACTGTTCTGCCTTCCTGTCCAAAGACCACAATCCCCACCTCCCAATTGTTAAGGAGACATGTGCACAAGCCTGCTTCAGCCCCCTATCCTTGCTTGGTATGTTTATTCCAACAATACTTAATTTTCATTCCAGGTCTCCCTGGCAAACCTGGTCCTCCAGGGAAGACTATTCTCATTAAAGGAGACCCAGGTGACTGTGGGGCTTTGGGGGCACCTGGGGCTCCTGGTCCTCCTGGCAAACCTGGACCTAAAGGTATCTCGGGAAATCAAGGAAGAGAAGGCTCAAAAGGTATGGCTTGAGATAATGGGTTTAGCATATAGCAGATCCAATAACAGAACTTTCTTAATTCATCCGAATTCTCATTGTTAAGGTCCAACGGGAAATCCTGGCCCACAGGGACCTCCTGGTGCCCCTGGAGAGCCTGGAGATCAAGGTTTGCGAGGATCAACTGGTCGTATGGGTCCCAAAGGTAATACCTAACATTTTTTATACCTTGCTATATGCAGTGGCCATTCTGAATCCACATTTGGTCATGTTTGCAGCAGTCTTGCAATGCTCTACCCAGCCACACAGCTAGTGAGAGAGGGGGGGCATTGCAGTAGATTTTCTTAGTTGCAACCCACACATAAAGCAAATATCCTAAGCCAGAAGAATGGAGCACTGCAAATAGGATTAGGCAGCTAATACAGTGCATCCTGGGATGCGGGTGGCACTGTGGGTTAAACCACAGAGCCTAGGACTTGCCGATCAGAAGGTCGGCAGTTCGAATCCCTGTGACGGGGTGAGCTCCCATTGCTCGGTCCCTGCTCCTGCCAACCTAGCAGTTCGAAAGCACCTCAAAGTGCAAGTAGATAAATAGGTACCACTCCGAAGGGAAGGTAAATGGCATTTCCGTGCGCTGCTCTGGTTCTCCAGAAGCTGCTTAGTCATGCTGGCGACATGACCCGGAAGCTGTACGCCGGCTCCCACGGCCAATAAAGCGAGATGAGCGCCACAACCCCAGAGTCGGCCATGACTGGACCTAATGGTCAGTGGTCCCTTTACCTTTACAGTGCATCCCAAGTCCTGCCTCCTGCTATCTAAACCCGTCTCTGCTTATACATATGACTGCTATAACACATCTGGAAGAGGAGAATTTACCAGTAGCACTGAAGTTCTACTCTGTCCTTTCATAGCAACGTGGGTCACATTGTTCAATTGGCTGAGTACTGGTTCAGCAACAAATTCTGTGATGTAGCAGGTCTGTGGGTTAAATGCTATGCATACTTAGCATGCAATACATGAGGTCTTCACTCACCTGTTCAAATGCTGATTTAAGTGACAAATATACACAGCTTATGAAAGAGTTTGATTTTTTAAATCTACCATTTTTTTAAAAAATTAAGATTAAGGACATATTGTATACGAAAGGAATGCCTGAAAAGGATGCTGGAGAATAATACAGTAATAATACTTATAACTGTAATAATACTTACTGAATTGTAAGCTATTAACATTTGTTTGTTTTTCATTTACTTACGTATTAATTTCTAGTAAAGGCATAGGTATTTAATGGTACTGAATGACAGGCCTTTTCTTGAAATAGTTTTTAGCCCAGCAGTGTTGCAATCAAGCTGAAAGGAAGACTGCAAAATCAGAGGACAGTGAAAACGAAGGTTCATGGCAGTCTATAGAAAAGTTCCTGGATGGCATTTCCCACCATTGGGATGGTGCTTCCTACAGGGCTCAAAGGGCGGAGCACAGGACTTCTTTTGGGAGGAATCACCTCCCACCTCCCAGAGCAGCTCTGTCTGAATCGATAGGCAAGAGCGTTGGTCAGGCTCCTACAGTGTGACCAAATTAAGAGCTTTTAAAAAGCTTCTTTTCCTTCACTGTTTCCTCTTTTCTCCCCTTGATCTCCACATTTTGGAGCATTGGGTGGGCTAGTTAGGGACCCTTTGGGTTTTACTAGCTGGGAACGAGGATGACACAGCCTAGTTCCTGCTAAAAAGTCTTAAGGAAGCTGATCCAGGTGTTTTTGGGACAAGTTCAGTGGCATCACTGCAGTGAGGAAAAACAAGCTGCTTCACACCACCTTTGGAGGAGATGGATAGCCTTGGATACCCATTTCCTTATCCTTCAGGGAGGCAGTTATCCTTTTTTTATTATGTAGACATTAATTTTTGAAGTCATTCACTCACTGTAGACAGATGCTCCCATGTCTTGTCACAATCATGTTGGGGGAAATGATAATGCCATGTGCAAGCTATCACTGTTCTAATTGCATTCTTGTTCTAAACCATCTGCACGGTGCTGGTCTCCCTCCTGCATGTGAAATGGCTGTCACAAATTCTTGGCATTCAATCCACCAGGTTGCAGAGGTAAGCTTAGAGAAGGATGAGTGCTTTGGTGTGTGTTCAAGTGAAAAAGTTTCTCTGAGTGTCAATTTATTTTTCTTCATGCTAAGATCTTAGTCTTTTAGTTCAAATTGCTAATAACTGATCTGATCCACATCTTCTGAACTAATGTGCAGATTGGAAGGTGGCTATCCTTCAGATTTAGCACTTTTGTGGTCTAATTCTCAGCTCAAAAAAATATCAAAATGTGTTCTAACATGTACCGTATTTTTCGCCCTATAGGACACACTTTTCCCCCTCCAAAAATGAAGGGGAAATCTGTGTGCGTCCTATGGGGCGAATACAGGCTTTCGCTGAGGCTTGGAGAGTGAGAGGGGTCGGTGCGCACCGACCCCTCTCGCTCTCCAGGCTTCAGGAAGCTATCAGCAAGCCTGGGGAGCCCGCAGGAGTTCCCACAGGGCTCCCTAGGCTGCAGATAGCAGCCTGCCGCCCGGCGCGTGGGGCGCCCTGAAGCAGAGTGCCCCGCGCGCCGGGCAGACATCCGCAGCCTGGGGAGCCCTGCGGGAGTTCCCGTAGGGCTCCCCAGACTGCGGATAGTAGCCTGCCGCCCGGCGCGCGCTGAAGCAGAGCGCCCCGCACGCCGGGCAGACATCGGCCAGCCCCACAAGCTTGGGGGAGAGCGGGGAGGCAGAGCGCCGCCATACCACTGTTCCCTGACCTCGTTTGGTTTCCCCGACCTGGTTTGGGGGGGGGAATAAAGGGGGGAAAATTTCCTTTATTTCTCCCCCCAAAAACTAGGTGCGTCCTATGGGATGGAGCATCCTATGGGACGAAAAATACGGTATATATTAGATAATAATGTGCTTAGAAATACTCATTTAGGAAAGACAATACTTCAAAAATTATTTGTAAAACATATTTAAATGCAAATTTTCATGCAAAATAAAAATAGATGCAGAAATGGAACGTATTTTTAAGTGAACATTTGGAAGTGAGGCATGTGATCAGCCCTCTAAGCATGTTGTGATTTACTCTGCACCTCTGTGCCAAAAAAGTCATGACCCTCTATTGCTTCTCTGAAAATTCCCATGGCTCCATACTGCTGCAGTGGAGCTCACAGACCTGTACTGGAAAATATACTGAATTTCCTGGGCAGCAAGATGGTGTTTTTAGGAGCCAGAGTGAAATTCTGTATTACAATCCTTTACAGTGTTCCCTATCATCTATGTCCTGTGATATTTGAGCCCTTACATATTTTTTACTTTTCCTAACACTGGAGGAAAATGTGTGCAAATCACTAGCATTGGAATGTATCATTCCTTTTTTAAAATTAAAAAATAAAGTGAATAAACATTTGCTTTTCCCCAAGTGAGACCCTCCTCTTGTAACAAAGTCATTCTCCAATAAAGTCTATATAACGCAAATGCTACTGCTGCAGCAAAAGCATAGTGTTATGTGGAAAGCCAATCACATTATACACTTGATCTCTCCCTCCTATTTATTTATTTGTGTTAGGTCATTTATGCACTTGAACCTGTAGCAATAACATAAAGGGTGGTTTCTCAAACGCTTGGCACATACTGAATTACCTTGGGAGTTTATATAAATTCTCTGCCTACCAACCTTGTTTCTGGGTCCAACCTTTCTATTTAACAGTACAATCCCTTACATGCCTGCTCAGAAACAAGTTCCATTGAATTCAGTGGGACTCAATTCCAGGTAAGTGTGTATATGATTATGACCTAACTCCTCTTTTAAAGTCCTTTCATGTTTCAGGTGACCCAGGAGAACCTGGAAGTGTTGATTATTCCTCATGTCCCAAGATTCCAGGGCCTCCTGGTGTATTGGGCCCAAGAGGATCACCAGGTGTCATGGGATTAAGAGGGCCAGCAGGCTTCCCTGGCCCCCCAGGTAAGTAATTCTGTGTGTCTGCAATGTTTGTGGTAGGGAAGAGACAGAATCACCACGAACCCTTTCATGTATCATCCTTTCAGCTCACCTATCCCAGTGAAGTCTACACAACTCCATGTTGGCTTCAGTTTGGGTTGCATTCATGAAGAACATCAACCTCCTCTGTTACATTTCCTATTCATTCTATTATTTAAGCACATATTTTTATCTGATGCCAGTCGGATAGCTTTACAAAAGAGACCACAACTTATCATAGCACTTTAAGAACATAAGAGCCCTGCTGAATCAATCTAAAGTCTCCCCTTTAAAACCCCTCCAAGTTGGTGATCATCACTACATTTGGGGATAGTGAGTTCCGTAGTTTAACTGTGCACTGTGTAAAGATTTCAATAGGTTGTAGCTGAACAAACAAATAGTGGCAGCTCCTCCTCACAGCCACAAGTTCCCCATCCCTGTTGTAAACTAGTACTTTCTTCTGACACCGTGACATGGCTTGGACAGGAAGCTCAACTCATCCCCAAATCCCTCCACTTCATCTTATTTCCTCAACTATGGCAGCTGGATCCAGAGGGTCACAGGTTCCTCATCCCTGGTTTTAATAAAATAATAATAATAATAATAATAATAATAATAATAATAATTTATTACTTATACCCCGCCCATACTCTGGCCAAGAATTCTAGAGCATTCTAGAGTGTGAAATATATTTTAAGGTTTTTTAAAAAAATAAAATGAAAGGACTGTTTTGAATAATTTCAAGAAAGACGAAACTATTACTACTTCAGAGAAAACAAACATACCTGTTTAATGTTAGATTTGTAATCTATTAATACAATAACTAATTATAGTTGCATTTAGACATGAATGCACTGTATTATATTTCAGGAGAGAAAGGAGAAGAAGGGTTATTGGGTCAACAGGGTCAAGATGGCTTGCCTGGGCCACCAGGACCCCCTGGTGATGAAGGTAACATAGGAGAAAAAGGATACACAGGACTACAAGGTAAGTATTCTGCCACAAGCAGTCATTTGCCATACTTCTGGGGAAAGTACTAGCTTTGCAAATGATTTCTCTTACTTTTTGCCCTGGTTGTAATGGCTCTTCGCCAAAACTGTTAATAGAACCTGCATTCAGCTGCTCAGTTGCTATTGTATCATATCAAAGAATCCAACAGCCAAGTTATATGTTATGCTAAATGTGTAGCATGTAGCTTTTATTTTCATCCCCCCTCTTTAATTACTTACAGGCACTGAGGTGGTTATGAACAGAGCACAGGATAGGAGGTTTAGTTCATCCATGCCCCAGCCGCAATCGCAACAAGAATTGCTCCACCCAGTGCAGCAGCAAGCCTTAGAAAAAGTTTCTATTGGCACCAGTGGGAATTCTTTCTAAGGCTCATAGTTTGTGGGGGACAGCATTTTCGCTGCATTTGTGGTTAGGTAGGGGAGAGATAAGCCGCCTTTCCCTGTGTGTTGCATATTCAGAAACAACTGCCTTCTCACAACACAACTGTAATGTGACTTAAAGATTTTGTTGGCTCCAACCTCTGAGGATTGGTTTTAAATTCAAAACCTGAGGCCCTGGGATCTTGCATGCTTCAATCAAGTCTGTTCTGAAGAATAGAAAAGCATCTCTTTAATGTGTCCCACCTTTAAATGGAATATTCTCTACCTTTTCTCTGCAAGGTTTTCCAGGTGAAATTGGAATGCCAGGTCCACCAGGGCCTGACACAAGAGTTGCTGGTGGGTTCCTGATTGTTGTTCATAGTCAATCAGATCAAGTCCCCCTGTGCCCAGAGGGAATGCCAAGGTTGTGGACTGGATATAGCCTGCTGTATCTTGAAGGGCAGGAGAAGGCCCATAATCAAGATCTTGGTGAGGACTGCAATATCACTCCTTAAAGAAAGAAAATGCAGTGGTTTTCTGCATTTTTCATTGCAAATGGTTGCATATAACATTAAAATCTGGGGTAGTAGGTATGTATCTTTTTGGAGCCAATATTGGAATTGGCCAACCTTTCATTGTCGTATGTGCTATCTATAAAGCATGCTTAGAAACTGATGTGACCAGCTAGGGCCTTTCCTCGAGAGCCTTAGCGCAAGAGTGTCAACCTATGCTATTCGACCTGCGCTTCCCTGCAGAGGCTCTTCTTTCCCGTTCAAACCTTCATTATTTCTGCTGGATGCAAAACTCATCCTTGTTGTCTGTGGTGAACCTGGGAGGTTTAATTTTTGGTCTATTTGCAACAGATATTTATATGCTTGAGCACACCTGCAAGTTACTATATATTTATTTGCTAGTTTTAAGCATTACTTTAACAATGAAATGGACCAGGACATTAAAATCATGGTACTACATCAGCAGAAAAGACATTTGTTTTAAAACAAGCAAGCTCTGAAGTGAACTGGGCATTCAGTCCCAAGGTGCTACAAGTTGAATTTTAGGAATTAAGCACAGTAGCAAATTTGCAGTCTTTTAATAATAGCTTTAGTACTCTGTTTCAGACAAAGGTATTTTCCGGCAATATCTAGAGGTGCCAGGGATTTGAATCTGGGACATTTTATGTTTAGTGTATGGTACTCTCACTCACCTTTTCCAATTTTGAAGGTAGTGAATTACATTTTAATTTATTTTCTAACATTCCCAGAGGTTAGAGGATTGCATAACTTAAACAAGTTAAGTGAAAACTCTCGACTGCACAACACCCACACCCACACACCCACACCCACAGCATGAGAACATGTGTTCTCTGTACCTAGCTTTCCTTGGACACAGGTGACAATGATTGCTGTTGAAATTTCCAGACACCTCCAGATACTGTAAACCCACCCAAAGCCCTTATGCATCAATAATTTTCCTGGCTGCGTAGTGCTGATGTGGAATAAGGCTCAAGACTAACTTAAACTGTTCTTTAATAAGAACTTCAAGTGTTTTGGATTGGTAATTATATGTGTGCATGTCCCCCACCATCTATTCTAGGTCTCGCTGGATCTTGTCTCCCTGTGTTCAGCACCATGCCCTTTGCCTATTGCAATATCCATCAGGTCTGCTACTATGCAAGTCGAAATGATAAATCTTACTGGCTGTCAAGCGCAGCTCCTTTGCCCATGATGCCCCTCTCTGAAGAAGAAATACAACCTTACATTAGCAGATGTGCTGTCTGTGAGGCTCCTGCCCAAGCTGTTGCAGTTCATAGTCAAGATCAATCCATTCCTCCCTGTCCATCAAACTGGGGAAGCCTATGGATAGGCTACTCATTTTTAATGGTAAGATTGAATATTACTTGGCTCTTCTATGGAACTATTTGGATCTAACCATGCTAGCTAATCACTGAAACTGAGCCTGTAAATTGAATAAAATGTATGAATGAATGAGAACACACTTACCTGGGAGAAGGTTCAGCTGAACTTAGTGGGACAGTCTTCTGAGTAGACATGCATAGGATTGAGCTGTCAGCAAGATCTGCAAAATGCTCAACCGATTTGTCATTTGCTAATTGACTGTAGACGTTTCACTCCTTCAGTTTGCCATCTTGGTTCCTTATCTTGTCTCTATTTGTTTTACTGTATTTATCAGTTGCCCAATAACTTTCTCTGGGCAATGCACAGCGCATTATAAAAACAAGAGAACTATAAAATGCAAACTACAGTTCTAATGAGCAGAATTAAACTAAAATTGAGATAAAGTTGAAACCATGCCAACAGCAAATAACCACTGCAACTTAAGAGATAAATGGATCTGATTTTAAATGTTTGTATGGCCTTCATCTGCTGCTAAAATGACATAGTCTGTGCCTCCAAGCAAGGGGCTGCTGCTGAGACCTTTTCTCTTGCAGACACTTCCCTTATTTCAGCTTGCAGAGGCATAAAAACATGACATCAGATTATTAAATTTTTACAGGCTTTATTGTATTGTTTTATGTTTGGTGTTATAAAATTTAGCCATTCAGTAGAATTACTCCTGGAGGCTGAGACTGGCAGATCAATGAGCTCAGGAGTTTGGGTGTGCTGATCAAGTGTCCGCACTAAGTCTGGCATCACTGGGAACCACTTCGATATTTTTAATGATATTTTAAATGCAAATATTTTTATAAATAAAGCAAACTGTGGGCACAGGTAATTATGTATGGGAAAGATGCAAGTTCTTCAGGTACTGTGTTCTTGAGCTATGAAGAATTTCAAAGATCAAACACAAGACTTTGAATTGAGTCCAGAGTATCCTGCCAACCAACAGTTAGCTCCAAGTTCTAATTAGATGAAGATTGGTTTTGACATAAACCATAGGCCAAAATCAATTCTCTTTATCACCATTCACACCCCAAAATGAAAACTGCAGAAGCTATCGCAAAATTCATTTTGCCTTATGAGAAATGCCAACTCTGTTGGTCAGTACTACGATTTAAAAGAGATTTAGTTGTAAGAAAGTTATATTGTGTTCACTACGCAGTCTTATCCAAATGAGTCTCACTGAGCTCAGTGAGATTGGCTACTGAGTAAAACTGTACAGGGTGAGATAACTTCCACCTCTTTTGCCTGTTTCTTTCAGCACACTGGATCTGGTGACCAGGGAGGTGGACAGTCTCTCATGTCAACTGGAAGCTGCCTTGAGGACTTCAGATCAGCACCCTTCATTGAATGCCAGGGGCAGCGAGGGACATGCCAATTTTTTACCAATGAATACAGCTTCTGGTTAAGTACTATAAACCCAGAGATGCAGTTTACTTCAGTCCCTCGCTCAGAGACTCTCAAAGATGAGCAAGAACAACGCCGCAATGTAGGTAGATGCCAGGTCTGCATGAAATATGGCTAAAAGAAACCCGACCGTTTACCAAAGTGAAAGTTGCATGTGGTGCTAATCTTATGTGAAACTGTGCACTGCCGTTCAAGCCTTTGGCCACATCTGCAGAAGTTTAAGCCAGTCAAACCATGGAACTGTAGTTCTTCCTCAAGTCCCACTCCCTGTGCAGCGACACTTTAAGAGGCATTGTAGCTGTGCTAGCTAGAAATGTATGGAAAGCTTAATGTCCTTTATGAGCCCCAAAGCATAAGCCCACTTGCAAAGGCCAGCAGGATGGGAGGGCCAGTGTGGGGTAATGGTTAAGAGTGCTGGAATAGGACCTGGGAGAACAGGGTTCAAATCCATACTCAGCCATGAACCTCAACTTGGTGATCTTAGGCCAGTCACTGGCTCTCAGCCTATCCTACCACACAGAGCATTGTGAGGATAAAAGGGGAAGGGGAAGAATGACATGCACCCACTAGAACTCACTGGAAGAAAGATGGGGTGTAAATGTAGGAATACATAAATAAATAAAAAACGAACCATCTCCTGACTTATTTTTTGCTGCTATAGGGAATAGATCATCTATCACCCTCATCCATCTTTTTTTCTTGGAGCTTTCCCCCCTTTATTTCCCTCTTGTCTCCTTAAACTACAAGCCTGCAGGCAAGCCCAGTCTTATGTTTTTAATATTGTTTATACAACACCTTGATGATTGAGACACTTTATTAGTCGTAAACTATTTTTATTAGGTCTGACCTAGCAGTGTCACGGATGCAATTCATGTAAGCATGAAAAGCCAGCACGCTTAAGCAAATTTTTGCCAGGAGGTTGTGACACTGCCACAAATAGAGCCAAGTCATACTTACTGTATTTTTCTGTGTATAAGACTATATTTTTTCCTAAATTTTTGAAGTTTAAAATAAGGGGTCGTCTTATACACGGATAGTGCATGGTGCACTTTCTTAATTTTGGGTAAAAAAAATTAGGGGTTGTCTTATACATGGGGGCGTCTTATACACAGAAAAATACGGTACTTTCCCCATGTGGTTGCATCCTCAGGGATCACAATTTGAATGCTTGTAAATCAGCGCAAAGAATGAGAATACATATGAAACATTTTCTCATATGGTGTTATCTCCATTTTTACAAGACGTGTATGCATCATTTTCACTTGAGGAGTCTAATTAAATTATACTAACCCTACAGACAAGTCACACTTTTAGACATCTTTATAACATAGAGCTGGTCTGTCAATGGGCCTGATACCTGAAGCCAGCTCCCTGTAGAGCACGTCCTTGGGGATCCTGCCATCTTCTATTCTGTGGACATGACCAAGACAGTGTAGGTGTCGCTTAGACAGGAGTGTGGCCCTGTTAGGAATGTGGGCTTGGAAGAGCACATTGGTGAAGGCAAGAAGGGCTAACATGGCTTAAAACCAAGCGTTTTGGCCTGGACTGATAAGTGAACAGATTCTAAGCAACCACATATTTTGTGCTCTAACCAAGCACTGCTATGATTCTTATAGCACTATCCTATGCATGGCTATTCAGAAGTAAGTTCCTCTAAGTTCAACAGGACTTATTCTTAGGTAGATGTACATAGGAAATAACTCATAATGCAGCTACTTCTTGTAATGTAGAATACTTTCATAACCAAGCTTCATCAAGAACAGATTTCCCTATTCCCCCTCAAGTTCCAACTGGGAAGCAAGGTAAAGTGGACATTTACTGAACACTGTGCAATCCTTGGTTACAAGAGGCAACTGGCTTACCAGTGCCTGCTTTGCTGTTCTGATTTCCCACCCTTGGAGGAAACTATCTAAAGAACCCTCCTGTTAAGGTAGCTAATGAATGGGTGGACAGCAGCCCTTTGGAGAAGAGCTTGTTTAACTGGGTTTTTATATTACTATACACAGGCGGGTCACTGAGAAGCCAGTCTGAGTATCTTTATGTTTTCATTTCTTTTGAGTTATTTATATCATTTTATATTTTTTCCTGCTGCACTGTTATTACAGCCATTCATCAACAGTCCATCCTTCACATCCTCTTCAAGGGACATGCCACAGAGTACATAAGAAGTATCTAGGGACGCATGCATGCAGCCCTTTTAAAAAGCAAAATTCCCCTCAATCAGCTGTTTGGCAAGAAAGGATGAGCAATAGGGGAAATAGAATACAGCCTCTAATCCCCCGTAAACAGTGCTGAAAATCTGACCTAAACTACAATATGATCTTCAGGTCACCAGATCCACCACATAATGGGCATAGTTGGTTTTTGGCCTGATATTTATCGACAAGAAAAAGAAAACAAAGGTGCTAAAAATAGCTTTCATGCATGAAAAACATTAAAATACAGACAACAGGAAAAATACCACCTTGCCTCCTTGGAATGTTAATTCAACAAACAGGCTAGGTCAAACCCACCTGAGGTGTTAACCAGATCTCTTGTTCAGCCTATACGCAAGCTTTCACAGAACTATCATATTGCAGATGAGTGCATGTCACAGAAGCTACAGCAATGATCACTTAAAAAATATTAATGTCTTGCTTACTTGGCAGAACTAGCAAGAGCCAACAAATGCGAAGATAAATGAATATTATAGTGGGTGAATTCCAACTAACCTTGTGGCTGGAACCCTGCCTCTTTGCACCCTCCCCACTGCTCTGCAGTGTTGGGCGAATCTCTAGAGCATATTGAGGGGGGGTGTAGGGAGGAGTTCTGTCGCACAACAGGAAATCCTGCAGGAAATGCATTATTTGGATACCGCCTATAGTATTTGCACATATGGTAGACAAAAAGTAAAAGTGATTTGCAGCTTAAAGTACAGACTATAAGACAGCAAGATGGCTAGTGGTTACATATTAACACAGGCTACCTAAACCTATACTGCCTGGACCATAAATTTAAGCATTTCCTGTAGCAGAAATAAGAGGCAGACAGAGCAACTGTTCTATGTGGAGTAAAGGCACGGACTATGAAACCTGACAAAATAGCAGTGGAGACATATACCCAAGGGCAGGGGTGGGGAGGGACTTGAATGCAAATGACATAGGGCTGGACTAATTTGGAGCTGGGTGGTGGTGCTGGGCGATAACAAGACTAGGGAAATAGGAAAGAGAGAGCAAGCAGAAGCAAGGCACTAATAATTGCCTACCTCAAGAAGGGGCAATAAAGGTAAAAGGTTTCCTTGATTCCACTGTAACCTGCTGGGGCACAGTAATGACTGAGACCAGAATTTCTAACAGTGGTTCAAAAAGGGTGTAGAATGGTCTGCTCAAATGCCAAGAGGCACCAGGTAAGATGAGTGAACAACAGACAACAATGGGTTGGCCAGTAAGTTGGCCTTTGAGGCAAGCCAGACTCCCATCCTAAGTTCCTTCCAAGTTGCTCGATAAAGTTTTAAAAATAGAAAAAGCTTGTTTTAGAGATAAAACTGGCCTGTGCTTCCAGCAACAGTCATGACTTAATGTTTCTTCTACATGAAACAGTTTGGGATAATAGTTTTCAGCTCCACATGAACAGTTAGCTGAATGTTCACCTATAAACAGACCTCGTTAAGTGTGTTTCCCTAAAATAAAACCAAGAGTCAAATAGGAAGCGGGGGGGGGGGGGGAATCCTCACTCCCAGTCTGCAAAGTGTTACAGATAAAAGCACTTTAAAGAGGCCGAAGGCTTAACAAGTAGCATAAGAAAGAAAAAAACTACAACTGTTGTTTTGTTTTCATGCAAAATAAAGTGAGCATGGATGTTTGTGCATTCCAAGCTACTCATGCTTTGACAATTTATTCTGGCTTTATATGCCAATTTGCAGTGCTGTCATGACAAATGTGTTGTTGCCATGGTAACTTCCACAGTCAGTGCTTAGGCTGTCACTGAAATACTATCCTCCACTTTAAATGAACAGCAATATTTCACGGCACATTTTTAAAAATACTGTTTTTACACAGAGAATGGAGCCATCCGCAGGGAACATTCCTTCCTATGTTTTCCCTGTGGTGTCTGTTTCTTCCCTCTAAATTGATTGGAATTCTATTCTCCCTTGAGGTTCAAGGGGATATATATTTGTTGTTGTTTTCAACAGACTTCTCTTCAGTGTTCTAGAGAGTACACAGACCACAGGTAACTGAAAGAAACCATAGAGAAATGTCCAAGTATTGGTTTTGGTCTATATTTCAAGCACATCACAGATGTGTCCCAATCACAAAATCAGATATACCGGTACATACACTGTAGGCCCAAATTTGTTGAACAAACACTAACTAATCCCAAAATCCTATGCTCCCAGAAGTTCATAGTACTGTTGCAATAGTATATGTGGGATGTTGGTGTTACTACCTGCCATTGCTAAACATAGGCTGTCATTCATACATGCCTTGCAGGCTGCTTCAGAAACCCTCAGAACGAGATGCAAGAAGCAAAGCCTCTGAAGTAGCTTTCAAGGCATGCAGTTACCTCAGTGAAGGCTGAAGCAAGTTTCAAACACTTCCACTTTTGCAATTTATCAGATTCAAGCCAGAATACAAGCTATGGATGCTAACGGATCCAAATATCTTTTTCAAGCTGAGGATCCTAGGCAGTTGCAATGAGAAACAAAGCCTCACCTTGAAACCCTGTACAGAAAGCTGTCCATCTGGGTTGATCCATGAAAGGTATTTCTCTGTTTCGGAATCTTCCAGGCAGCCCACAAAAATCAGCCACACTGCTGAGAGGGACAACCGTTCTTCACACAACCAACCTTTGCTCAAACTAAATTGTTTGAGATAAAATACACGGGAGCACTCAAACTGGAGTGCAAGAACAATAACTGACCAGATGTCATGCAGACACTCTGGCCTTCTCTAGTGACAGGTCCAGTGCAAATTGGGGAGAAAAGGAGATGTTATGGATACCCAAGAGGCATCAGAGTGACAAAGGGAAGATCACCCAAACCAAATTCTTATTCTTACCAGCAGGGGTGGTCATGCTTGGGTCTTGACTGTCTCACTGACCCAAAGGCTCACTAAGGGACTGATACTGCTGATAGGGCCTCCTTGGCACATCTTTCAGGTGTGTGAGAGATGAAGAGCAAGGGCCATATCACTGATGTGATGTCTGAAGTCAAAGACAGGCAGCAGGATACACCGTCTCCTGGCTCTCACCTTGGTACCAACCTGTTGCATTGAGTTAGAGGTTGTAACAACCCAAAGTTCAATCATTTCCTCTCTCTTGCTTCTTCGTTCCAAAGGCAACTGTGCTACAGCAACGAAACTCAAGGTAAGAATCATACACTAGTTAGCTGCCACACAGACGCTCTTTTGGATGAGCTGGAGACAATATGGAATGAAAGTGTGACGCTGAAAGGTATCCTCAGACTCCAGGAAGGATGTGACAATCTCCCCCAATACCACTCAGAATACAGTGGCTGTTCTACCAAGCCACCAGGAGAAAATAATTTGATTATTTACACAACAGCAAACACATTTTTGGAAACAAACATTATACTGCATGATTCTTCTATGAGAACAGAGCTTTCATTCACTAAATTTAAGGACAACCTTTCCACAGTCATTTGAAACTGAAAATCAGGTAACTTAAATGATCAGTATTAGATTTTTTTATATACATGTTCATTTTATCAGGGATACTCCTCAATTAGAAAATGCTATGCTGAGGGGCCAAAACACACACATGCACACACAAAAACACAGCCCTATTTAAGCTGAAGTGTGAAATATATATATTTTATTCTTTTAAAAAAATCACAAGATTGCTTGTTAATTCACAAACCATAATTACCAGAGACAAAACATATAATGAACAGGAATGTTCAATCTCACCTCTTCTAACACTATTCCTCAAAAGAGATTAACCAAAATGATTTCCGGGAGCTTGTGAAGAGTTGCTTTAAAAATAATAATTTAAAAGTCGAGGGCATCTTCATCAGCAACACTTGCAGAACTTACAATAAGTAAACAGGAGGCAGTGATAACCACCAACTTAGATGGCTCTAAAAAATTAGACAAATTCATGGAGAAGAGCATTCAAGGAGAAGAATGCTTCTGAATACCAGTTGCTGGAAACCAAAGTTTTTCCTAGGCATCTGGTTGGCCACTGTGAGAACAGGATGCTGGACTAGACGGGCCATTGGCCTGATCCAGCAGGCTATTCTTATGTTCTTAAATGAGTAGTACTTTAGTACTTGATTCGGTTCAAGTATTACTGTTTGAAAATAGAAAATTAGTAAAGACTAAATGTACAGTGGTGCCTCGCAAGACGAAATTAATCCGTTCCGCGAGTCTTTTCGTCTTGCGGTTTTTTCGTCTTGCGAAGCATGGCTATTAGCGGCTTAGCGGCTATTAACGGCTTAGCGGCTTTAAGAAAAAGGAAACAAACTCGCAAGAACTCGCAAGACGTTTCGTCTTGCGAAGCAAGACCATAGGGAAATTCGTCTTGCAGAACGACTCAAAAAACGCAAAACCCTTTCGTCTAGCGAGTTTTTCGTCTTGCGAGGCATTCGTCTTGCGGGGCACCACTGTAATGGCAAATTCAGTGGCCACAAAGGTAGATATATATATAAAATGCACCTTTACAAGTAATTATCCTGGACTTTCCTGTTGTGGTCCTGATGAATATTGCTCCTCTGAAGCTATTTCCACTTAAAAGTAAGTTCCCTTTGGCAGCAATGCAAGTCTTTCCCCAAATGCAAGTCTTATCCCAAAGAAGGTTAGCATAGGTGGTCACAGGATTCTTTCCTGAAGGACGAAAATGTAACAGCACAAATGCTAGCTAGATCTTAAAATAAAAATTCAAGCTAACATTTGCTGCACTTGCAGTATAGATTGCAGATGAAAACCAGTACTCAATTATGTACAGGATCAGCACTTCTGAATATAAAAAAACCTACAAAATCATCAGAGACCAAAGAGATTTATATGTAGTGCCATTACTGTACTCCTGAAATCTCTCCCAAATTTAGAGCTCTCAGCACTTGGCAAGAAAAAAAACCATTTTGTATTTTGGTTCTCTTGGGACAACACTGATAAAGGAAATTACAGATGCAAAACTGAAGCCTATCCAAACAATATCCTGTGCATCTCAAATGTTTTCATATTTTTAAACTGAGGATCTGCTGATGAAATCCAGAAAACAAGCAGATTACGTCAACAATATTTCTGCTACATTAACATCCAGATGTTACTTATGATGTGCATATGGGGGGCTGGGAGGAATAGAAAGGGAGAGGGAGAGGGAGATCCTGGACAAAACTCCTTGGAGAGGTAGTTGTGTCAATGCTTCAAAAGCACAGAACCCAGTCAGTAAGTAAACTCACATTTGAACATAAAACTTACAGGATGAATCTAAATATGCTATGAATAATACTGAAAAGATTGAAGGCAACGAAAGTTCTCCTACTTGGGCTTTGAAAAATATACAAAGTTCAGGCCTCTCGTGTACAAAAAGATTTAAGTGTTAGTACTTTAATATATTTATACACTGAGTGTCACTTTATTACCTAAAAAAGATACATCACTAGCACACAACTGTGCCCAAAGGCACTGCAGAACGACGGCCAGGAGCTTCTTTTTACACACCATAATGTTTAGTTCTTAAATTATACTGAAAACAATATGGATGGGTTTAACCAATCAGTAGATCTAAAGAGGGCATATCCTAGCCAGATAAAAGCTGTTATCTAGAAGACCTAAACTGTATCTTGAACTTATCTGAGGCACATCAAATTCTGTTCCAGAGCATTTGAGACGTAAATTCTGTGCAGAGAAGCAGCCGGCAGAAGCTTCCACACTGAGCTCAATATAAAGCAAGACTCAGCATTATCCAACAATGAAAAGCGTGCCACAAGCCCATCTCACTCAAGTGAATGGGTGCTGCCCACGTATAGTTCCTGCACATCTCGCTTCCCTTTCACTTCAATTGTGCTTGCACAGATATTCCAAGTCAATTGTACTCAGATTTTTTTTTTAAGGATTACAAATAGAAAACAAACATTTTCATAATACATTTGCATCCACACAGTATATATTCAAAACACAAGCAAATGATTATCAGAGTTAAAGAAAATAAACCTAAATACAATATAATTTAAGAACTGAGTTTTGTGGAGCGAGAAATCCCCTTTGGTTTTGTCTGCAGTGTCTTTGAATGTAATCCCAAAAGGAAGTACCTTGCAGGGTGTAAGGGTTTAAAGAAACTTTTTCAACTTCACTTTTAACTTTGGAAGCCCAGAGGCAAAGCAAGTGCACATTTTCCACACACCTTGGTACGATAATTTGCAGGAAACATTTTTTTCTGAGACACTGCTAAACTGATAAAGATCAGACAGTGCTCTGGCAACTGGGAAGAGCCCTTTATATATTTTAGAGACCTGAGAATTTTACCACCTCTCAAATCGATTAAGTCTTTGCCTTCTAAGTTCTTCAACTGATGGCTCTTCTGGTGGAAGCCAGAAGCCGTAGGGTCTCCTTTCATTGCCGTAATGTCTTGGGCCTGTTAAGAAAAGCAAATACCAATCACTGTCATCTTCCGAAATCTACAACAGGCATATTTCTGAGGATTTTTAACATATAGTTTTATAACGTTAGGTCAGAAAGTTGCTGCTGCTAATATACTAGGCTTTATAGTATGTGTAACAATTCTGAGTCAAAAGAAACACTTGTCAATGGAACAATTTACACTTTCTCATCAATATGACACCCGTCCCCTTGAAATTTCTTACATTGGCTTCTCTGTGATGAATTGCATCAACTGCTGTAATAAAAAGGGGTGACCACCACACCATACACACCTCATATCCCACACTAGTTTTCAGTCAGTGCTCTCTTTTTGTCTCCAGTAGAAGACACTCCAGTAGTAGCCATCAAATTTTCCAACCCCAAGAAGAGAAAAGAAGTTCAGTTTAAGCTCTCACTCTCAAAGTAATTTCTTCTATCGCTGAAAGGAATTTCCAGTGGAACAAATAGTTTGTGGCCATGCAGTGTTGCCTGAATATTTTAAAAAAAACTGTCTGTGTTCAATTATCATTTTGGAAAAAAAGAACAAGCAGCAATTGCTAGCAGTTTATGGACGAGCTAAGCTGCAATTCAATTTCATGAGAACAACAGGATACTGGGACTTCCTAAAGCAGGGAAGAGGTGAGCTCCTCTTCCCAACTACACATCTATGATTTTGTCAACTAGGGTGACCATCCAAGTAAGTGAAGAAGGATGGCTCAGAGAGTCATGGTCTTTTGATTTTGAAAAACAATTGGGCAGTGAGGTCATTTTAGGTCCAGAGTGATGGTGGACCTAAGATTTGTACCTTTGCATTAGCTATTACAAGTTGTGCTGACTACCAACAGTTTATAGGCAGCTTTAAAAAGGACTAGACAAATTTGTAAAAGGTGTAGCTAATAGTAATGGATGGACCTGACAGCTAACTGAAACATCTATGTTCACAAGTAATGTCTCTCTGAATAGCAGATTCTGAGGACGAAGAGCAGGGAGGGCCATTGTTGCTATGCTTGAGCCTCTGGCAGGCTACTATTAGAAATGGGATGGACCTTTTGCCTGATCCAGCAGAAGAGTTATTAGGCATACAGGAGACAGAACTGTGCATGAAGCTGTGGCTCTCTGAGGTTTCTGCCAACCCTGCATGGTCAGCTGAAGAGCCAGGCTGTTTGGTTTAAATGTCTCTGCCTTGGGTGTTTAGTTGTATTATTTTAAAACCAATTTTTGTTGTTTATATTGTATGGTTATAAATCTTCTTGAGAATTATGTGAAAGGAGATGAGCAAAGCAAAACAACAAATCAAGCATTCACACTATGTTTTTCCCTATGTTTTTAGCTGCTCTTATTTTTATCTGTAAACCGTCTTGAGGCCCCGTCTGGGAAGAAGGTGGGTATAAATTTTTTTAAAAAATTAAAAATTATAATAACGTCAATATTATCTTGTTCATTTAGAGGAAATAAGCAAGAACCATACAATTTACTACAATTAGAATATTTATTTACACAAAATGGAAGAGTGTTTTAAAAAAATGACATTGCAGCCTACAGTGCCAATATGCAGTTCAATATGCAAAACGTAGGGCCCTTCCAAGCCCACTTTGCTTGGACCATAACCTTAGTTACTAGCATGAGGATAGCAAGGGACAGCTAAAGGTGGAAAATTTCCTTATATGGATGTTTGAAGCAAGAAACCCAGGAGAACGAAGGAAAGACTGAAATAATCAGAAATGAGAAATGTTCATAAGCAAATAATTGTAGTTCAGATCTCACAATTGCTTTAGGTGAGCAAGACTTGTGTAGTACAATGGGCAGAAAGGAGGATAGATTAAACACAATAATTAATCACCTTGAAGAAAAAGGAACACTATGCCTGCTATAGAGGAATGGCTGATAAAACTCATGGACTTGGCTGAGATGGCAAAGTTAACATGTTTAATTAAAGAAAAATTATTGACATTTATTCAGGACTGGAAACTTCTTACGGACCACTGTAAACGTGACAGCAAATGTGTCAGATATGCTCTGATTTTTCAGAGTAAAAGGTATCTGTGCCTAAATACAAAAACAAGGAATCGAATTTAGCATACACTTAGTATGTATGGGAGGTTTCTACTGCATCTAAACATCAAGAATTAAAATAGTGACTGCTCTAGTGAACAATATTAATTTAGATGCTGATCATGCTTCAGGAGTTCCAGGAGATGGCACCAGAGGCTCACAGGCAACACATTAGAGGAAAGTAGGACAAACTCCAGTCAACAAAGCATTCCGCATAGTAAGCAGAATTAGGCTTATTTTGAAACAGATGGGCTCTACAGAAGCTGCAGCACTGAATATTATAGAGTTGTTTATTGTCTGGCTGGTTTGAAACCCAGGGATTATTTGCTAGCAACTAGCACTTTCTGTGTCACATCGGGTTTCATCTAAAACAGAATAAAGTGAAAGCCCACTGGGATATATAGATATACATTTTTTCTACTAATCCACTGTTGAATTCAGAACTGAAACTTGCTATTATGTGGTCTATTCAGCACAGGAGTGCTTTTTTTTCTGGAAAGATTAGCAGCATACCCGACATCCTAACCCTGATGTAGAACAGCTAGCTAACAGATTTTGTCAGAGCTGGGAATTGCACAGAAGTACTACGAAAAAATATTTACCACTGTTGGCACTTGTTTTTGAAACATCATTTTGAACACCCTATACTCAATAGCATAAAGAGATCACCTTGGAACTCTCGAGTGCATTGTGAGATGGTCATACTCTAAAAAAGGCTTGTTAAATTTGCAAAGCAAATAACACCCTTCCCAATCATGAGTTGAGATAGAGCATGAAGAACACTTCAGTCTAGAAGTTTTAAAAGATGCAGTTATTGTATGCCACTGACTTGCACAAAACCCCTGTGTGCTACTTGTAGAAGAGTTAATAAACTTTTGTTCAGACTACAATGTTATCTAAGAAATAGTAACATGAGGTGTGAGTCATCAAAATTCCACAATAAAACTATTAGCATTACGAGAACAGAGGGTAGTTGGAATGCAACAGTGAGAATAAAACGGGGGACTTGAATACTTGAGAAATACAAAATGAGGAAGAAAATGTATTTTTCTGAAACAAAGCACTCAATCCAACGTGCTCTATAAATGCTCTTGCAGAGATTGGTCCAGTAAAAGAGGCTGTCAAAGGTTATAAAAACACAGAACACGTGATAGACCAAAACCCAATTAACGATGAGTGCCTCAACTACAAATTTTGCCAACTATCTTTACTTGGTCTTGACTAGATGCAACTTCAGCTGACTCATTCTTAGTCACAGCTAGACACTCCATAAATGTGATGGATTCAGTTCAATTTATCATGGGCTGGATGAAGGAATCCTCATAGAGCAGGATAGTTAACTGGTGGTCATCCAGATGTTGCTGAATTGTGACTCACATTATCCCTGACCATTGGGAAGGCTAGCCAGGCTGATTAGTGCTATAATTCAGCAACATCAGGAGGGCCACAGATCCCCTACCTGTCCTAGGGCATAGCAAAGCCCAGTTCTACCACCATCCACAATTTGACAATGAGGCTCTGCCATTATAGGGAAAGGGAGGCCTGTATGTACCTCTACATCCAATTTGGTCAAGCTAATTCAAGGATCTAATGAGCGTGGGGCCATAAGATGCAAAAGAACAATGTTCTCAGGTTATAGAAGGCAATAGCACCCTGACAAAGGGATTCCTTGGATGGTCCTAAGAACAGGACCAATGGGTTCCAGAGTAGTACAAAAAATTATTCAGCATGATCATCATGAACTGATCTCATCAGGATGGATATATGTTCTGTCATGCTGGCAAAGAATCTCAAATCAGCTGATTACACTAATGCTGCCCTGTACAACAACTCTAGGCTTTCTTACTATAACTTTGGAGACCTATATGGTCAATTTCATCCTTCCTACAGGGAGCAGCAATAGGAATAGCACAAGTCATTGACCCAGGAAGTATCACTTTCTAGCATTTCTTGGGGACATAAGGAACTACCTAGAGTAGGTGTGAGTAGGAAACATGTGGCCCTCCAGATGGATGACAATGTCCATGATCCTGGACCACTGGTCATGCCGACTGGGCTGATGGGAGCTGGGACACCAACAATATCCATGAGGAACCTGCATAAGAAACTGAAGGTAACAAACCCAAGAAAATCCTGATAGGTAACACAAGATGTTTACGGCCTTTCTTGTAATGTTAAAATCTCTGCTTGAACATATAATCCAAACGTTTATTTTTATGTATCATTTATGTATCCCCAAATAAGATTATGACGTATCATTTGGCTTCAGAGAAACATTTAGGGTTGCCATATCTTGAAGAGCAATTATGGATCGCTATGACAACTCTTATTTTACATACCCATGAAAAAGAGGCCATGTCCTGGAAAAAGAGGACATATAGCAACCCTACAATACCAAGAATGTTGGTTTATAACTTCAGGCAAGGAACAAGCACTAGAAGCAAACAAAGGCTTCTTTTCACAAAAATCTTGTTTGATAACAAACAAAAAACCCAACATATAAAAATGTGGGGGAAATGTGACCTGTAAATAGACTGCTTTCTGTCTAGGATGTTTTCTTCCTGGTTGCCAACAACTTATTTCTTAAAATAAAATAAAAAAGTATTTATTGTGGAAATATCAAACCAAACACATTTCACAAAGTCCAAAAGAAAATAACCTTGAAGGTCATTTTGAGGATTAATTACCACGTGCATACAAAACTATGAAGAGTTTTACAACTTGCTCAGAATCTCTCACTGCAATGGGTAAAGATATTAGGACAAGATTTCTTTCTAAACACATGTCTGTAACATGTAGATTTCACAATGAATTTCATAATCAAATAATTTCATAACTGGTTGGAAATTCCCCCCCAATTTATCAAGGGGACAAATGAACAGTTTTAGTAACATTTGAACAACTGGCACCAAACGACAACCTCGGTTTTGGCTTTAATTCATCTCAGATGAGAGACTGTTTATTCCCTAACAACACTGTTTGGTCTTGCTAATTATGTTGTAATGCCAGGGCATTCTTTCTTGTGTGTCCAAAGTTCACAAAGAGCTTCTGGGTACTGTATAAAGAATACATAATGCATTACCCAGCAGTTTTTTCCCCCTATTGGCAGTACAGCTGGGCTTGTCTTTCCAAACAAAAAACAGCAACGTATACGACAGCACTCTATAAAAGACACACTGATATTACATTCAAGTTGCGGGTGGGAGGGAAATGCTTCTCCACAAAAAACAACAACGGGCATTTAAAATGCGTACAAAGCAGAAATGGGCTGAGTAAATAAATGGGAAGATCTTGGCAATGATTATTGCTCCCTTGCACCTTTTTGCTTAGTCTTCAGCATCACTGCCATTTTTGTTCCAAAGGATGACAAATAAAAGAATTGGTATAAGTGATACGGTCCCCTGTAGCTGTCCTATTTCATTAGGAAAGAAAGAAAGAAAGAAAGAAAGAAAGAAAGAAAGAAAGAAAGAAATGCTTTTAAGTCCTATTCAAACCCCTTCATCAGGAACAGGGAACAAGAGCAAAACATGTCAGAGATGTCACCTGGCTACTTAGCCACCTTCCACATGAACATACAATTCAGAGATGCTTCTTCTACAAACTTCAAGAGAGGTTTCCAATGGCATGGTGTGCTACTGTACATGAACAGCCTGCTGCAATAAGGCAACAACCACAGAGAACTATTTTTTCATAGTATCCACTGGTTGCCAGGGCCTATTTGGACACTCTCCAAAGGTCAGCTTTCCCTCTGAAAGCATGGGGTGGGGAGCATAAAGGTGGCAAAGTGCACTCTGTGTGGGTGGAAGGAACACTAAAAAGACCTTCAGAGATTAAGTGGATCCAAAGTCCTCAGAAAACACTGCACTTTCTAAGTGAGGCACCTCCAGGTCTCCAGTGCAATTAGAGTGGCTCAATAAGAGATCTAAGTTGTGATCATCAAACACAACTATATATGTATATGCACATGGGTGACTTTCACAGATGGACTCCCTGAAGTCACACTACAGAACTACTCATGTCATTTCAACCCCCCACTAACCGACCATGCAGTTATTTCTGTGGAGCAAACAATAATTTTCTCTTTCCAACTACTATGACACTATCTCTGATCCAGCATCAATAGCTTGACTGTGCAAACGTTGACTGTATTCACAGGTAAGATTAGTCCAAGGTGTGTAGTTGGTTTATATCCTAATGTGCACAATTTCACACCAAGTCAAGGCTCATGGTTTGTTGCTCCTAGTTAGACAAATTAAGCAGTAAAACTGGAGCACTCAAGCTGTGTACACCAACACATAGCTCATGCAAATTATGGTAAACAACCACACATACCAATGCAGCCAGCAGGAATGTGAGGGAAATTCCTTTAACTTTGTTTCTCTCATTATAGTTATAACTTCTTCCCCATATAACTTCTTCCCTAAATACCATACAAATCAATGCTCTGGATGACAAGGTCTGCACACCAGCAACTTGTTGGTTGGCTTTGTTTTGTAGAAGCACAACTTCATCTAGGCGCTGGATGTTTGCTTGTGAATAAGTGTAAGTCACCACAGACATAATCCAATAGGTGCTTTCAACAGCCATACAAGAATATACTCACCACTACAGTGGAACCTTGGGTTGCAAACGTGATCCGTGCAGGATGCACGTTCGCAACCCTCAGTGTTTGCAAACTGCAGCGCTGCATCTGCACACACACACACAGGTTGCGATTCGGAGCTTCTGCACATGTGCAGAAACCCGGAACTAACCTGTTCCTGTACTTCCGGGTTCGGCGCGGTGCGCAACCTGAAAACGCGTAACCTGAAGCGTCTGTAACCCGAGGTACCACTGTATTTCAGCAGTAGTAGTCATACTACTGGTGGCTAATTTTGATTTCCCCAGATCAGAACCCTATGAAAAGCTGAAAAAGTGGCTTGACTTGAGACTAAATTACTTAATTTCAGCAGGAAAGCAAAAACAAATCAAGCATATTACAACATCTAGGAGTGCTAAAACTACCTCTCCTCCAATGGCACTAAGTATCTTCCTGCCCCGATCTTCAAAAACAAACTTGCATTATCCCAAAGACATTACTTTCCTTCTGAAGAAGCAGGCTTCTAAGCAGAGAAAAACTCTTCTGTGCATGATTTTATTTACATCACTGAATGATCCAACAGAGCAGGGCTACTTCTAGGTAAGTCTCTCTTGGCTAGTGTTTCTATACTGGATAAAGAATCCCAACCAAGATAGACCTCTTTCCATTAACATTCTGCTTACTTAGACATTTTATATTACATGGTCAAAACAGTTAAGTAATGTTTTGCTGTACTTCATTGATTTTACAAGATGAGCCAAACCCATAATTAACAGGTTTATTTGTTTTAGATTTTAAGCATATCTTAATAACAGTGTGTCAGTGAGCTAACTATGGTTGTGGGCAAGATATCTTAACAAAAACAAAGTCCAGCAGTGTCAAAACAAGATCAAGTATTATATGACCATGTTGTTGGTACCTTCCTTGTTTCTATGCCATACCTTGTATAGAGACATGTATTTTTTTTAAGTTCCTGTGTGGCACAAACATCCATTTCAAAGCCCTGCTAGAGGAAACCAAAGGAATATGAATATGAATTTTTTTTTAATCTGTGCACAATATATTTTAAGATTTGTGTGCCCACATTTCTGTGGTGTTCATCTGTTTCCAATTATTTGTTTGTACCGACTGTATCAGAGACACACCATCACTGACATCTTTTATCTCGTTAGCAACTTCAATGTGTATTATTAGTAACGGAATTTACTGACTTTTTTGTAGTAATTTTCATGTGGGAAGTAAACTAACACAGCTGTGGCTTTGTAAACAGAAGCCAATCATAAACCACTGTATTTCCTGGGAACACAAACTAATGAGCATCCAGAGCTATTTAAAACCATTATTGAACACTATATAAGAGGCAGAGCACTTGGCACTTCCTGCATCCTGGGCCAAGAATTGGAGGATGTATGAAAGTTTTAAATACTTGCATTCTAATAGGGAGAAAGCTGAGATATTACAATCAGCGATTGAAATTACAAAGTTTTGAGTTACACAAAGCAGAACTGGAAGATCTATCTATAAGTGTGAATGTGAAGACAAATAGCCATTTAAGATGGACAGTCATCAAATAGCCAGAGACAGGATCTTTTGTCCAGTGGTACCCAGACTGTGGAACTTCTACCACAGGCATATTTGCCTAGCACCAACATTATAATATTTTCTATGCCAAACAAAGGCTGTCTTATTGTCCTGATTCTCTGATGGCAAATAATACAGATATGATTATTATTTCAGCTGCTCTTCTGTATATTTGAAGCTGGTTTAAAAAAATGATTTGTAGGGTGCCTTGAAGACCAAACTTGAAAGAAAGGTGGGTTAATTTAAAAAGAGAAAAAAGAGAGAGAAAGGGTCACTTTAAACTGCTTTGTGGAAAATCCATTCAACATGGAATGAGTGGTAGGAGGAAGGCTAATCCTCAAAAGCTACAATTGCTATTCCGGTAATTGTTCTTGCTTTTACCAAGGTTATAACTTTTAAATTCCAGACATGTCTTTAGAAGATGATGCAAGTTATAGTTTCAGACAGTCCGAAGTTAGCCACACTCCAGTGATATGATACAATCACCGGGGTAGGAAAAAACAAGATTCCATCCCCCTGCCTGAAGGGACAATTTACCCCACAGCTGAACTCACATTATTCCAATCACTATGAGCTGCACATAAACAGCAAGAGTAACAGAACACCACACCATGGTGTCATAGAGCTGTCTGCTCTATAGACATGATTATGCAAATATGCTCTCCCACACACTATGGAGAAGCAGAAACCCTTCAGCCTCACCAGCCAATACCACCCCTAGCATATGACAAACAGATGTTAAGTGTGAAGCAAAACACACCCAGAGTCTAACCCGATTTAATTTTTTAAAAGCTTTAATTAGAATAATTATTAAAATAGAAAACGGTCAGACTTTAAACAGACTCAACACACAACATACAATAATAGAAAAAGTCAGTGGCTAACTAAACAAATATGATATAAATATTAAATACAGGCTGTGCAAAAACATCCAGCCTTATTCAGTAAAAAAGTCTCAATCATCCCCAAACCCTAAAGCAAGAGAGACTGGTTTTTAAAAACTCCACACACAAAACCTCAAACTCAGAAATTATTTTAGTAATTCGTCATTAGTTTCTGACCAATTTATTCTGCTGTTTACTCTTCAAATAAAATCATTTACAAAACAGCAGCGGCATTTCCAGGCTCCCTGCCTTCTAGGTCCTAATAGTAAATTTAAAATGAAGGCCCCATATGCTTTCAGACATGTTGTTCCATTGCGTCTTTAAGATAGGAGTGCCAAAACCACCTGTTTTAAGACTAGTCTGCAAGCCAACACTGCACCTGCTACTGAAAAAATATTTCAAGAATTGTGGTTGAAAATAGGAAAGAGCACTCACAAAAAGATCTGTGTTATATATGAGACTCTTAGCCTCGGGGTAGTGGGTTTGAGGCCCACATTGCGGGGGTTGGGGGTTGGACTAGATGTCCCTTATGGTCCCTACTAACTCTGCAATTCTATGAAAGTTCCTTATTAACCAGGGATGGCACCAAGTAGAAGCCTGGAGTACCAGGCAAGGTGTTACGATGTGGGATTAAGTGCCTGTTATTCTACCACTGGGTTGAATGGAAATGTCAGCAGGAAATGGCCGCTTGCCTGTCTTTGTGGCGAGTGCCAATTGTGACCTAACGCAGCACCTCCAGAACGCCCCACTGCACCTCGCCATCTTTGTTTCAGGCACTGCAACTTCCCCCGGCCATTGCAGTGCTTCACGGGTCCCTGCCAGACCCACTATTTGAACTAACCAATTCGCTGTGGCTTGGGGAGCAGACCTGGAGACTACAGCCTTCACTCAGGTCTGCTCCCCAACCATAAATACTGACCAGCACTGCACTCAACATCTCAGTTGGCCCTGAATAGAGATTTCATGCACGTTGTGATATTGTTGATGTTTTTCATTGTAATGAGAGAAGAGTACGTTTTTGAATCTTGGAAGGAGACAGACCAGGACCATCCTGATCAAAACCATGAACATAGTTAAACTTCGAGAACAACAGGAAAAAAAGAAAATACAAATTTATGAGGCTCTGCTTCATTTTATTTTTAAGACAGCAGACCTACATAAACATGAACAATGATTCCTTAACACGTAATACACCCTGCATAGGTTCTCAGTAGAAAGTGAGATTTCTTACCTCTATCATTCAGACTATTTCTGAGGGCCCTTTCAACCTGTTCTTCTTCATTCAGTCCACCAGTATACATGCTGTAATCTCTCGATGAGTGTGATGGGTAACCCGGGTATCTAAAATTCTCTACACAGATCACACACAGAGAAAGAAAGTGTGATACCAGGAGTGACTACTACTGTATATCAAATTACAGTATTGAATTTGTTCTATGTTTTCCCTCAACCCTCCGGAGCAGATTTGTAGAGGGTATGGGGGTGTGGGGAGAAAGAGAGGAAGGGCAAGTTCCATTCCTCAAGTGGAAGTATTTGTGTTAGTGGTAGAACCTCACTGGATACTGACCATTCTATCTGTAACTTGCTTTTTAAGAACTAAGAGGTAGGTAATAGTGCAAGGAAAAATGCTGTGCTTACTGTAGTAATCACAAAAAAGAAAAAGATTCTATTAAAGCCTGTTGCAATTCAGCTAGGCCCTAAAAGGATGCAAACCCAACTTTTTTGCACATGTCCCTATTTGCACTGATAATCAGACATGTAAGTGGATTCTGTATGTTTGATTCCTAAGCCCAATCCAGCAACTGAGTCTCCACTCTGTGTGGTCTAGTAAAAATGTCTAGTACTCCAGTGATAGCTTGCAAGGGTGAGCCAAGAGCTGAATTTACCCATTGGATGATCTCACTTCCCCATAAAATAGTTGATCAACACAATTCCAATTTCTTTTATTAGGCTGCTGTGTGTGCTCAGCATGATCAGGGTGTACATGAATAATGGTACTTTGTTTGCTCTTTTTATTCATGAACAAGGATAATCATCTTCTGATAAACAGAGCAGCAATTAAAAGACCAGCATAAACCAAAATGCTCTCCTTTCCACCTATCACTGAGAGAAAGCTCACCAGCCCTAACACATCTGGTAATACAGGACACCCCGGCTAGGTAGACCTCTCAAATACCGTATTTTTCTGTGTATAAGATTTTTTTTATTATTTTAAAATGTTTAAAATTGGGGGTCGTCTTATACATGGATAGTGCAGAGGGGGGATGGGCGATTGGCAGCAACCGCGAGCAGGAGACTGTCAGCGGCGATTGGGTAGGTGATTGGTGGCTGCAGCAAGGCCTGCTGGCGATTGGCTGCTGCGGCAATTGGGCAGGTGTTCGGCGGCGAGCAGGCAGACGATTCATGGCTTCAGCGAGGTGTGCGATTGCCAGCGGCGGTCAGGCGGGTGAGCGATTGTCGGCAATCTCCCATTTCCTTAATTTGGGGTCCCCAAAAGTAGGGCTCATCTTATACACGGGGGCGTGTTATACATGGAAAAATACGGTACTTGTCTCTTTTCTTAAATCAAATGCAAGAAGTTATTATATCAGATCAGGTGACTAACATTTTCCAGTATGAGGTTGTGTTGTCCTAGTGCAACCCCTCCAGGGACTGCATGCCAGAGGTGGAAGAGTGGGCATATCCCCCTCCCCCCATCAGATAGTCCTGGGCGATGTATCAATATATCGCCCAGGACTTGTATGAGGGGCAGACTGCGATGACAACCTCCCTCAGTGGTATATAGCTAGTGAAACAGCCACCGTTCCCGAGTCCCTCTTCCTCCAGCACCCAGCATACTGAGGGAAAAACAAGCTGCTGGTGCTAGAAGCAGAGGGACTCAAGCAGCGGTGGTTTCACTAGCGATATACCACTGAATTAAACTGCCAGTGATCTGCCCCTCATACCCGCAGAGAGAGAAACAATCTGCATGGGCAAAGTGCCAATACAGCTTGTTCCTCCCTCTACTTCTTTAAACTGATTGGCTGAGGAGTGCACCTCTGCCCTCGCCTCAGCCAGGCAGTTTTATGGAGCCTCTAACCCACTACCGCTTGCAGAAGCCTCTGTTAAAATGCTCCTGCTTCCCAGCTGAGGGAGCCCGAACCCCACTCCTGCTTGCACTCAAGTAGGATCGGGATCGGGGCTGCTCAGCTGGCGAGGTGGCAGGCTCCAAGACACTTTTCCACTGAGGGTGCTCAGCTGCACTCCCCTCAAGGGAAAAGTTTAAAAGAGCCCCCACCTTGGAATCAGACCCCCTGCACCATGTGAAGGCAGTCAGGCGGAACATGGGCTGTGCTTAGGGAAGGTGGAGACAGCCTAGCAGCTGCATCTGAGAGTCCCTGCACTGCCTTTGATGCAGCCGCCTGTCTCCGCCTGGCCAGGCAGTGCTCCTTTAAACTTCTCTGTTGAGGGGAACACAGCCGCACACCCCTCAATGGAAAAGCATGACGGAGTCTGCAGCCCCAATCCTGCTCCTGCAAGCAGGAGTGGGGTCAATGGATCTCTCAGCTGGGAAGCAGGGGCTTCATGTTCCCCAGCTGAGCAGCCCCAATCTCGCTTCTGCTCACCGGGACATCAGGGCTCGCTCAGTTGGGGGCAGGAGGCTTTCTTGCCTACAGCTGAGCAGCAGGCTGGCGCCAGCTGCATTGTCCCCAGCCCGCCAGACGCTGAGCTGAAAGCTCCTCAGGTCCTGCCATGAGAGCTAAGGCAGTTTCTCCCAGTGCCTCGCCAGCTGGGGCTAATGCAGCTTGTTTCAACATTGCGGTGTATCGCCAAACTGCGATGTTTTGCTGACGATACATCGCGATGTTGAAAACCTAAGCCCAGCCCTAATCAGAGCATGTATGGGAACACACTCTCACAACACAAATCAGCGCCTCAACTCCAAAACCACCATAGCTACACACTTTTTAAATCTGGTTAATGGAAGGAGAATTGGTGAGCAATCCCTACCTTGTGGCTAAACCCAGTATAGATCAAACACCATACTTCCCTTGACTCAAAGAGGGCAATGGTATTCAAACATTTACATTCCTGACACTGAGAAAAAGGCAGAGGCACCACAAAGCAGATTGAAGCACTACAGAAACAGAAGAGTGCTCCAATCTGCTATGATATTTCCTGAGCACTTTCAGATAAGCAAGTACAACCTAAGTTACTTACCTGAATTGTATCTGTTTCTTTGTTCTGAAAAGTCAGTTTGAGAGCGAAAGCCACCTAGCAAGAATGTATTTAATATTCATAAGCATTTATCATATTGCCCTTTTACAACTTTGAATTTGACAGATTCATCTATCTAGAAGTATAACTGTTACAATTCCATCCTGTTAACATGTCTATTGAGTTTTGACAATTTTCTTCTAACAAGCTGAACAGCAATACCTAAGATGAGGTGGGAAAGGAGGATACTGAAACTGTAGGGAAAATGTCCCTCAACTGCTGTTTGCAAAGCTAGCATATCTATTTTATTTAGAACATTGTACTCTGTTTTAGTGGCAGCCACCACTAAAATACAACAAAATACATAGGACCCCTGTCTTGCAAACATGCCTTTAAATTGAAACATGTAAAAGTATGCAGCTCATGAAAGATGGCACTTTTTAATTCAAGTTTGCTTACGAAAGCAGAGCTGATTCACATGCCATTTGTGTTCAGGGTATATTCCTCCCTGCCATACTGTTCACATACACATTATGTGCAGGAGGACATTCCTTGCAAAGAGGATCCCTTAAAGTGAATTCATGTTGGTTTCTAAAACACACAACAATCACTCCCCTCTTTATGATAGATACGGGCACCTTGTCAAGGCTCTGCTATTGTGTGTCCACATGAATAACCCACACAAGAACAGTTCAAATGCCCCACTTTAAATGAGAACTGATGTTCCTAATCTCCTAGACGATAAATTATAATGTGTTAAGGATTTGTCAAACCATTCAATGTGAACGTAACTGCAGATGCAAATCCACACTTAATGGACAGAAACACCACATAAGGATGGCTTGAAACTTATGAAGTAAAAGCTAAGTATTCATGTTCAATTCAATTCACTGAACTGTGAATTATTGGTAAGACTCAGGGTCATCATTCCATACCTGAGCATGCTTTCATGAGCATCTTCAGAGGTCCCATGGTGTACATTAGCCCAACAAGAATACCTGCCAGATGCCCTGCAAAAGACGTCCTAAAAAGAAAGCAATCCTTTGTGAGAGGTTGTATTGCTCATGATTAGATACATTCTGTACCCTCATTATCCCAAATCAGACCAATTAGTCAGTTTGCAGCCTATGCTCCACTTGGTGCATTTTAAATTGTGAAGACTTTAATATAACCAAAGGAACAACATGTATTTCACTGTCCAATTTTGGGGGGAAATAATGAGCGAAAAGAACACTGTCGTCTTTATGGATTATTTATGATCCAATAGGGCTCCTCTGATGTACTAACTTGTACAGCCATATTCAGAGACTTTATTAATTCTGCAAATTCCAATACAGAAAAAGTTAGGGTTTACCTATCAGTTAAGAACTATTGCTCACTTACTGACAGGTGCATCAAAATGGTTAAGGATTTTCACAACACAGAAAAAACTGAAACTTGGCACAAATCTGGTCTGAGACTTTTTTTGCACAGACAGATACTAACTAGCCAAAAAATTAAACAACATTAGCATGAAAAAACATCACTGAAAAAATACTGGGTGTTTGCAAGATGATTGTTCTTTTAAGTTAACTTCAAATAACAAGTTACTTTAGATGATAGATAGATAGATAATAGATAGAAAAATGACAGCATTCAAGGGGCAAGGATCATGTAGTTTCCAAGACATCTAATATTCAAACTAATTACTCAGGTTCCCTAGAAAATTAAGAGATACTAGGGTCCTTAGTGCCCTTAGGGCACTTTTTTCATTCCAGATGGCCATCAGGAAGGAAGGATAGCCTTATAGAAAAACTTCCCTATAGGTAAGCTTGCGGGAGGAGGGGAGAAGCAGTGGCAAGGAGTGATGGCACTGGGGCAAGCTTGGCTCATAAAAAGCTGGGGAGAGGAATTACTGAGTTCATCATTACAAGTCACTTGAAAATCCCCTTTTAGTATCCAACTGTAGCTAGAGTATTAGGCATACACCAAACTAGAACTTGCTAGAATTTTAACCATGTCTCCCTTCCACATCCATTCACAAATGGCCAAAATGCACCATAAGCATCCTTCCAAAACACTCCAATCGCCTTTTATTGGGCTGAAAGCAGAAACTGTAGCAGCTCTGGACCTATGTGGCTCTGCTTCTTCACATTTCTTTTATCTGCTTGTTGAGGGGTAGAAGATGGGTGTGAACGTTCTCAAGTCACATCTCTTTTGTTTTGTGAAAGTTTGATCTGGAAAAGTTCAAAGAGTTTTGTCTTGATGGAGACTTATAACTGAGACTATATTATTAGTTTACCTCCTTTCTACTGAGAGGCCAGATTAAATAAAGTGAGCTTAAAAACAGAGTGATAAAAGAATGGATGAACTGACTCCTAGTGAGAAAATCCACAAAACCTCAAGCCAAGAGGGGGAGAAAGCATAGCCTATCATGGAAATAAACCCATGGTAGATACAGCCAACTGCACAATTTATGTTCTTTATTGCTAAATTAAAACTATACAAAGTAGGCTGTGTAGTAAAGGATAATAGAGATGAGACAGTATTTGAATGCAAATGAGCCTGGATTAAACAAAAACCAACTGATTTAAAGCTGTTCTGTACAGAAAACTTCTATTGTTCCTTACTGTTAGCTAGCATTCCCATTTCTGGTTATTTTGCAATTAAGTTGAAGTGTTGAATAAGGATTTACCAGCCCCAATTTGACTAAAAGTGGTAGTTCTCCAGTTAGCATCATTCAGAACCTTTTCTTCACTTACGACAGAAAGCAGGGGAAGGAAGGAACCCTATGTGGCACCAAGAAAATACCCATTTCATGCACAGTATTGTATATCTCTAAAAATTAATTAAAACATTCCAGTCCTTCAACAAACAACAGAAGAAACTGTTTCCAAAACACCTCTTGCTAAAAAGCATACACTATAGAAAAATGATACCAACTGCATTCCTTACTTTATGCAAGTGGTAACTGCTGTTACCACTTGATATTCTGAATACTTGAGACTGTTATCAGCAGTTGTCATGGAATCAGCCATCACAGATTATTGCATCTTATCCTATCAGGCTATTACCTAACAATGACAGACATTGTTCTTTGTACAGGGCAGGTAACAACAATTTCCAAACAAATTAAGGTGACTCTAATCAGTAAAGCTTGCAGATAAAATTAAAATCCAAGCAAATACCCTAATCCTGGCAATGAAAGCCACCCCTACAAGATCTTATAGCACTTCTTGGAGATTCTCAGGTTCAAAAGCAAAGTCAACTCTTCCAGTGGGGTATGAATCTTCTGATTTCGAGGCAGCCAACAGGAACACCCTTACCAGTTACTGTATATTATACTGGCATAACAAAAAGCAGACAAAGATTAAGCAGGAAAAGAACATGTTAAAACGTTTGCCCAGTAAAACGTTTGCCCCTAAGAGCTGGATTTAGCAGCTCTCAGAATAAAAAATGCTATAAACAAAGAAAGAGATTGCCACTCTTATATTAAACATTTGACCAGTGATTTTGCCTACACTGGAATAGAAGAGGATGATGGTTGGCACATCCCATTCTGAGCACTTATTGATACAGCAAGCCTCAAGGGGATAATAAAAGTTTATGTGCACTTGCAATTCAACACATTAATAATGGTAGCCATCTTCTAAAGTGGAGAGGAAAATGAATTCTTACTTAAGTAAGTGAATTTGTGAGACGAAGAAAGGGAACTTGTAACTATACAGAAAAGCAACTGTATATGATGGGTATGATGCATCAGTTCACACATAGTGGCAAGGCAGAAGAATGAGTGGGAGGGTAGAGGGAGTTAGGAAAGAAACTGAGTAAAGAGCAGGTGTGATTTGAGAAGGCTGAATCAACGAGGCCAAAAATGAGTTGGGGGCGGGAGAGTTGACAAAAAAGAACCTGTGTGGGGAAAGGAAACAAACACACCCCTTGAACTGGAGAGGGATAGAAACCTTTCCTACTCTCTTCAGCAACCCATATATTTTCAGCTCAATTTTAAAGTTTAAGATGGATTTCTGCACCCTGGCTGCTTATTTTTCCAAAAAAGACCCAACAACCCAGTTTGGGTTTGTGATTATTTTAAAATTGCTATGTTCTAAGCAGTAAGAAAGGATAGAAAAGAAGTATGAAAAAGAAAGCCTGCTTAAATCAAAACAATCTGCTTGGATTCAAAACAACAACACTTCAATGTTTGGAAGGGGTAAGTCACATAAACCAGAATATGTGGCAAGAAGGAGGGTGAAACACTTTCAAAACTGATGTTAAGGGTAGGGTGCTCTGAATCAGGAAGCAAGCACTGCAAACTAGCAGAACTACAATGGACATAAACGAGACATGATTATCAGTGATGTGGTAAATGTAGTTCCTATGCTAATCTATGCCTAATCTATGTCTCAAAAACTCACTTACAAAATGTAAATGTCATTAAAAGCTCAAAGGTACAATAAAAATTAATTCCTATGCATATTTTATCATAAAAATATGCTGTTTTACTTTATTGTAAACAGCCCTATTTCTTTGAAATGAAATAAATACATTTTCCTCCCCAGAAAGCTTCTCTGTATATGCCATTTGAACATGTTCCCCAGTTTTCTTATAAAAACATACAATCCAGAAGGGATGCAGGCTTTACTCTATTCATAATGACATCCATATACATGTATAATTATTTAACGCAAGTTGTAGATAAGTCAAAGGATACTTACCCTGGGTTCAGTAAGTGAATTGCTACAAGTTCCAACCAACAAGCATATTTATTGGATATAATAAATCCCATGACGTTGCTTGATCCACCTGGGTGATAGTAGTTGTTAAGAACTTTCAAAGCAAATAATACTCCTGGATCAAAATGAAGCAGAAAAACATATTAAGAGAAATTCTCATGTAATATGAAAAACAAAGCACATAGAAGTTTTGCTTTTTCTTAAAATGCTTCCGTGCTCCATTAAGTGTCTTTGTTCACACTTCAAACAGATGAAAAAGACAAACACGACTCTCCAATTTTCTGTCAGTATTTACTGCAAAATAATTTACCAGTATTTTGGTATGGGTTGTAGCGACAGATAAATATGAAAATCTAGCTGCATGTGCATTTTAATGATTTCACTTTGAGTTGTCATTTAAAAAAATAATAATACGAAGAAGTATATGAACACAAAAATCTGGTTATGTCCTTCAAGATTATTTAAATTTAGGGCACAATCCTAAAACTGCATCTGTTGGGATGATTGGGGAAAATGCATCATAAGCATGCCCACAAAACAGAATGAAGCTAACAAAATTAGTTATGTAACTGAAAATAAGTATGTTCATAAGTACCTTGTGCTCATCATGCCCTTCAAGAACATGATTTTAACTCCAAAATATGATCCTTCTTTAGAAAAGCTAGCATTTCCAGTAAAAAATATTAATCTTGTGAAAAAGCAGTGGATATATTACCTGAAAAGCCAACAGCACAACTCTGTTTGTATGAAGGAACATCCAGAAGTTCTGCAACAGCAAGTTCCAGAAGCATGTACACAACTCCAATTAGCAGAGAAAATATTGTAATGATATATCCAAACCAAAAACTTCCAAGCCTCCTCTCCAACTTAATTCCTTTCCAAAGCAGGGAGACCATATTAAAATATAGATGCCAATCATCCACATGGTGAAATGGTGAAAGATACAAACGATGCCAATCTCTTCTGTAAAGACACTCGGTGACACTGATGCATGTTTTATCCAGTCGTTTCATGGGTTGTAAAAAGAGAAAAACGTTTGCTGCCAAAGCGGCAAGTGTCACAGGTGGAATGTTAGAAACTCCAACTTGGAAAATCTGAGAAAGTAGCAGAAATAGTCCAATATTTGAACCTTTCTGTCTTCGGTGCATAATCACTTCTTTTAATCAAAGATACTGCCACTTGAATATTGCTGAAATCCAAATATAGACATGGAAGAATGGTAATATGTTTGCTATAATTATAATCAATAACAAAACTTTAAACAGGAAGTGCATACTGGTTTTCTTGTATACAACTCACAGCAATGGAGACAGGTTTTTATAAAACCACTAAATGTCTGTGGGGCAGGGGAATAAATTGGTAGTGGCTAATGTCATCTAAGAAAAAAAGTTCAGCTTCTTAAGTATGGCCCATATAAGAGAAGTCAGGGGAATAAGCAGCACAAGAAGAGCACCTGCAGTTCTGTAGGAAAAGTGTATTTTACCCCAGTAAAATAGAGGTGGGAAAACCTTTCCAGCCCAAGGGCCACATGCCAAAAGCAAAAGTGGGAGAGCAATAAATGTTCATTTGTTCACACATCCCTCTCTATTCTCAATCCATGGAAGCAAGGAGCATTATCAGAATTCAATGAAACATTGCAGGCAAGCAAAAATATTAAGGAGGGTGCAAAATTGAGCTGTGAAGGAGGGGATGTGGCTGGGGTGGAGGCGCAGCCTGCTCAGAGACCCAAGAGGCAGATGGAGCCGTCTGTAGGGCAACATTTGGCCCTCAGGTCTGAGGTTCCCTATCAATGCAGTAAAGCAATGAACAGTTCCTCTTAATTGTCTGCAATATTTATAAATTTTATAGAGGTGTAAGTTCTTTCAGTCAATAAATTATTATATTTCCGTATGGCTAAAATGCTATTTCTAAACAAAGGATAGTACTTTGTTTTCCGATAACACACACACATTTAAGCAAGGATCTTATAAGAGGCATTCCCCCTGTGTGAGAGAGAGGGGAAGAGGACTCTTTGGAGATGGCATTTAAAGAGAAAGAGAAAGAGAAAGAGAAAGAGAAAGAGAGAGAAGAGATTGTTTGTATAAGTATGCTGCCTAATTGGAGAAACTTCCTCAATTAATAAACGTACCTTTAATAAATTAATATAACAGTCTTAGGAAGAGGTTATGATGACTTAACTGAAGTTTGTCAGCTCATAGGATATTTAAAACTCAAAAATACTAAAGCTGTAATGTTTAATGGATTAATCTGTTATATATGCTTTGGAATAAACATGCAAAGGATCGAGTGGCATGAATTAAGAAACTTGATTTGATTTTAACTTTACCACTGAAATCATTGACACTTGTTTATCAATAGTCCCATTTTGGCTAAATAGCTGTCATAACTTGGTATCCCAGTTCATTATCAGTATATGATACTAAAGGTTGCATGCAAAAGCACATATTAAGAGTCTTGGTGCCAAAATACACAGAAAGAAAGAAAGAAAGAAAGAAAGAAAGAAAGAAAGAAAGAAAGAAAGAAAGAAAAGCAGATTTCATGCAAAGTAGTGGGATGATAATAATAATAATAATTTATTTATACCCCACCCATCTGGCTGAGTTTCCCCAGCCACTCTGGGCGGCTCCCAATCGAGTGTTAGAAACAATACAGCATTAAATATTAAAAACTTCCCTAAACAGGGCTGCCTTCAGATGCCTTTTAAGGATAAGATAGCTGCTTATTTCCTTTTCTGCTTATTTCAGATGTGAAGGGAAGGCGTTCCACAGGGTGGGCGCCACTACCGAGAAGGCCCTCTGTCTGGTTCCCTGTAACCTCACTTCTCGCAATGAGGGAACCGCCTGAAGGCCCTCAGCGCTGGATCTCGTTCTTGCCCCCACTTAACATTTCCCTGTTCCAAACACTGGCATCGAGGATTGTAGCCTTTATCCCCCTGCCTACAGGGTTCAAAACACACGTATGTATGCATTCTGATTGTGAAGTAGTGGGGAGGGGGAGGGGGAGAAAAAGTGCAGCTGAGAAGGTTATTTGGGGTGCAGAAGCAGCAGGAAAAAGTTTACCCCAGGCTACTTGTCTACCCCAAATTTTCCCCTCCCAAAACTGCTTTTCTATACAAAGTCCCACATCAGGGCTCGGTTTCACACATTTACACATTAGTCCTTGTAATGAATTGAAGCTAGAAACCAAAACAGTTATTCTGGAACACCTCTCTGGTGTTTTTGGAATGCAATGTATTGTCAACATAACATTTCCAGCTACTTAAAACTTTCTTCTTTCAACCTTTGCTTTGCTTATTAAAAGGCTAATGAAGTTTTAGACAATGCAGGATTTATTCTGTTTCCTACAATGATTTCCAAAACATGCCAAAGCTTTCAAAATGTACATACTTACAGAATAATCTTCAAGTGGATGTTTGTCTTTAACTTAAAACTGCCACGTGCCTACATTTTTGTCACCTACACAAGATAAATGTCTGCAACTACATATTCTAGGAATTTTATTGTTCTGCATAAGCTAATGAAAGATGCATTTTTAAAACTGAACAACAGTACTCCCATTTTCTTTGGTTAAAAAGTTGTGTGTGTGTGTGTGTGTGTGTTAGGACGCTGAAGAATCATGCACAAAGAAAAATAGCAAAGTAATATAAGAAAGCAAAACAAGATTTTCATGGTGCACCATCTTGAGCTCCTAGAAGAAAAAGATGGGATATAAATGCAGTAAACAGGAATAAGAATTAATAAAAAATAAATGTAAACTAAATAATTAACAAAGAGGTGCTCCATGGAGGGATGCTGGAGAATTCTGGCAAAAACAGAAACTGGAGTGGAAACTGCTGATGCTTGCTTATGCATTCCATGTCTGGAATGGAAAGGAGTCAAGTGGTTGCAGTTGGTATTCACTGTTGTTGCTTTCAGGCCATAACATTGTGTTTTCCTTTGGTTGGGCATTGCTTGTGTTTTTTTGTTTTTTAAACATAAGTTGCTTTTAGCCTTTTAATAATAAATAATATTTAACAATAATAAAAGAAAGCAAATCAAGTGTAGAAAAACAACTCATCTGCACAACATAAAAATGAAACCAGATTACACGTGCAACTCCATCTCCATCGTCTGCATGTTTACCTGGAAGTTCCACTACATTCAACCCTATATCTGCACTAGACCAAGGCCATAAAACACAATCCTAAACACACTTACATGGAACTAAATGAATTTAGGACTGGTTTTCAGGAGCACAACACTAATCAAAGCTATACTAACAATTTAAGAGTGCTTCATGGCTTATACAATCCACAGCAGAAAAGAATGGGATTACATTTGTAAACTATTCATTGGGTGTGTTCAGATGTAATGCCACACTGAGCCTCAGGCTCAACCATTTCCCCTCTGGTTTGGCTGCAAGGAGTTCAGAAGCTTTCGTTTCTGGTTTGAATTAACCACAGTTTAGCATTACATTCAAACTGTGATTATTCTGAAGTATGTGTTGTTGAAAGAAAACACCTTCATAAATCATAGTTTGAAGCTTCCTTGTAGTTTCAAACAAACCATAGCTAAAACTAACTATAGTTTAGTGTTAGATGCAACCTTTAATTGTGGTTAATCAAAAACTCACTGTGACAACCAAACACAGATGTTGCTTTTAAGGCAATACATTAATATTCAGCCCTCATGTGGTGCAATGGGTCAGTGCATCTGACAGTTAACAAAAAGGTTGGTGGTTTGAGTCTACCCAAGGACAGCTGTGGGAAGGATTCCTGCACTGCAAAGGGTTGGACTGGATGATCCTTGGGGTTCCTTCCAACTCTACAATTCTATGATTCTAACAGTGCAATTATATACATATCTACTTATAAGTAAAGGGACGCGGGTGGCGCTGTGGATTAAACCACAGAGCCTAGGACTTGCCGATCAGAAGGTCAGTGGTTCGAATCCCCGCAACGGGGTGAGGTCCCTGCTCCTGCCAACCTAGCAGTTCGAAACCACAAAGTGCAAGTAGATAAATAGGTACCACTCCGATGGGAAGGTAAACGGCGTTTCCGTGCGCTGCTCTGGTTCGCCAGAAGCGGCTTAGTCATGCTGGCCACATGACCCGGAAGCTGTACGCCAGCTCCCTTGGCCAATAAAGCGAGATGAGCGCCGCAACCCCAGAGTCAGTCAAGACTGGACCTAATGGTCAGGGGTCCCTTTACCTTTACCTTACTTATAAGTAAGTCTCATTGAGTTCAACTAGGTATATCTTCAGGTTAGTGGGTATAAGATTGCATAGAATCAGAGTTGGAGGGGAACCTAAGGGTCAACTAGTCCAACACCCTGCAATGCAGGTATCTCAACTAAAGTACCCACGACAGAAGGCCATCCAACCTTTGCTTCCAAACTTCTGAGGAAGGAGAGTTCACCACCTCTTGATGGGAGTCTCTTCCACAGTCAGTTGCTCACAAGTATATCATGGGGGACTTTGCCAAAAGCCTTACTGAAATCAAGACGCACTATGTCCACAGCATTTTTTATTCACCAAGCTTGTAATTGCAATATAACTGGATAATGTCATGTTGGGTCAAATTTCGGAAACTTTTTAAAAAGTGCCTCTCCACACTAGTAGTTTGGAAGAGCTACAACATCTGATCCTAATGACACAAGCTATGGAATGATGAGTATTATGCAGGCATTTAGGATCTGTGCAGTAGCTTGACATTTTTTCCAACTCCATTTCCTTTTATCTTAGACTTTTCATGAATAATGCTGTTTGATAGCTTGTTAAGACTCACTTGCTTTTCAGAACCATGCATGTCATAACTTGCAATGGAAAAGCAATGAGGTAGTTCAAAAGAAATCTTCCAAGGTAAATTATGTAAATAATTTGTAAGCATATTTTTGCTTCCAGGAGCTGAATCACACAGGGTGAAATTCATTTCAGCTGAATACTGAATATTAAATATAAAATAAGGGTCATTTTCTTAAGCAAGTTCTTGCAATTTTCTCGGCACTTGAGGGCTCACTTTTAAATGACAGATCTGCTTGTACCAGGATGCAGTCATTAAGAGACTCGCTTTAATCATCTTAGTGCCTAGGTCCATTAAGATCAAATTTCTATTGGACCATATATACTGGTGATATCAGTTTTGATAAACTCCTGTCATAATTTTATCTAG